CTGGTTTCAGTAAAGTGTTTCAGTTTTCAAGCACAGAAATCAATAGAAAGTTAGGAGCTCTGATGGGGTTTAGGAGTCTCATCATCTGTGTGCTTTGCCTGTCCCAGTACTGCTTCCGTTTAGATTAATGTTTGACACCTATTGATTCCAGTGAGGTAAGATCTATTTCAGTGTTCCTATGTGATCGTGAGCAAGCCACAGAAAATAAAGTTATTTTACTGGCGTGAGTAATTTCTGGTTAGTTCCAGACAGCTCTCTTCTGGGAACAGTAAATAAAAGTGTTACGGAAATGGACCATGACCCAAGTTGAGCAGTGAGAAATAACGTGCTCTTTGACTTCAGTCTTTGTTTATCATCTTTCATATGGAGATTTGTCACTAACACTTTTGAGACAATTAAAAACTGCACTTATGGACATTGTAGAAGTGGATTATTTCTTATGATCTAAATGGTAAGTGGGGAGAAAGGTATAGGGAATGCTTATTGAATGATATCAAGGGAAAGAAATGCTGCCCATCCAGCAATTCCGTAATCACTATCCATCCTTGCAAGATTTTTATTAAACCTGCCTCCTTTTGACAGTTTCAGCAGTCAAGATCCTTTGCAGGGTTCTGATCCCAACTATTGATTTTCAGCTGATGCAGAAGAGTACATTGCCTTTTTCATATGATACCCTCCAGTGCAAATCTTCTGGTGTCTTTATCTTGATGTCTTTATGAATCTTTCTTCCGGTTACTGTTTTACCAATTTGTGTGGTTGAGAGATACTAATCAGTCACCACGAGTTTAAGGTCCCACAATTAATCCTCCTTTGGCAGGAGACTCTGGGCTTATTTTATAACCATTGGCTTTAGTCTTGAACTGCAATTTTCCCACCACTTTTCTTGCAGCTTGCTCAGTTTGAGCAAGTAGTCCAAAAGAGAAGGGATAAAATTGGCTATGTAACTTCCATGAATAAAGGTAGCAGAGATTAAAACTGCCTGTATAGTATAGTTAGTATACTACATAGTATATAATTCATTAACAGCTGCAGTAGTTTAGATTTCAAGAGTCTATTTACTAGTAATTTGTTTTCATTACTAGTGTTTAAATGGCTGTGGGCTATTATAGGTGGTACCACTTACGCAGTGGCTTGTTTCCGTCATATGAGCTTCCCTTTCCTATAGAAACACCAAAATTGTTATATGCAGGAGGCTGTTGGCGTGTAGTATTTGGTGTGATGGTGCTCCCTGATTTCCAGCAATGGTTAGTACCTTCTGTTTCATAGGAGGAAGGGCAGTCATGAGACAGCCTGCATCCCCAGAGTACCCTCTTTAATTTCCAATTGAAGGTTGTTGCTCAAACTTGAGAGCTTACACATCTTACAAAGCTCTTGGAGAGGGCTTACTTTTATAAGTTTTATTTTATACATTTTATACATTTTAATTTTTATTTTATTATTTTATATTATGTTTAGTCTTCTCACTATCAATATCTGTTTTAAAGCGACTGAATCTGTGGTATGTTTTATCTCCTGGAAATGTTCTATCATGTTTTGTACACAGGTTTTTGTTGGTTTTTTTAAAGTGTTTTCATCCAGTTTTGTTTAGGACCTTTTAGTCTTTCTCTTCTCTAGTTGAAATAATGTTGTGTCTTCTGTATGGGTTTTTTCACTTTTAAAAGCCAGGTTGAGTGACATGATTAATTATTGAGAAATTAAATTGATATCTTAGCTGAAAGTTAAACTGGAATTTTGTCATTAAGGAAACATACTTACATGTCAGTGAGAAGACTTTTTAAAACACAGTCTGCGTGAATAAGTTTGAATTGAGAACTTAGTATTGAAGTAGAACAGGCTTTCAATTTGTTAATGGGTTAAGACAATTGAAATCCTCTTAACTAAATACAGAGTGAGAGCTTTTCATGACAGAGGTAAAACTCAGTTTAGAAAAGGATAGCAGACTGATAGCAACATGAGTAAGGCAGAGACTGTAGGAATAGATCCCACACCTTCAATTGTATTTTACAGAAAACCTGTTATATTTTAAGGATTCACTTCAAAATGGGAGAGTTTAGCTCTTCGTTAATCATAAAAACTATGAATTTGAATAGTTTTGATTGGTGCAGTGTTGAAATGTTGTGATGACACCATGACATGTATTGTGAGCAGAGTCTACATAGCATATTTACAGAGTGTTAAATCAGTTTCCCAGAGAGAGAGGATTGTGTTTAGGTCAGGTGGGGGAAAGGTGCTGGTAGGAAAAGCAGTCAAGCCAAACCTATTACCTACTGCCAGATGAGTAGAAATGCTCATTTTGCTTGACATGGCTTCCAGTGAACTTTGTCATAAAAAATGAAGGAAAGAATGAGACATGACAGTGAATTGATAAGTTCTGTTCATCTTCACTCCTTTTAATGCTTGCTGACATTTCTTTGGCAGTGTTGAGCTCCTGTCTGCACTGGCATCCCTAGGAGATGTCAAAAGTTTTTCATCCTCTGCATGTCCCTGCCTGATGCTCCCAAAGAGTTGGACCATTGCTTGTTTGGAAGATGTGCATAAAATCTACACCAGCCGTATCTGTAACACCCCTGCACAGTGATCAGGAGGAATTCTAAAGTGCTTACGAGATAGATGATGCTGTCTCAGTTCTAGCCACGGAATGTCAAAAGCTTTTCCGTGTTTCAAGAGCAACTGCCTGCAGTCTGTAGTCCTGTGTTTGGCAGCCTCTCTCCTTGGCCAGTTCGGTGGGCAGGTTCCATGTGTCTGTGGCCCAGTGTACACAGTTTGTGGTCTGATAGTAACGTGGAGAGTGTGTACATCCAGTTTAAGCCATCAGCTTTCTCTGAGCACTGTTACTGCATCTGCAAAGTCCTTGAATTAAAGCAGCAGTGCTTTAAGCAAGTCACCTCCTGAAACAGATTCCTTGAGAGGAATTGTTCAAGGAAAAAGTATACTTGACTTGTGAAGAAACATGCAGGTCACTTAAGAAGTAACAATATCTGAGCCACTAAGTATTAGTGACCACAGTATAATTGCATTCGGTATCCTCAGAGAGAAAAAGAGAGAGAACCACAACAGAATTGTGCAAAGGTGAAGGGAGATTTGAATTCAGTTACATGCATTAACAAGGAATTATAGTTATGGTATTTTTACTTTTTTTGACAAACTAATGTAATTATATATTATATGGAAACTATTTCAGGGCTATAAAAAAAAATAACAAAGGTCAACAGGTTACTTTTTCAATGAGGATTCTATTGCCAATGAGAAGAGCAACAGATGACAGCATGCAGTGAGAGAAAGAGGTGTTAATAGTTGAGGTGGATTTCTAAGAATAGCTGTCCACTATTCAATACTTTAAGACACACTGTGAAACTGTTTCACATTCAAATTAAAACTTTCAATACTGGGGGAAACATTAAAATATAGCTGCATTTACAGATTATTTCAAAGCTGCTAAAACAGCTCTTCAGCTGTCATGTCATATAGTATTCTCTTGGGTTTCTTGTTTTAGATTAATATATTGCATTACTAATTGTTTATTAATACTTTGGAAATTATCATCTTGCAGTTTATTAACTTATCTTGCCATTGTTAGAACTGAGGTTCACAGTGGTACCCATTAGGAAATAGATAACAAATAAATATTATTTCATGAAGAAGCAAAACCTATTCAAGTAATCATTATCGAAGTTGCATTGTAAAACAGTATCCCTGCTAAGATACAGAAGTTTGGTGTGCTGTAACTGTGTTTGCACATTTTGAAATGCATATGTTTCTAATGCTTGTTTTTTAAGGAATAAAATATCAGAATGAAAACATTCTCTTAATATTTAGTATACTTTAAATTATCTTTATTTATCCTTTGTACAGGGCCTAATGCTATTAGCTGTTCAGTTGCTTCTTTTATAGTTTGAATTTTTGGAGCCATGTAGTGGATCATTAATCCAATTGAACTTTTTGCAAAAGCAGGGAGCCTTACTCTTTGTAATGTTAATGATGTTGGGATGGATATTGTAGCTCTGCAGTTTGCTTAATTTTTCTTCATTTCCTCCATTAACAAAAGAAGATTGTGAAGTGGCAAAAAGAATGTGCATTAGAAAAAAAAATGTTCTCTGCGTTGTCTTGTGTTATATGGTTAGAAATTTAGACAATGTCTACCTGCAAAGGCAATAATGTGTAAAAATGTTTTGTTTATACAGACTGGTTTTAGGATCAAGTCTCAAGAATTTTCACTTATTGCTATCAAGTTGTGATATTTTCAATGTTGGTAGATTTGCTCAATTTACAACGAAAAGTTAATCCTATCAACTTCGCTGTTCAGGTAATGGGGGGGGTATGGCATAATCCAAAAGAAGGAATACCGTAAGTGGAATTGCTGCTTTTGGTCCTGAGCTGGCTCACATCTTGACTAAGCCCTTTGGAGCCTTTGGTTTTGGTAAGACTTGCAGACAGTAGCACCATATGATGCAGTTGTGCCAGCTTGGGTCTGCAGGTGTTTTAGCTTCATTCCCACCATGCTGTGCCTAAGTCAATAAGCCGTGCTGGTCCTGAGCTAAGCCGTCTGAAAACACCTCCTGTGTCTCCACATAGAGATCATGGTATATCTGTAATCCAGGTGACCCAGCATAAAAAGTGGAGAGTTACTAGTAGTGGCTGTGGAACTGAAAGTTGGTCTTAATTTTATTTTGCACACAAAAATAAAAACATTTGGTAACTGCAGATGTGGCATGAGTCCTACCTTGCTATCACTCCTGTTAAACTTGCTCAGTTGAAAAGAGTAAAAAGGTGGAAAATTTTACTAACTCCTAGTTTGATAGCGCTTTACAGGACAGAGGATTTTTTTTTAAACCCAGTTCTTCAAGAGACAGTCTTGTTCAGTGTGTTCTTGTTATTAATTGCATTATATACTTTCATATGTATTATTAAACTGTAAGTTTAGCAGCAGAAAACCAGTGATATTTTGACATAACAAAAAAATGGGTTGTGTTAATTTCTTTTGTTCCTTCATTATGTTACAGGTACTGTAAGAATTGAAATGTTCAGGAACATGCAAAATGCAGAAATCATAAGGAAAATGACAGAAGAATTTGACGAGGTATAGTATATGAATAGGCCTTTAAACAGTAAGAAATATATTACAATATACTTTTGTTTTAAAATAAAAATGCAATGGGCAAGAAACCAGTGGATAAGCAGTGTCTCAGCATGAGAAATTGCATTGACAAGCAAAGCAGTGGTTTAAACTATTGGGTGAAGAATAACAAGCCAGCATGGGCTTTAGGAAAGAATAATAATGGAAACCCAAAAAGTAGTAAAATAATTTGAAAAGGTAGGTATAGTTGCTCATCTTGAGAAGTCAGTTTTGTGGATTGAGTAGGCCCTGGATGCTGAAATATTGGTCCTGAGAAGTTTGTGAATTGGCCAGTTTGTGACAGGACACTTATGTCGTTATGCATGGAGCATTCAGTGGTAAGACAGCCTAGCCAGATCTGACTCTGCCAGAACTAGCTTGGGACCGTGTTAGTGCTGGTCTGGATCTGTGCAGACCTCGTATATCTTTGTATGGCTTTAGGAGTATCCTAGTCTGTCTGCATCCCAGGGATTAGAGAGGTTAATAAGAGGAGTCAGAAAGTTTTCTCATCCCACTGACATTGGTGGTGTTACTCTGGATTTTGAAATTCACCTCTTGGAACAGCCATCATACAAGAAAGAACTCCAGATTCCGGAGACAGGACTGCAAGCTTGGTATTTGCAGCATTTTGCATTGTTTTCTGTGTGCAAATTGATATTTTGTTCATTTGAAATGACAATTTAAACCAAATAGTAACTTGACATGAAAATTACCATTTTGGAACAGTGTTACAGAAAGAAATACTCTTCCAAAAGATGTAAGCGTTTTGTTTGAAACAAGTGTGTTACAACTCAGATTGGGTATCTTCTGTCAAAATAAAAGTGTTCCTAATGGTGAATGCTTTTTAGCTTTGAGATTTTTCAAACTGTAATTTCTTTGATTTTTCATGTATAAAAAAAATAAAAAATATTCTGAGTGTTCATTTTGTATAGTGAGGAAAACAGATTATCAAACGTGAATTTTCTGTAGGACAGCAGTATCTTTTTCTGTCCAATTCTAAATGAAATGTCAAGACTGTGATTCAAAAACTTAAGCAGGAAAACCATAAATGTGAACACTGCTCTTTTTCAGGATTTTATTCTGCAAGATTTTAATCTTGTTCGTGGCCTCGAACAACAAAATGTTTCTGTACTTAACTACAGCCATGTAGATGCTCCTTTTGCTGTATTCAAGTATTCACTCAGGGCCTTTGTGTACAGGTGGGATAGAGAACAGTGAATCAAGTTTAGGTGTACAGTGATGAAAGAAAGGTTTGTATCAATTCATGCTGCCTTCTAGGTGAAATAGTTTTGCTTTTTAAAACACTGTCCAACCAAAGTTAATAAAATGCAGTGAATTTTTACTAGTGTAATTTGAAAACAAAATCAGATACTGTCTTCAGTTTAGTCCCATTGTACAAAATAGAATGGCCAAGGCACTGTCCAAAAGTCAAAGAACATTGATTTTGCCCAAGGGAGGATTGCCCCACAGTTGACAGAAGAAAGTATTTCTCAGTAAAACCCTTTTCAAAAACAGTCAGAGTTTTCTTCTCAAAGGAGAAAAAAGCTCTTCATTATGCGCAGTATGAATGTACATTTAAGCAACATATCTCAAAGAACTACACTTACTAGTACATAAGCTTTCTTTCTCCATTATCTAAAACTTTTCTGAGTTTCTGCAGTTCTAACAGAAAATTTCTGTTATATCTTCTGCCTTAACAGTTGAATGGATTTGTGAAAGAAATTGTGGGGTTTAGCATAAAAACATGAAATTGTTAGTCTTAGACAACAACCCAGTGAATATGTTGAAACCTGGAGTAACTCTGTTAGCAGTGGAAAATATTTTAGAATTTAGTGTTTTCAACTGATGCGCATATATCAGATGATCACAGCACAGTAAGTTTGTAATTGTTATATGACCTGTTTGTTCATATTGCTAGAATTAATATTTCAGATTGATCTGTGTTTAAAAGGATGTTGTAGTCACAAAAATTATAAGCTTTTAGAATAAGAGCAGCTTACATTACTGTTCAGTGTAAAACACATAATGAAACAAATATCTTTGTCAGTCTTCAGCAGACTGTAAAGTTGCAATTGTGACTGGTGTAGCATTAGTACATTTCTTGGCCCTCTGCTTTGTGTCCAGCATGTCAAGACTCAGAACTACTATAATTTTGTTTCTGGGAGAGTTGTTGATAGCAGACACCATTTGCCAGTGACAGTCCTTTGACTAAAGTCAACCCAAGCTACATTTGGTAGATCTGCGTGATCCTTCCCCACCTTTCTTGCTGGGGAAAGAGGAGAACCCAGGCAGATCTACTTCTTGTCTCCTTTCAGCAGTGCTATTGGCTGTGCTCCCTGACTCCATGCAGACTGACTAGACTGATTCCTTGAGCCCAGCCTGCCACTGGATGAATTTTTATTTTTCTGTAAGTCTGTAGTAAGCAATGAAAGAAAGGGAGCCAGGAGGAGACCAACAGTGGTGGCTGGGCTGGGTGGTCATACATTGTCTCAGGAAAGCACCACCATTTCCTGCACAGCTGAGAAACAGCCCTCAGTTCTTCATTCTAAATATCACTGTTGGCATTTCACATGTGTACCTCTTCCAGTACCCCAGGACTCTCAGTGTACTCTCCCTCTGTGTCATCCTGAGACAAAGCAGTTGCCTGGAGCTGTTGCCACCAGAACATTTCCCTTGCTCTGCTGTACTCTCATGCCCCTAAATCCAGTGTCAGTCCATGAGTAGGTAATGGTCTGACTGTGGGAGTGAAGGAGAACGAGAGATTTAGTGAGGCTCTTGTCAAAATAATTAGGCCAGTCTTTAGACTTGCTATTTTCGTTTCTATAATCCTGGAGCTAACAGGGAAATAAAAGTACAAGTGTAGTATTAACTAGGATAAAATCTTGCATTATCTATTCATTAGCACAGTATACTGCCCAGAAAATACCTTCTTCTCCACTGAAGATGTTCAGATTTGCTATTTTAATAACTCTTTCAAGATCATCACATTGTTCTGTCAGTGCTGCAGTAGTCAGCTGGGTGCTGGTCCTAATTTCTACATTTATGGCAGGGACTGAAGCATTCATTTTCCTGATCTTGAGTGGAGGAACACTTGTGTGGGACTTATGATGGGAATAACTTTGTTCATTGCTGCCACAGGTTCAGTTTGAAACAGGGAATTCCATGGACATCCATCTGCTGCATTATTTGGGTGCTTGGCTTTTGAGTACAGGCATTTTGTAGATTAATTTCCTCATAATTCTTGTGCTAGAGTATGCAGGTGAACAATAACTTGTTTTGGTTTGAGTTTTCTAATCATTGGACCCTCAAGTAACACATGTCAGTGTCACTGATGTATCACATTTTTGTTGGTATTCACAAAGAAAAGATTCAATAAAGGGACTTTATTGCAAATTTTTTCTTCCCATTTCAGCCAGATGAGATATTCTCAGTGCAGTGTTCACATGCTTTTTGAAAGGACTGTCTTAATATGTAGTTGTAGGTTAAAAATACATCATATAAATGTGAGTAGTTACACACAGCACTAGAGATTCTGAGGATCTGTTCCAAAAGTTTTATATACATACCTCTAGAAAGCATATATAATGTATGTAAGTTCACATGTAGAGTTCCCACAGGTACTGTGTGGGCAGGGACTTAGTCTGGAGGTTATTTATGAAAATAAGGTGTAAGTGGGGAGAAGGACTGGGGTGTTCATAGGGAGTTACTGTCAGGAAAACATTGAGGATAAAGCTTTAGGATTTTCATTTCAGTCCTAAATTTAAATAAATATAAGATTAATGTAGGGCTCATATTTACATGGCAAGATAGTGTACCTTGCTGAAAATCACTAACAAAAACATTAGACATACAAAGAACAAATAAACATACAAAGAACACTTTGAAACACGTGGCGCTGTTAATGATAATGCTGCGTATTTTAGACTGCGTTTATCTGGGTTTCTACTACAAAACACTTTGATGTAATTCACAGAAGTTCTGAGGACTCACAGCTATAGTTGAACATGCTAGGAGATGTCTTTCTCAGGAGCTTTACAAGCCTCTGAATTGTTTATTTAAACCAAAGCTGCTGTTTCTCTCAAATTGAGTATTCAAAGTTAGAAGTAATAATATTGCTTATTACAATCATGTCATTCAGAATTATAACAAATGAGACAGTAAGGTCATTAAGAGTGCCTTATAATTTTGTCTTTTTCTAACATTTGATCTGTCTTTGCAATTTTAATCTTTATTTTAGTATGATTGAAATGTGGATGATTTGGTTAAATTTGATAGACAGCGTTTTTTGCTGCAGGGAAATGTCGTTTATGACGTTTAAGTAGAGGGTTGTTTGATTACAGCTCCTCTACATTTACATTACTGGCTTTAGATGGTTCAGTCTGGGAAATAAGACAAGTCCAGAGAGAACAGAAGTGCTTGTTCTTCACAAAAACACAGAATAAATATGTACGAATGTATTTAACTTCGATAGTACAGACTTCTTATCTTGGGGTAGAGATTCAGGATGGAGCATTATTGCCTTGATGTTTTGGATAATCTGGAGTTGGTTTACAGATCAGGAGATTAAATATAATGCTTTCCACGGAAGGAGGAAAAAAAAGGATTTTCTAATTATGGGGTGGGGCAGTCTCACTGGAATGCAATATTCATTGAAGTGAGAATCGTAAGAGCAAACTTGGAGAGGAGTTAAACTTAAATGAACTGACTGTTCAACATGCTTACTCCAACCTTGCAATAAACTTTGGGAGATGGGGTGTATGAAACTGTACGGGGTATATGAACCTGTAGTAAAATTTCCAGTACTTCTATCAGAGGGCAGGTTTTACCACTAGGAAAATATATAAGATTTTAAAAAGGGTGATAGTGACTTTCTGGTAAGATCTCATTTGTAAACTGGAGTAAAGCAAAGTTTGTGGGGAGGGACATTCAGTTGATTAGAATATTAACATGGAGTTGAAGTGGGTATGGAGAATGACACAAATCTTCAATCCTTTCTTTAGTCTTTGACCGTAAATACTTTGAAATATTTCTTTCTCATCCTTTCCCCTCAGTTTCTAACCCAGGACACAAGGGAAAAAATTGAATCTTGATGTGTATTTTAGACTACACAGAGCTAATATTGCAAGTCTAGAACAGTTACAATGAAGTCTTCAAAAAAGTGTTTTATACCCGTGGGCTTTTTTGTTTATAATATGTTGGTTTTGTTATTCCCCATTGGCTTGAAGGAAAAAGTGTTTAGCTTAAAAACCTAAACCATGATGGCTACAACATTATCAAAATAAATTAAATGGGGAGACATAATACTATTTTCATTTTCCTGTTCTTCAGGACAGTGGTGATTATCCACTTACTATGCCTGGGCCACAGTGGAAGAAGTTTCGATCCAACTTCTGCGAGTTCATTGGAGTGCTCATTCGACAGTGTCAGTATAGCATCATTTATGATGAATACATGATGGACACCGTGATCTCTCTTCTGACTGGTTTGTCAGATTCCCAGGTCCGGGCTTTCAGGCACACCAGTACATTAGCTGGTAAGTAAGCTAGCACAGAGAGGAGTTATTTCAAATGAGTTGCTACTATTTAGCCACTTGGAGAATTACTTATTTTGATTGAGGTAGAATTTGACCAGCACTGACAACTCTGGAAATCTTGATCAAATCCAAGTACCACATATGATATATCCATACCTAAAATACACTTTTTTGTTTGGAAAGGAATATGCTGAGGCATTAAATCTCAGGCATTTAATCTCATTTAAACTCTCCTGTCATACCCAGGGGCCTCCAGTGAATGCTGTAAATCAGAAGTGACATGCTTATATTATGTATTCTGTTGTTAGTTGTTCATTTGTTGTATAGGATGTCTTCATAATTTTGTATTTTAGAGTACAAATTTATTCTAAATAGCGTTAAGAAAACTGTATTATCAAAGAATTTCAGACTACTGAAAAATAAAATCCATGCTTTTGTTCTTGAGAAGCATTAAATTTGAAAGCACTGGGCCATAGTTGTAGGTCTTGCTGTCTTCTACCTCCAGCTATGCTGCACCTTTCAACACACCTGCCTACATCTAAGGAAAGCACTGGGTATAACTGTAGATAGAAATAGGCTTTCCTACAGTATATTTCATCAGAGCTATATGAGATGTCTCCCATAAGATGGATGAATTGCTCTCTAGATGTAACTATTTTTCTCCAATTACAAAGCAATACTAGGGTGGGTAGCTTGGGTATAGGTGTCTGAAGCTGGTTAGGTCAGGTGATAGCTTTCTGCTCATCTCATCTGCTGGAATACATCTTAAAGGAAGATTCCTCTCCCTAGGATGTTCATTGATCATGTCAAATGTTTGAAGCCTTTATAGGAGACACTTGTCATAATCTGAACGTTTCTGCTGCCAGTATTTGTACCTGATTTTAGTTAGTCTTTCCACAATCAGCCTCTTACAATTTTGTTCAGATTTCCAGGTGTAATACCCAGTGTCCAACAAATTCAATCAGAATTTGTTTAAAATTTAATCTCTTACTATGAATCTAAGAAAGAGACAGATTTCCAGTGATATTCAAAAAATAAGTCCAGATTTGATTGGAGTTTGATTTTAAAATTGAAACTCAAAACCTTTTAACTCACAGTGACTGAACTGTTTTGGAAACGTATCCCCTTGTATTCTTCACCTTGCTTAGTAACAGGATGGTTAAGAACATGAATTATGCAGGTGTAAGTTTCCAGGTTTAGAGTTTGCCTCTACATATTCAGTAGTCAAAGGTGAACACTTTGAGCTGCAGATAACCTGCTGGAAATCTGTGCCTGTTACTTAAACTGAGATGGAAACTATTTTGTTCCAGCTGATACTGATGATCTTAATTCCAGGTGATTTTGATTTGGTATTTGCTAGGATTGTGGTTGGTTGGTTCATAGGGGAGAGATGATGGAGTGAGGTATGTGCTCTGGTCTCTTTTATTGATTGATTCATCCTTGTGTGGGACAGATGTTTGGAAAGCATGAGACTCTTGATTGAAAAGACAGGAAACAGCACCATACATCAGAGATGTTATGCAAGACCTGTGCTATATGGAAGAAATAGTTGCCATAATTTGGAATAGATTATGTAGATAGAAACTTCAAGCAGGGATAAGCAAATTCTGAAGCCAAGGTTTATTACAACTAGCTGCTTTTATTGAAGTCACTGCTGGCTTCTTATGTTAGGTATACATGTAGCTAGCACTTCCATTAGGAATAGGAGCTGCCAAAGATCTGCAGCATTTTCCAGTGATAATACGTGCCATTTATTTATTTGTTTGTTTGTTTTAACAAGCTTGAGAGCTTTGTTTTGGTTCTACAAATTCCCTTTAAGCTAGTCTTTGCACATTTAATTATGTTCCTATCCTGCAGAGCAGAGGTCAGCATGATGCCATGGAGCTCAGTCTTGATAAAGTTTATAAAAATATACTTTTAGAAATTCATTTATTCTTGAAATAGTGTTTCTCAGGTCTTTGTTTTCAATTTTCTTCTGTGCTAGCCAATTTGAATGAGGAATGTTTCACTATAGCAAGAAACTTAGGGCAAGAAATACATGTGGTGCTTGTAGAGTTACCAGCTTTGAGCCATAGCAAGAGAAGACAGTTTCCGTAACAGTAGCTTCACTTCTCCATTTCTGTAGTGGCTTTTCTAACTTGAAGACAGTGGTTCACATTTAGCCAGAGAAGCTGTGATAGTTTGCTACATTACTTTGCCAGTTTTTCAGTATTGTGAAATGTGAAATGCTGTGTAACCACACAGAGCATGGGAAAACCCCTCATTAAGGTTTTGTAAACATAAATTAAGACAAAAAAATACACATGTAAAATACCATATCCAGTATGTGTGAAAATGCACAAAGGGCTATGTGAAGGGGAATGTAGAGTTCTATATCATATTTGTATACAACTATACAATTGACTTTAGAGTGATGTCAAACTTCCTTTCAGAGAAACAGTGCTGTGGCCCCTTGTAGACTGAGTAATCCTCGATAGCTATTAGTTAAGAGTTACCTTTAGTATGGAGGCAACTATAATGATTCTTAGTAGAGAAATGTATGTAACTCCACTGTAACTGGCTTCGTGGTGTGCAGTGATCCTGCAGATTCACATGCTTGCTCACTGACCTTAAGCACTCAGAACTTGGATAATTTTTTGGCAAAGAACATTGCCTGGAGCTCAGAGCAGTATATATACTCTCTTTTCTGATCTTTAGATCAGCCAAGTGACCTGAGTATCACTTGGGTGGGAATTGCCTTTCCAGATGACTTTGCGTCAGGGTCAAGTTGGTTATTTTCTGTGAGTATGGATCTGCTGAGGCAATATTTTTTAACGCTGACTACAGGTAAAGAGTCATATTCTGTTTTCTGCATTTGCAGCTATGAAGCTTATGACTGCTCTTGTGAATGTTGCCTTAAACCTGAGCATTCATCAGGATAATACACAGAGGCAGTACGAAGCTGAGAGAAACAAAATGATTGGCAAAAGAGCTAATGAAAGATTGGAGCTGCTACTTCAGAAAAGAAAAGAGGCAAGTGAAGAGATTAATTTTTTTCCTTGTTCATGTGCATTCCCTCCAACAGAAAGTCCAGGGTGGTTTGCGACTTGAGTACCATAGTGAGAAACAAGTGATTAGTTCTGCAGTTGTGTTTATGTGATCTCAAGCATATTATTTGGGCTACATTTTAAAACCTTGTATTAACACATTCAGTTGAGTTTGTGTGCTGTTCTGCACGCACAAGGTAATTTCTGTTCTCATGCTTGTGTATATGACCAGTCAGGAAGAAAATTAGTCTCAAGTTGTAACTGTTTTGGTTATGCAAAAAGATTTTGAAAAGAGGATCACATGTAGCTCCTCACTGCACTGCCCATTTCTCCCTTTGATCACTGCAATTATTACATAGTGTCTCATTAGTACTTCTTTTTGTAGCTACTTTCAAGAAACACTGGAGTGGGGGCTATAGCACCTGGTCTCAGGGAGAAGAAGCTAGGGAGACATTAAAGTCGCTTTTAGTAAGTACCAGTCTGGCATTAGGTGAGCAAAATCATTAGAAGGTTGCTGTAATCATCCCTAAATGAAGTATTATATCCCAGGAAATTCAGTTTTAGAGTTATACTTAAAAGAAATTTAAAGATGACAAGTAGAAAATGAATACCTATACACCCAAACAGCCATAATCTGTAAAGCTGCCATGTAAAATCATAAGATTGAAAAATTGAAGTATATATGACTTTAGATTTAAATTTATTATTTTTAATGTATTAGTTTTGAATATATTTCATCCATCACTGTTCTACTGTATAGCAAATTAAGGATGTCTGGGTGCTTTACCTGTATGCACCTTGGATTCTTTTAGGTATAACTTTGACTCAAAATTGCTTGACTTTATAGTCTTTGTCTGGGGATAATTACAATTATGTATTTTTATTTTTATTTTACCCCTACTACCCATAACACAATTTTATTTGGCTTTCATAATTCTTAAAAAAATCATCCATTAAGGTACAAAGCAAGAACAATCTCTCTGACCCAAACAACAAGGGGACCATTTTAAATTAAATATTAAATTCAATGTCAGCCTTAAAGCATTTGCAAAAGCAGAATTGCTTTGTCAAAATAGCTGGGGCACAGTTTCTATTCCAGATTTGTTGATTGTTGCTTTGCATTTCCAGAGAAGGACAAAGTCACTAATTACACTGATAAATTTGGTTTAGTATCTCTGTCTATGGACGTCCTCTATATGCATTCCTTCAGCCATTCTTTTCAATGTCTTTTGGAGATGCAGTATATAATTCGAAGCAATGATACCCAGGCTAGCATGGAGCTCTGAAACCCTGAACGAAGAATGAGCATTTGGCAGACCTCAGCTTTTGATATGTGTGTTTGGTCTCTCTCATATCACTACTCACTATAACTAATCCAAATGTTGCATAGGAGTAAGCCAGAGAGGAGTGGTGGTGATTATGTCCTCACATACATGGTGTTAAGCATCATCGAGGGCCATGTATAGAAGAGATTTATTAGGCTTAGATGGCATAATGGCTCTGTGTAAGAATTCCTAACATAATGCTGTATATTTCCCATCTTCAAATATGTTGAATTTACAATAGCATTCTGTGCTGGCACTTTCTTAGTTGATCCTTTTGATGTAGTGCCATCATAATAAACCCTCATAGGCACATACACAGGTATGTGTTTATCTTCATGAAGTTATATAGGGACGTTCATGAGCTAGGTGTGGCAAATAATTCTGAAATAGAAGAGATGGCACACTCTCTCTGAACTGTTTCGTTCTCATGTCATCTTCTACATACCTAATGTGCGAGCCATGCGTGAAGGTCTATTCTCGTCAATGACTTTTTCAACTTAACTGGATGATTTCTGTTAACAATCTGCCACAAAACAGAGGAAGTTGTGTTTTAGTTGCTGCCAGTAGTTATTCAAATTTTGTGTTTGAAATACATGTCTTTCTGAGCTTCTCAAAATACTTGCAGAGTCAAGAAGAGAATCCCTTAATTTTTTACTTATGTTTAAGGGGGAGGGGGTTAAATCACTTTTGCATTGGAAAGAGCAGGAATCCCAAGACACAAACGATCTCTCAAAATGCCTGAAGCACTCAAATTCAAGTACATGATCTAGAAAAGCTGAAAGTGTAAAAAGCAATTAAAATTTTGGAGAAAATTAATATATTTCAAAGAGTTATTACTTTGTAACTGAAACTAAGTTGCATTTGAAAACAGTGTCTTCTGAATGTTAGCACACAGAATTAAAAGGGGTCTCACATGGGCCTACGGAATCTCTGATTCTCCTACACTAGCTTTGCCCCCAGTACCTGGATCCCCATATCAGTTATACAGCTGATGACTTACCGTGTTTATAGCAAGCTGTAAATTCCCTGTAGAAAAAAAACAGAAAAAGGGGGAGGAGGCTATCCATGCTGTCCCCTTATCTCTGCCACTTAGTCTTGTATGGTGCTGCTCAACTTCTCAAAGGAATGCCAAAGTACACTTCAGTATCTTAACCTTCTTATGGCTCATAAAGTTCAGTCTCTCCAACCTCTCTTCTCTGGTGTGTTTCTGTGTTAACTATTCACACCTAAAGTTCTTCAGGAGCTTCCCCTTTCCGGGCCTCTTTAGTTTTTCAGAAGTCCTCCTGAGGCTTTTTGGTTCATTCCCATCCTCGTTTTACTCCACAGTCTGTGATAGGTTGTCTCTAGCCCCATGTTTCTGGGGGTTTTGGCCTGCCTGGAGCCTGTGAAGTCAACCAACTGAGGAGTGGTTATAAATTCACACTCTTTTTTGGGTTATGTATTCTTGAACAAGCATTTAGTCTGTGCATGTTTGCTTTGAGCTGATGCTGAAAATAGTGGTTCTCCCAGAAGCCATCTCTAAATATGCTTGTTTTGTGTACCAGCCCTTTAGTATATTCAGAGCTGGTGTGCACCCAGCTTTTCCCATGGTGCATGATCCCATGATGCCTCTCTCTATGAAATTAATTTCTCTGGCAGGTGTTTGACAGTTTAGTCAAGAACCCTCAGTGCCTCTGTTTCCCCATATACAAAATGGAGACAGCACCTCCTTACATTTTAGGAAATAGGAAGACTTAATTTACTGAGTTTTGCAAGCTACTTTATATCTTATGTGGAAAACACTGTAGAAATATTAATAAACATGGCTTGAAAAATACAAACCCCTAGGTGAAAGTGTTTATTAGCTGATGTTATGCAGGAAGTCAAAACAGCCAATCATCATTCTGCCTCTGGCTTTAAGATGTTTTATCTGTTAAATATGTATGTCCATAATTATACAGGTTTTATTATTTTATACATATATGCACTCTGTACTAGCAAGGCTCTGTTGTAGTTTTCATACTGAAAATGTGGAAAAAATACACATTCATACATGTTGTGGTATTCTGCTTTGACATTAAGAAACACCTTGATGGAAGATTGATGGCTTTGAGTGTATTAGCAGTTCTGCTCCAAAAGCTGATTGTATAAAATTGGCATCATCTTATTTAACAAAGCTGCATTTTGGTGTGCTTAAGTCATACTTATTTAGTTTAGTACAAAAGCCGACAATATGAGAATACTTCAATTGATTCCAGTATGTTCCTTTAGGATATGTTAACATATTCATTGACATGAAGTAAACTTTCCATAGTACTTAGAAAATGTGCTCATATTACGCAGGAAATATTAAGGGTTATTTTAAAAAGCAGTCTTATTTATAAAAGCATTCTCATAACACCTTTTTCATTTGAGTTTGGTTTGGTTTTTTGCAATCTAAGGCCTGGACATCAGGAGTGCTCCAATGTGAAGCACCCATGCTCTGATTCTGGAAAGTTTCCTGGTTCAGAAACTCCGTTATCATGGGCGCTGGATGTTAAAGCAACTGACATACATACTTAAGATTGAGAACATCTTTAAGTATTTCCCTTAAGTAGGACATTGAATTTTTTGGAGGGGATTCCTGATCTGTAACCAGCTTCATTTCTGCAGCTGTCATTCACTCACAGTTCTATCTGTTTAACTATGAATACAGGACTGCTGACATTACTGAACACATAGTCTCTACTTGTCTAAATTTCAGTAGCAGAAAAATGGTGATGACCACTTCAAAGGACTAATTTAAAACTAAATTAAATGCTCTTTATAGAGAATGTTAACTGTCTTCCATTAAAGCATTGCATATATATATGTGTATATATGTATGTATATGCACACAATATAGGCATGTGCTGGAAAAGTAGAAAATGGTGAATATACTAATACCTTTAATTAAGTGCTCTTCCACAGTCTTCTAATGTTTCCCAACAAGGAATTGTAGAATATCAACTTATAATAAGCAGTGATCTTTTATTTATTTTTGTTTTGTTTTTTTTCAGCTACAAGAGAATCAAGATGAAATCGAAAATATGATGAACTCTATTTTTAAGGGTATATTTGTTCATAGATACCGGTAAGAAAATGCATGTTACAGGACACTATGCTAACAAAGTATGATCATGGATAATGTCAAGGGCAGTTTCTGTGTTGATTTTTCTTCTGATGTAATATTCTAGATGCCATAAAAGCAGTATCAAAACCACTGAAATTATGGAAGAAATTATAAGTGTAACCACTATTAATTACACAGTAGAGCTGTCCACACAACTTTATTTTAATTCAGTAAAACATCTTTAAAGAGTTGTGGGAGACGTGGAATTTGAAACTTTGTTTTGAAAAGAAGAGCTGTCCAAGGTGAGAGCACAAACATACATATCTTAAGAATAATCAAATGATCACTGCATATTGTAAGAGGGCAGTTGTGGTTGCTGAGTACCTCAACTCTGCATTTCCTTTTGTCTTAGGTGTAAACAGCAAATTTGTGATGTTTCCACCATATATTCTTTAGAAACAGCTACAACTTGACTTTAGACTTTTTCCTCCTTAAATTATGTAAAGGCAAGCAAAAGCCTTAATTCCGGTTAACATGTATTTTTTGTTTATTAGTTGTTTTGAATGTTTGTAGCAAGAATATTAAAAAGTAACTGTGGTGTTAGCACATCACAACAGGGTTTTTTTTAATAATTGATATGTCTTGTGAATGCAAAACCGCTACAGGTTATATGTATTTGTGTGTGTGTGTGTGAATGTGCACATGCATGCACTTTATTTATTTTGGGATTACACAAACCAGTAGATTTGGACTGGTGCATCCTGTTTTGGAGTATGATTTATCAGAAAGCAGTGGTCTTTTCAAATAGATTTAGGCTTGTTTTGCATCACAGGATACCTCAGAGCATCTGCAGCATCTTGATGTAACCAGCTCTTTAAATGTTAATTGACTTACCAAAGTCAAAAGATAAAATTGAAGGATACTGAACTATGCAATTAACCTTTCAGATTTAATTCTGGTTTAAAATTTTATCATTTATGAAATCTTTTAGAAGAATGTTTAAAATAAAGAAAGGGTATATGAGGAAAGGGTTAGAAGTTGAAGAGGAACCCATAGTTCAGTTGGGCAGAGGGATTATTGTAATAATGGAGAAAAGTTTGCAGGAAACCTGGAAGGGACTCATGCTAAGAAATACGTGAGCGTGAACAACACAGTGGAGTTGGAGCATATATCTTCAGTACCCAAGCATGTTACTTGAAAGTTTGTAGTTCATGGTCAGTAAGCCTTGAGCTACTTGGCAACAGGATGGGTATATAGAGTCAACAGGTAAATTAGGATATTAAGTCAGCATAGCACTCACCCTATTTTGTTATGAAAGCCTCTTTTATGGTATGTAGGTAATAAAGTTGAAGAGATTAAATGCAAAGAGTGTTTCCATTTTTGTCCCTTCAGTGTATTGTATCAAAGAAGAGGTCCCTTTAAAATATTTTCCTAGTAGCTCGTACTCATGTGAGGGTTTGGGAAGACTCTACCTTTTGATGGTCTGCATGCTCTTTCTTTTTTTTTTTTTTTTTCCATTCTTTTTAAATCCTCCTTTTGTAACCAAGATTTCTTTTCATGCCTCCTCCACTATTACTAATGGCCTGATTTTGCCAATATTGCTGTAACAAAGGAGAAGCCAAGTAAATAAACTGCTTATCTGAACCCTGAAAAAAGATGCCCAGGCTGACACCGTTAGACCACTGAAGAATTTGCTGAATCAGTCAAGTAGTGGTGTTCTCTGAGCAGGGTGGGTGGCACCACTTCTGCCACTGCTTAGAGAGGGTAGCTGCTTCCAAATCTGCCCTCAGGACCCACTTCTGTGGGGAGTCATTGTCTCTCCAACTTTATTAACTTCTGTGAAGCTTCTAAGAGACTGTTAAAACATACACCTGAATATGAGTAATCTGTAGGCAACAGAGAACATAGACTCAAATGTCTGCAGTCACAGCTGTGCAAAAACATATAGGGGAAAAATATCTGTATTAAAGTTAGCTAATTGAAGAGAAAACCAGGGCCAGGGGGAGGAAAAAAAAAAAGGATTTCAAACTATTATCTGCTTCCATAATGTTTCTTAAACATTCCTTCTCTCCAGCAGTTCAAATGATTTATAAACTTGACATCATTTTATAGTCCTTAGATCATGCAGAACTGGTAATGATTTCAAAAGAACATTATTTTAATTATTCCCAGAGAATAAATCCCTTTCCATAATATGATTCAGACTCTGCCACAGTGATTCATGCTTGGTGACCTTTGTAACTTAAATAGCAAGTTCCTGATCTGAACAAAAAGCTCCCCAAAGTGTTCCCTTCAGAATGTAGCTGTCTTCCTACTAGTAAGCTAGTGTTGCAGTGAGGTTATGTGTTCTTCCTGTAGATTGGCTTCCAGTTTACATAAAATTTCAATGCTCACTTCTCACATTAAAAAACAAAGAAGAGTTGCAGAAAGAGCTAATCTGTGTAGCATTAACAGCAGATTTGGTCAAAAATTGAGATCATCTAATAAACTTGTAGGAGATGTAGCTACCTCATTATGTATTTCTTTACCTCTTTCCTGAACTAGTTTTTCTGACTATTTTTATGTTGCTTTATGCCATATTTGTTTGTCCATTGATTATTTTTTTTACCATCTCTAAAACTGAGAGTTAGCATCAAAGGGGAGACGTAAGAGTAAATTCAATTAGAGTCAAGTTGTTGAGCTCATGTTGGTGAGAATAAAAGCAGTGGAGATGGTGACTGTAGTAAATAGAACTGCAGGACCGTGAGGTTAGTCGGACTCTGAAACAGGTTGTCCAGAGAGGCTGCAGAATATCAGTCATACTCAAAAAATTGATTGTACAAGATGTGTAGGGGCTTGGATATGGTGATGTTCAGAGATCCTAATCTCAAAGTAAACAGTTTTATGTCTGTATGAGTAATACCTTTGGTATGTAGCAATGAGATACTACATACTGGTAGGTCAGGGATCTTAAAAGTAGCCTTTGGGTTTTTTGTCTGAAGTTAAACAAGCTGAAAATTGCTTTCAGGGTACATGTTTATTAAAAAAAAAAAAGAGGGAGGCCTATTTCTTCGTTTCAGTTGTATCTGCCTATCAGAGATTATTTTGAATCTGAGTTTATTGCCACATAGATTCTCAGATGCAGCAATGATAAACATTATTAAATGTTCATCACTTTCTGCCATTATTTGAGATGTCAAAATGTTGGTTTTGCCACTTCCCTGCTTTTGACTTAGTAGTGTGTGTCCAGACACATTTCCCTTTCAGAGGGTAAGATTGAGAGAATTCTTATTTGAGTCCTACTTTATAATATCTTTTTTTTTTTTTTTGAACGCTCAAAGAGCTGTTCCTCCAATGTGATTATCCAGCAAAACAGAACTATTACAGTTTTAGCTTCTGACAGGTCTGAATGTGAATCCTCAGACTGATGGCCATGATGGTTTTGTGAATTTATTCAGTGCAATTAGCCTGTCCTGATGTAGTATTTTGGCAGTACTGAAAATTAAGGTAAAATTTGCCAAACCTAGATGCCATCTTTACAGAGAAGATACTTCTGTCTCCTTCCAAGGTGCTCCTTTCCCTCCTACCAAGTAAATAGGATGATGGTGACAAGTTTACATGTGAGTTCCACTCTGAGCAACAAGAGTGTTGCATGTGAAAAAGGAAGAGGGGATATTAGATGGAAGTCTGATGAGAAAGCAGGTAGGAGACTGAGACAAGCAAAAACCAGTCAGCACAGGGAAATGAAAATCCAAACAAAACCATAGAAAAATCCTTTTCCCTTCTCCCAAATCTGTTATCCTAAGGAGGTGAAACATATTTTAGGTGACAAGAAAATTCATTACATTTCTATGTATATTGGAAAAACAGATAGAAACTACCAAGACTGTTTGTCTCTTATAGGCACAAAAAAGAGAGGCAAAAAGTTACATCTTTGTACTTAAATGAGTTTAACCTTAATATTAAGTTTGAAAACACACACCTTTCCCTTTCCTACACAGCTGTGTATCATACTTCATATAAGCAAAGCTGTTAGTACGGTAAGTCTTCATGCCTTCAAACAATATAATTCCTTGGTCTGTCAAGAATGTTGGATAATCAGCTTAGTGACACGTTATTGAAATAGCTATTTAAGTAATGCTTTGTGGGAATTACTTAGAAGTGGGAGTGCTGCTTACCAATCCCTCTCAGGAGTGGGATATGCAGTGAGAATTCACCAGAATTTTTGGAATTGGGCTCTGCATGCTTATTTTTCTTACCCTTAATCCCTTATGGGGTCCTAATTCAGCTCCAGAGATGACGGAGTCATAGAAAAAAGTAGAAGAGACATTTTTTCCAGTTCTCCTTATAAGTACATCTTCAAAATGTTTAGAAATTGTCAAGCAGGCCAAGAGACAAACATAGTTTAGTCCACTTGGCAACAGTGTATTACTGTAGAGCTAAACCATTACATGTCTCTTGACGGGGAATTTGAGATTCCATCTCAAAGAATGCCAAAGGCAGGTGAATGACCCTCCCTTCTGTCTTTGCTAGAAAATTTTCTCAAAGGCTGACTCCTACCCCATCCCATTGACCGCAACATCTTTCTTTTCTGCACATATCCAGTTTGCATGTTGAGTAATACCATGTTCCTCTGAAGGTTATCTGTACTTATTTCTGTCTTAAGAGCAAGATGTGAGAAGCAGCAACTCCAGTTGTCATATTAGGCAAGCAAACAAGCGATAGGAGTGTAGTCGGGGATCCTTTAGGAGATTCTAAGAAGTCTTGAAGCAGTTACTGCTCTGCCAGTCATCTCTTGCCTTGGGTATTTTCCCTCAACACTCATAGAGCTTTAAGGTTTTAAGGGTCCATTTCAGTGCAGATCAGCCAAGTTAGCTTAAATTGCTTTCAGTTTTGGTGCTGATTAACCTAAATGAGCTTGTGATCAGTTTGAGACAACCCAGGAGTTGCAACTGGCAAGCACTCCAGCAAGACCCTGAGGAGTATACCGATCTCCACCTGACATATCCCAGTTATCCATTATAGACTGTCCTTCAGGGTCCTAAATACTTTTGACCTTAATCAATATACTTGAGTGTAATTTAACATGAAATATATATGCTGAAGTGGCACCTCTGATGATTGTTTCTCTGAAACAATGAACTGGTAAAACCTATTTCATGACAGTATGGTTTTTCCATAGTTTTATAGGCCTGCCTTGTCAACCCAAAATGTTAAAAGGAACCAGTGAATTTATTACCTGATGCCCTTTTGTTAGTCTCTATGAAATTGCATCATGGGGGGCCTTTTTACTAAGAGTGGGAATGTAGGTTGTGAATTTTGCTGTGAGTAGTTTGCTAAGTGTTTCCTATTATTGCATGGACATGACTTTGCAGTTTGTGCTGAAAAGAAGGTTAAATATATTTTACGTCTAATTTTTGTAGATCCAGCATTAGTTTTGGTTTCTGTGCTGGACTAGATTCTGTTTCTTTCTAGAAACATTTGGCAAACAATACAAACTTATATCACTCATTTATAATTATGATAATTAATAATGCATTAATTATTCCAAAAGTACTGGTATGCTGGTATGATGAATATTTATATGTTCTTGAGTCATCCACAAATAGCGTATATTTGCAAAAAACTAAACCATAGTGACTGAAAAGAAGCTAAAAGATATTTAAGTATGTAAAAATTATAGTTTAATAATAAGTGAGTGATGACATGCACAACAAAGGCATAAAGGCTGACTCTATTGTGTTTGATACAGCATCATACGAGCATGGAATCTGTGTTAGTGATCCTTGCAAGAAGATGAATTATTCTTATTGGTAATACCTGGAAGGTGGTGATGGAGTGGGAAACAGATGTCTTACGAATTCACCTGCCTCTCCATCAACTTGAGTCTGTTTGCTATTCTCACATGCCTTGTACATGATTCTTTCCCCTGTTCAATTACACTGAAGATGTTACATTGTTATTATGCTAAATCTTATAATTAGTTGAATAGCTTTATTCTTTCTTTTTTTGTTGTTTTAATTATAAATAGCAGCTTGGAGTAGACGTTTCTCCATAGTGCCTAGGCATACCTGAGAAGCTTTTGAATCAAGTATCAGTTTTTCACTGTCTGCCTAGGGAAGCTTGAATGCATTCTTACAGAAAAGATAAATTTTCCTGATTTTTGACTGGCTGTGCTGCATGATTAAATAGGTGTTGACACTTGGATTGTTTTTAGGATTGCCATGAAATCCTTCCAAAATGCTTCACAGTTAGTAAATTTATAAGGTGGTGAAACAGCTTATTTGGGTGTGAGGACTCAGACTGTCAGCCCCTAGTGGAAGTGTCTTCATGGCTACTTTGTGTTGCTGCATATCTGGCTCCCCTTTTTTTTCTTGGTTCATACTTACTAGTCTTTTAGATTTGTCTTGTTAATTCCTGCATTCTGATTCATTCAACTGCTATTTTGTTTTAAAAAGAGTTTAAAATTAATTGCATATAAGAGAATTCTTAATCTAATTTAGCATGCAGTAACATATAATTAGACATATATATGAATACAATCATAATTCTAATTAAAACTTGTCTTCATTGTGGCTGCAATCATAAAAAAATTAATGCATTTTTTAATAGTGCAAACCCTTGAATGTAATATTTTAGCGTATTCTTCCTTACAGTATCTAAAACCTGTTTGAGAAATCCCTGGTTAGGACGAGCCTACTCTGCTTGTAATTCAGCTTGTCTACATTGTGGATTGACAATTACCTTGGTTTTGACGTTACAGAGTCTTCAGGGAGTTTGACAGAACAGTTTTAATGATTCTGTTTGGAAGCTGATAGAACCAGTGTGTTTATGTAGGTAAAAAGAGACAATGATAGTGGTTTGATAACATTTCCACAAATTTCCCCCTCACATTCATGCATTAGCTTTAAATGCATGTTTTATGCTGATACATCAGTACAGTTTCCTCCCTATAATTTGACATTGAGAAAAACAGAGACTTGACTGTAGAAGTTTCATGCCTAGTCACGTGTGATGCTGTGATTGATTGCCGTGTTCATGTAGGAGCTGCGCTTTCCACCTTGGTGTCTGGAGGATCATATGCAGTACAATGGCATCTATTGAGGTGGACCAGTCTTAAGATTGAAAGTGCATAGGCAGTTACAGTATGGAGTAATCATGGTTTTGTTACATTGTTTTGTGTGTATGCACTTATGTAGTAAGCATCTTGAACAAAAGATTGAGTGCATTTTATTTAGATTTTGTAAAATTGAAGAGTTAAAGAAAAATACAGTTTCTCTTATTTTGCAATTACTCTCTCACTTGAAGCTTGGATTTTTAAATTTTTTTATTTTTCATAAATTAGATTTCATTTTGGGGCTCTTTTGGTGCTCCTTTAGAATTAAATTGATGCTTATTACTTTTTCAGAAATATTTTTTTTTAATAAAAATACAGAACAAGCATCTCAATTATAAGCAAGGCCAGTGTTTGCAAAGCACCAGACATTCCCTTCTCTGTACAGTGGCTTTTATGTTCCTCTTTTATTACAGCTGAAATTTTGAACTGTGAAGCAGTGCCAGCTGGAGTGGCACAAGTGATTTCTCATAGTAACAGATGTCTCGGAGATGAAATTACTGAAGGGCCAGATGGCCCCAATCCCTTTTCCTGTTGTTTAGCCGTCGTTCATTATTAGTAAATATGCCATGCTCTATGTCAGTCAGGCAGGAAAGTGCCAATCAGATTGAAATCATTTCCATCCCTGATCTCTTTAGGTGATCTCTCCAGACAGTTTCCTGCTGCCCCTCCTCAATAAGCAGCTGATAAGTCTGTCTGAGATATGTCTTTGCCTCTTCCATCACTTGCCACAGTCAGAATGTAGAAAAAAGCAAGAAAACTGGAAGAAAACAATGTTGAAATGTAAACACTCTCCTGGGTTTTGTTATAGGGACTTTCATGCGGTGCATGAAACAAGATCTGTTTACCAAATTCCATTCTGCCCCTCTGGCAGGTTCCTTTGATTAAACCAGATAACTATACCTCTAGTCAGAGAGAGCGAAGCCTGCTAAGCAAATGTCAGTGACAGTGTTCAGAAACAATTGTCTAGAGGAGGTTTATAGCTTGGATTCATAATTATGTTTAAAAAGAGGGAGGTAAATGATGGAGTAATAGACTAAGAAACTAGGGTGAGAATTTTTTGAGATAATGGGAATATCATGTGTGAATGTAGAAATATTGAAATTGTTAGATGGACGGGTGCGTTCAAGAACATAAAGGAACAGAAAATCGGTGAGACAGCAGTGAAAACAGTGGCAGGCCCTACATAGTGAAGTTCATCAAAAGCAAAAGCAAAATATTATAGCTAGGGCAATGGGAATGAGAAGTAAACAGTGTGTGTCTATAATCTGGTTAATACTTTTCTTTTTTTCTTGTTAGTGATGCTATTGCTGAGATTAGAGCTGTCTGTATTGAAGAAATTGGTGTCTGGATGAAAATGTACAGTGATGCCTTCCTGAATGATAGTTATTTAAAATATGTTGGTTGGACACTACATGACAGGGTAAGTATTGTGTATTACTGTACATAGCAGAGTGTACTGTAGGTAGCTGATGTTACACTGCATGTTCAGTATATAATTTTTGATTTTTAAAGAAATAGTTCTTTTTTCTTGCTTGTTATTTATCTTTCAACCAGCTTATTTCACAGTATTCACTTAAATTAGGATACAGTGCTCCCAAAATGCACACTTGGTTCACATGTTTTCCATGTTTTCAGTCTCTGTTAGAATATCTTAATAAACTTGTTTTCATGGTGCTTTTCTTCTTATTACAAGAGAAAGAGAAGTTTCCTCAGATCACCCCTGGGAACCTTTGTGTCTGAAGCAGAATGGAAAAGAGATTTGCGGACATGTCTTCCATTTACATTGCCCAATAGTTAGAGGAAAGAGAACACCTCTGGGTCCCCAACAGACATCACTGGCTCTGAAACAGTGGAGTTCTCATCATTTTCCCTTGGAGAATCTCTTCGAGGTTCTCTTTAGCTTTTTCTTCAAAAAATTGTTAAAATATCAGGTGGAAGCAAAAAGATTTATATCTAGATGTTCTTTCCTATCTCACCGGAGTTCTTAGTACTGGTGGTATCCACGATATGCCTCTACTGGGTGGCAACAGGCCAAAGCACCGCTTAGGTCATTCCTGATGCTATAGAACAGGACTTCGCACTTCTAATTTCATGGTTTGCGTTTTTTTTACACCAGGCAGCAACTGCAACTAGCTGTCCTCCCACTCTCACCAAAACCACTAGAAACACTTGTTTTACTCTAAACGATTTTGCTAACATTATGCAAGGAAAGGAGAGGAGACCTACCTATAGTGTTGAAATGCTCATTAAATTACAGCATCCTGGTTCAGACTATTCTTTATCTAGAGCACTGAAAAAATTAACAGTTTGCAAGTTCATTCTGATGACTTGCATAACTGGTAGTTAACAGCTGATTCTTTGAAGAGATTTCTTCAGTAGCTTTGGACAGCATATTAACAATGAGGATACAACTCAGTCACTCTTTTTCTGAAGTCTGAACAAGATCAGTTAGAAAGATCTTAGCTTTTGCTAATGAAAGAAGTTAGCTGCTGCTGGTTCTTTTGCTTTAGCTATAGCTGATAAGGATCTGCATTTTACCTGATTTGGACCAGCAGTTTACTTGTTAAGAGTATCCTGTATGCTTTAGAGTCTAGACATGTGATGTCATTTCTCTCTAAACCTGTAGTTCTCAAACTTTGACTTTACAAACTTTCCCCAGACTTGTACATTGCATCTCATTGTTACAAAACTTGATTAGGAGGAAAATCCTGCTTACTCCTACAATCAGCCCTGACCAGTGTTTACTCTAGAAACTTCCTATAATTGAAGGTTGGACATGGAAACATGATCATCACAGTGCTTTGAGGGGCAGAGCAGAGCTGTTGCTCCATTTGTGTACCTCATTTTTAGCATCGGTGTGTCTCACTACCAGGCATGCTTCAGGAGATGGACATTGTTGCTTCAAGTTATCAAATCAGTGGGGAGGTCAGGTCGAAGGATTAGGATTTTAGGTGTGGTGGTGGGTTTTATTTTACTAGGGCTTTAAATGAAAAATAAATTATCCCTTGAATAATTGCAATGGATTTTTTTGAGCACATTCTATCTGTTGCAGAACATTTCCACAAAGTAGCACTTCCAGTGGGAGAACAGAATCTGGTAGGTTGCACTTCACAGCTCTTGGTCCCCTTCTAGTATCTGTGAAGTCCAGCCATTTCTCACATAACTCCCTTTAACCATCTGTGAAATCTAGCCATTCCTCACGGCACTGTCTGTGACTGGTGTCAGGTTCTCACACTCTTATCTGTCACATCCAGCAATTTCTCATGTCATGTCCAATAGCTTCTCACATCCTCTTCAGTCAGCTTAACCTCAGGCCAGGGTCTAGTCATCTCCCTGCAGCCTTAACATATATTTATACCTTGGCTTTTTTAAAATTAATGTGTTCTTTCATATCAGACAAATTTTAAATTACAGTGTTATGGTAAAAAAAATGGGTTTCCATCTGGACCAGACAGAAGAATTCTATCAGGCTACTCTCCTGCCTCTTCTTGCTTTGTAATATGCAGGCCTCCAAAGTGCCTTGGGGTTCTAAATCTTTAAATCACTAGCTAATCTGTTTTATATCCTGGTATACATGATATGTGATATTTTTTATTGATGTTGTATATGTTTAATATATAGAGTGAGACTTTTTAAGTAGAAAAGAGAGTCAGAGGCAGTTAAGCCGTGTGTCAAAGGATGAAAAGGGAGAGAATGGAAAGAAAGAGACATTTGGGGAGGCACAGAAAGGAGGAAGGAAGTGCATGGGGAGAATATATTGAAAAAGATGGAATAAGAATCATTTAAAAATGCAACCCATCCAAAAGTATGAGATCCCTTAATGGTATGTTTTTCACTGGCACTACCTGAAAAACTTGCCAGCCAGTACCCATGTTTCTTGATTTTGCTTTGCTTTGCTTTGCTTTGATCAGGAGATAATTTTTTCCATGAACAGTACTTAAAGTACTCAAAAGATGAAGGCTGAGGCAATAGTCATAAGGTATTTTCATTTCATGTGAACAGAAATTACCCCAAAATGATTAACTTCTCTGGAAGCTTGCCACTACAAAAAAGAGAGGAGGCAGCAGTGTAAGAGATTCACAAGCAGTTTCATATTCAGCTTCAGAAGACATACAAATTAAACCACAGGGAAGACACAATTCTTACATTTCTTTATAGTAGCTCCAGAGTAGTCTTTCAGAGGTACAATACAGAAGCTTAGTTCTATTAATTTGGGAAATCTGTATATTTTGTACGTTAATCCTGTCTCCGAGTTTTCAGATTAACTTCTATAGGGCTTTTTATTTTTTATAGATTACGTTCTCATTTGAATACGGGTTTCGAGTTCTACCTTTCTCTCCTTTTAAGCTTCTTTTTTATTCCTGTGGATATGGGAGCATAAATTAAAAATACATAAAGCTATAATAGAATGGCATTTTAAAAACCTCTAAAAAAACCACTGTCCAGTCTTAATTTTCACCTGCCTCACTGATGCATGGAACTGTTTTCAAACAATGGTCGTGTCTCTAGATACCTAAACAATCATGGTTCTTAAACCAGTCCCTAACACTCAAGAAAATGCTTCTTCCTTCTTTGTGTGCCTCTACTTATTGAGTATTTCTGTGAAAGGAATGAACCCAGGGTCCTCTGGAACAGATGGTGTTAGAATACTTCATTGTGATGGCATCCTAACTTAAAAGGATGAAAACATAGAACCTCTTTTTATTATGATTGTATAGAAACTGAAGTTGTAGTTTTTCCAAACTTCCAAATCTTAACTTTATATAATCTCCTTGTTAGGGTAATTCCCTTGGTTTTGGGAAGGCTTCAGAAAATAAAAAATGTGTCAGATGATATATGGTATCTTCATAAATGTTATTGAGTGGGCATGTGCAGACAGAGTGCAACTGCTTGCTCCTGCCAGGAATACTCCTGCTATAGGTACTAATGTGCTGCAGGATGTTGTCATCTGTCTATCTCTGGCAGTGTAACTATTTCTGTCATTAGGCAGCAGGTTGCCTCAAGATACACCATTCTAGAGCATCAAAATGCAAGCCAGGATATCATGGTCATCTCATAAAGTGAGGGATTGAAAATACCCAGTAATTTAGGTCATTTTTCTACATGTTTAAAAAACCAAACAGTGCAGTCTTCAGAAATATGGTAGGGCTCTGAGCTGAGCAAATTAATTACCTATTTAATAGGTTTTAATAAAACCAGATAAATTTTTTTAAAAGAGCAGAATACCCTTAGCCACCAAAAAATAATTGGAAAAATCCAAAAGAAGAAACATGAAGTGTGAAAAGAGAAATTTGCTGGGACTCTTGACCACTCGCCTATTTTAAAAGTACTTAAAACTATGTTTCTGGGGGTTTAAAAAGTCATCATCTCTGTGATCTAAGCCTTTGACTGGCGTGTGAGGTGACGTGTAGCAGTGCACCTTTAATTACCATTTCTTGCAGTGGTGGTATCCCTGAGTGGTATCCCTGGTTCTCACTGGGAGATGGCAAACTCATACTCACAAGTATGAACTGTGTAGAACATTAATAACAATCTAAGGTGGCTTGAGGCCAGGCTATAGATCACTGTGAGACTTAGAGTTATGGGTTGTTGGTTTGAGTCCCATGATTAGCATGTAAAAAGTATGAAAAAGGTGTGCTTCCATCAGGAGGGATTCTTTTTTAGAGGTCTGCCATATTAAAGAGGATTTTCAGTAGAGCGTGACTCTCTCAGACAAATGTGGACTACCCCACACTGCTGTCACGGAAGGTGTATATCGCTTTTTGCTACATTAGCAGTGGTAACAATTTTTTGCTCAAAACTCGGAGGATTATCTCAGCAAAAACAGAGAAAAGAATGAGAACTGTTTGTCATTAAACAGTGATGATAAACATTAAATGCTTTTTTGTTTAGTTTCTAATTTCAAATTGTAAATAAAAGAAAGCATTAACAATTAAGTATTAGCGCAAAGCATTTCTCATATTCATGAAAAATAATTTTATATAACAAAAATAATAAAAACATATAATTATCTGAAACTGCTTTGAGAGAAGGGGAACTACAGGAATAATTAGACTGGAGAAAGAGGCATGCATAGAACCAATGGCAGTGTGGATGAATTCAGGATTCTGCAGTAATCAAGTGTCACAATTATAAATCAGACAAAACCACAAGTAAGTATATATATCTCAAAAGAATGGAAGGTCTTAGTTTTAGAATTCTGAGAATTCAAATAGTTTGTCCATTATTTACTTAGAAAATGGCAAGGCTTTCCTTTCAGATATGTTTTTTCTGTCTGTAGAGCATAGATGTGACTACTCAAAAATGGCTGGAAAGAGATGCTTGTTTTTTTTAACAGAAGATATTGCATGGCTGCAAATATTTGCTGCCTTAGGTTGCCTCATGCTCACTATGAACTTCAGCTCAGAATTGTAGAAAATCTGTCTAAAATCTAGTCTGGGAAATATTTTTGCTTATTCCTTTCCTGCTTAAGGTTGAGTTCACTGTATATCCACAGTGCTTCTCAGTCATATTTTCTAAAAAATCTGTGGTGTTGGTTATTCCACAGCTTTCTGTAGAAGTTTGAGTGCTTAACTATGTTTGCTACTGAAAAGTTCTTCCTCACATAAGCTAAATAGTCTGTGTTATAATTTTACTTCTTTTCCTAACCACTGTGCACATAAAAAGTGACAATTACTTATTTCCTCTTCCTTCATAGCAAACTAACTTTCCCTTGTGCTACAGAGGTATTTACAGAAGGTTTTCTTCATTATCTCTTGTGTCCATTCCATACTGTGCCCAGGCCTTTTTTATTTGTCTTCCTTCTGGTTTTTGTCTTACTCTTGCACTTGACCTCCTAATTAATTTAATAGTTAAATAAGGTCATCTCTTAGTTCAGTAAGTCTCTTCCTGTCCTTGCTCTCCATCACTGTTCACAGCTCTTACCCTGGCATAAGTTTCTTAGGAATTACCCTAACTTTAGCATTCCCACCCACCTATTTCCTTGCTAGATAGGAAATTTCTGCTGCATTTCTTTTCCCAGAAAACATTCAGGCTGTTAAAAGCTCATGTCACCTGCATAATTCTCATAATTGCTCAAAAAACATCTCATGTCTGGCATGTTGACGGTCTATGGCACATTGCTACTCCTCCATTCTGGACTGCAGTGCAGTGTATCCGTGTACACCCTCACTCTGCCTGCCTCAGGTTCTTGTCCAGGGCATTGCTGTTTATGCTTCCTCGTGGGTTCCTGTCACTAATCTCTGCTGACTCTATTTTGAAAGCTTCTTAACAGTATGAGCAAACTGACATGTCAGGGGCTCTTCCCTTTCCAATGAGATGAATTCCATCCTCGTCCAACAGTTTAAAAACCAGACCTTTTTGCTATCAGAGAAAGTCCTCCTCCCATCATTTGTCCTCCAAGAAAGGCAGTCATTTCCAGGAATTGCCTCTGTGCCTCCCGGGCCTTTGCTCCCAGCTCGAGGGACTGAGTGTAACAATCTTTCTCTCTTCCTCACCTGCTCCTGCAGATGCTTGTCTTCTGCCTTGGGTCTGGTGAGCGGCAGGAGGGTAGTAGCCTGGTTCAATATGCTCTTGTTAGCATCTGGCCTCAGACTCCTGGCAGGCCGTGCAAGTACCAAATGTTCACAGGTGCATTTCCTATCTACCTTGATTGATTTGCTCACTTCAGATTTATAGAGACACTCAGTATCAGGCTTGAACTTAACTCTGGGACCATTGATCCATGGTGTTTGGTGATGTCCACAAGGGCTTTGGACTCCACAAAGAGTCATTACTTTATCTGCACAGGTCTGAAGTCTCTTTGCTGTTGGCATTTTTTTTTTCTGTACTGAACAAATTTCAAGTTTTGCATTTTGGGACTACAGCACTGGCTAAATAACAAGCCATCTGCTCAGAAGTGGGACAGACTTCAGTGGAGTTGTAACTAAACCTGCTACCTCACTGTTGCTCCGTAGTGTTCATCACAGGCCAAAATCAATACTGATCCTCTGTGGCTAAATAAGCCAAGGCTGCAAGAGGCTTACTAAAGGTTAGCGATGACTCCAGAGATCCTGGCCTTTCTGAATGCCACACAGCAGAGGAAACACCATTTCTGGTACTGCAATACAGGTACCATTAAAAGAAGAATGACATTCAGAATTTCTCTGTGCTTTTTTATCACTTGATCACATCCATATAAAATTTTTCTTCAAGAAACTTCTCTTTTGTACCTTGAAAGATCTTATGATAGATCCTTTAAATGTAACTTTCATCTCATTGACTTTCTCTGCAATGGTAGTCAAAAAGACCCCTAGAAGAGAGCATGAGTGCTCAGAGACTCCTCACAGATAAAAAGAGATGGTTTCTCAGGAACAATAGTGCTTCAAGGAAAAGCTTTTCTGAAAATCCTCCTTTCAACTTTTGTCCTTCTTTTATCTTCTATTTCAATTTTTGAAAAAGGTGGGAAGGAGGAGAGAAACTTAAAAATAAGGGGGTTTTAGCTGCTGTTTTTATGTCAGTCTGTGAATGTTCTTTTAGTTATTTGAGCAGTTTTTAAATGCAGACAATTTTAGGATAGGCTCAGAAATGAAGCTTCTTTGGGCATGGAGTTCTATTTGTATTAGTTCTTGAGCAGCTTCAGGCCTTAGATTTGGTAGTGTACTCACTTTCATAAAAAAAGGTTTACACTGTAGTGAACTCTGCAGATTATATTTGAACAGATTTGTGTTTATAACCGTTTTGCTATCTACAAATCTTTTTCAACAAGAATCCATAGTTTGCTGAGACTACAGAGTTGAGCGAGCTAGATGATGTGCATGTGCTCAGGGGATCCAGCCCTTCTCTTTGTCATCCATGTTCCTGTGGGCGACAAACCTTGATGCATAGGCACTGCCTGGTGACACCTCCATTTCCTGCATACAGCCCACCAGATCAAAGTAATCCCCACCTAAAGAGTAGCTGGGAGTGAGCTGCTACCACCGGAACAACTCAGACAGATAGACACAAGCTGCTCTTCCTCCCGAGGGCTCTGACAGCTGTGTCATAGATGCATTGTTCTTGTGGCAGCAGCCTGCTCCCCATGGGAGGGTCTCCCATGCCTTCTGCATCCTTCAACCTGTGCCTCACCCAGGCTGAGAGATGGGATGCAGAGAATTTCAAAATAATAAATGCAGCATGTATTCCTTCTGTCACTACGGAAAGGAAAGATAACGCTTGGAGATGGCTAAGTTGTTGGAGTGGGCTACACATAGCCCACGCTCGGTCATTTTGAACACTTGTGTGTGGATTGTACCACCATATGTCAGGCAGAAGTCACCTGCAGTCTCTTTCCTAAAGACAAATAGCCACACTGTTTTCACCAGCCACCTTGAGATCATACCTCTTCATTTTGTATTGATTTGCCACATTCTTTATCTTTTTGTGGAGTTACTTGAAAGGGAAACAGTAACAGACATTTACGTGATGGCACATTAAATTCTTTATATATGCAAATAGGGAGAAAATTTAACATTGTTTGTAGGCAGCTGCATGTGGTTTTTGGTTTTTAGCTGAATTGCAAATTGGCTTTGGTAACTCATTTGCATTAAATTTTAAATGTACATTAAACAAATTACAATATGATATTATTTCATATTCATGTGCATTTGATTAGGGTATTCTATCAGCTAATCTTAGTGTGTTTTATTTAGCAAGGTGAAGTGAGGTTGAAGTGTTTGAAAGCTCTTCAGAGTCTGTATACCAACAGAGAGTTATTTCCAAAACTGGAGCTGTTCACTAATAGATTCAAGGTAAGAGGAAATACAATTTTTGGAAGGAGTACAGAAAATAAAAATATATTTCTATCTCATATTGTTGCGGTCTTTGAGTCATGTATATTAAATGCAAAAATAAACTCATTTGTTTGTAACAAGGCTTGTAACTGCAGTAGTAAAACTGTATTACTGAATGCTGAGATTAAGCCAAATTCATTTTACAGTGTTTATCTTGTAAGATTTGTCAGGCTTGGCCAGGATGATTATTTGTCTGTTTGTATTATTGATAGTTTATATGTTGTCATTATTCAATCTGCTTGTACTCATTTAATCTTAGATTTATTGAATTTTAAGGATGTGTACTGGGTGTTTCACACAGTCTAAAATACATCTGAAAGTAACAGCCTATAACAAAGGGTGGTTTGTAAGACAGTTTTTTAGATGAGTATGTGCTTGTGTTTGGAGGAAGATATACTTTGATCTGCATCATGATATTCTATACAGTGAAATACCTTGCTACAGAACAGAAATTTACAGTGTGCTTTTTTGACAACCCCCTGAGAATGATTGTCCTGTTTAGGAGATAACTACTGAAGGAGTATTCCACGGGTTTTTTTACTAGCACAAACACACTGACTTTTTGCTTAATATCTTGATAGAACTTGGCTGTTAATTCACTTTGTGCCATGACTGCTTTATTTCACAAGTGAAGTATCCAAAAGAGATGAGTGTAGCAATAATGTCATTGCTTCTGTTTAGATGGTCTGGGGAGAAAGCTTTCAGGCACTGGCACCACATCAGTTATCACCCTTTACCGTCGCTTTTGTGTTCTGGAGAACACGCAACAGTGGTAAAGGCTACGCCCCAAGGAAAGAGTGGTTTCATTTATTTTAGTTTAAGTCATGATTATAAAGCTGATGCAGAATTCTATTTAGAAAAGAAGTGGAGATTTAAATACTTGTAAATAACTGCTGTGCATGAGACTTAAATTTCTCACTGTAGATTTTACACTGCTTCACTGCTTTTGTCTGTCACTGCAGTTACTATTAACTCCTCCAGTTTGATCTAGGAAAGCACAAAATACAGAAAACTTGTCATATCTTCCCTTTATGAAACGATTCATAAAAACATAATGGTAATCAGCCTTTTACCACATTCACTTGAGATGGAGAAAAAAGATGCTTAAACTGCTAGATGTTAAGTCTAGATGTTAAGGAAGGCTTTTTATCCAAAAGTATAGTTATATAATAGAACAGACACTTTATTAATCATCTCCTTCATTTGAGATTTTTAAGGGCAGATTAAATAAATATCTGCCAGAATGAACTAGGTATAGTCGACTTTAAAGTAGGAAATGAAACTAGATCATTTTGTGAGATCACTTGAGGGCCTGTATTCTTCTAATTTTATAAAGTCAGTTTCTGGGACTATTGCAGTAAAGACCAAGTTTCCTCTTATAAAAGGGTACCTGGCAAAGAGTACTACAGACTACTACTGTAATGCCTCTGTAAGTCTGGTTTGCTTATCATCCCCGGACAACCAGAAGTACTAGTTAATTCTCCAGAAAAATGAACCCTCCAACTCTGCTGCTTTTCTTGTTCCATCTGTGCAGACTTACAGATTTGTTTATATTTGCTCCTTCTTTAATTCTATTTATTTCAGAATAGGCCACTAAAATTCTTATGGTCTCTATATCTGCTTCTCTTTACTAGAAAATGTGCTGGATGCTTCTCTTCTAGCCTTCTATAATTTGTAAGAGAAAATGCTGCTTTGATTCTGAACCTGTGTCATCGACCAGCAGAACTTTTCAAGACGATTGGAGGCACTTTGAGAAATAGTTACTCAGTAATATACTTCAAAAAACTACAAGAACATGAAACCTCTAAATATTTCCTCCTGGCTTTTTCACACTATAGACTGTTTTCTTTGTTAGAAGAAGCTAGGTTAGCATGTGTGTTGCTTCTTAGTTTAGAATGGCACAAGGAATTTTCATTTCTGTCAAAAAGATTCAGAAAAAAGGGAATCCTGTTAGGAATTCTCATCTTCTTTTCCATTAAAGCTGTTTTTACTACAGAAGTCTCTGTCATTATGAAATAAGTTAGACAAAAGGTGAGTTCAAAGTCTCTGTGAGCCTAGATAACAGATCTGTTTAACATGATTTATCAGTTTCAGTTTCCAGCCACATCAAGAGAACAAAAAGCTGGCAATGCCCAAATGTCTGTGCTTGGATTTACAGCTGTGCTGACAGGGATGCAGCCTTTGGCACCAGGATGGAGCAAAGTTTCAAATTAATGCTTTTTGAATCTGTAATGCATTACTTAAATGCCTTGCCACCACAAACTCTGCCACCACCCCCTGTAAAATAATTGACCTAAATGCCATTCTCAGTTCCATGGCTGCTTATTTGTATTTTCCTCATCAGACTTGAATCGACCTGCACAGTTCAGCTGGTATTCAGCTCAATCCATTGAAACTGTCAAGAGAAATCTCTCTAGAGATCTAGCTGTTTAAAGTATAAATTAATTTGATCCAGAATGACTTGTACTGGGGTGTTAATATTTCACCACCTTCCAGATAGCTGTGACGAGGATCCAATAATGTCACTTCTCCAAAGGGAGGATCTGTGTTCTTTCTGGTGTTTGTGTTTCTAGGAGTAGGTGATATGCTAGAAAATAAGCTTTGTCTGTCAAAAAAAATTTTGTCCATCAAAGAGGAGACTTTTGTTTTCCATCAGGAAGTCCTGTCTGATTAGCTGAAACTGTATGGAAAAGGTGTGAATTAGGTCTTTTGCAGTCAGTGCCAAAGTCAAGACACCAGCAGATTTAGCTGCAGCCATTTAATTCTCGTCCCTTCTCCCTTGTTCCCTATCCCTTTGCAGGAGAGTGCTCTCTCCCTGTCCTGAGGCAAAAGGAGATCGATTTGCTCTTCAGCCAGCCTTGTTCACAGCCTAATACATAATTGCAAACTGATCTTGATAGACAGTGGTGCAGGAACTTTCTGTTAAAGCATGTTGAGCACCTGGGGTTTGTCGCTTGCTAAACCACAGAAGTTACACCTTCCAGAGGCATTAGGTGTTCAGGTCTTACTTTAAAGGATTTTGGTGCCTGACTGACAGGTGCCATCGCACATAGATCCTGGCACCAAAGCAGAAAATAAGAAATGATGCATCCACACTGTTTATTTTAAATCCAGTGTTTCTGGAAAAAATTGAGAGAACAGTCTTTTTGGGTAAAAAAACATGGTCGTGTTAGTTGGCTTCGAAGTCCAAAAGAACTCCAAATTCAGAGAGTAGCTCTTGCTCTGAAGGCAGGAGAGAAGGTCCCTTCCCTTCCGGGCTTTTTTAGAGATGCAGAAGGAGTTTTATACTTGTGTGCTTACTCCTTCATGTGTAGTTAGTTCCCTCCCTGTGGTATCCTGGGGGTTAGGATACACTTCGAGGGAGTATATGAAATTCCACTGAAATTTTTAAGATGAATATATCTGGCTGTTCTTTCTCTTGATGTTGTTATTAGTTGTTCCTTAGCCAGGACCTTAGGAAAAATTGACAGCAGTATTTTTGTCTTATCCATACACAGGATTTCCTGTTTGTAAAGTTATTTCACTGTTTGAGTCTCTTCATGGGCTTCTCACACTCTCTAAAACTGTATAGACACAACAGTTAAATGCATCAAATTTCCCAGGAACTTAATGGTGAATTGATACAGGTGCACTCAGTCACAGTGACACAGAGTATCTCTACATACCTGGTTTTGTTGAGAGGCAACACTTGAGACAGCCACAATGAATTCTTTACATACTGTTCCTGGATTTCAATACTGAAATAAGCATCAGTTGCTTGATACTCACCTTCAGCCTTTATATGCCTGGAATAGTAAAGAAAAGAGGTGAACACCTTTATTTTGTCCTGATTTGTTCTTGGTGACTTTCACTGTTGTTTCCTAACACTTCCCTTGTTTCTTTTCCAGTCCATGACTTCTATTTTTTCACATCCCAAAATGTCATATAGTATCTAGTCCTTCCTGAAGCAGGTCAAGCCAGATAAATCAAGTTTTATTTTCAGATGGCCCAATTTCTTTTCATTAACTTGATCAGTCAAGCAAAGAACATCAAGACATACTGCATTTTTATGGATGGATAGAAATTCTCCCCAGATAGGGAGGACAACATACACTAATCTCATCTATTTTTGGTTGCCAGTAAGCGAACTGAAACTAAGGAGAAAGAAACCCTTAGGACACTTCATATAACTACAGGGTCCTTAGAAGTTATAAAGTCATCACATTCAATTGGAAAGTGGTGTGCTTTTCTCCATGAGAAAGAGTATAGGAAACTAAAAAAGCAAACCACAGAATTTTCCACTTTCCTGTGGAAGGTCTGTAGTGTAATTCTTGAGATCAGCTTCAAACCTTAAGAAGGTAGCCAGGTATAAAGGCCACAACTTCACAGGCAATATGCAGATGCATATATTCAGGTGTGATTTTCTTCACAGTATTTCCAAATATGCATATTGCTCTCAAATTATTTCTTTCCAGGGGGATGAATCAGGGCAATTTTTCCACTGTCATCCAACCCAAGTACATTCCTTTTCAGGAAAGAACTGTTAAATAAGATGAGTCCAGAACAGTTCTTCGACTCCAAATTCTGCTTGCTCATCTCCTGGAAAACACACAAGGATGAGGACTATTTGTTAAACACTTGTTCTCATGCCTGTGTACTTGCTATTGTTCCATTGTGCATATAGTACACAGCTTCCTGAGATGTACATTAAATGGTTGAATAATATTAAAGGGTCTTCATGTGTCTAGCTGAAAGATCTTTTCCCCCTCCCCAAGAGTATTTTGTAATCTATACAATTCTTCATCTGATAGCTGTTTGTGTGTTTCTGTTTTGTCACTGTAATAAAATTCCTTTCCAGGATCGCATTGTATCAATGACGCTCGATAAGGAATATGATGTCGCTGTGGAAGCCATTCGATTAGTCACACTAATACTTCAGTGAGTATTTTTCAAAACCATTATAATCCTCTTGAATCTTACCTAAGCCAGTAATATTTGACTTGATTTCTTTGTTTGTGTAATAAAGCAAATCTGTTACTTTACAATTAGTGTGAAGTTGAACTAAATATGTAATAATATGGTTATGAACCTAAAGTAAGATATTCCATTTCATGGGAATACAATAGGCAAAGTAAAAATATAATGATGTATTTAGACTATTAGTGCATCCATTGTTGTGGCAGGATACCAAAGGGCATTTATAGCTTTTGCAAGGGCAAAATGATTGTCCTCCCCAAAACAAGTATCTGTAGGTTACCTTTGCTAAAATAACTCTAACAGTGACTGAGCAAAGGTCCAGTGTTAGGAAATGTGATTACCTGACACAGCTGAAGAGTCATCTGGTAAATAAGCTGACAGGGAAAAGATGCTAGCTTCAACCTCCTTGTTGGGGGTATGTGGAGGTGTCAGTGGTAGCTTGCAAATTTAGACATTTGGCCATGCAGAAGGAGATGCTTCCAGGCCCCCAACTTTTTCTTAGAGATGCAGTGGCTTCCCTGAGGCAAAGATCCAGTCCAGAGACCATCCCACATGGTGGCTGTTTGAACCAGCCTGTCCACAGCAGCCTCACGAGTATGCTGTTGGAGGAGCACTGCTAAGCTTTTACTATATATTTCTTAAAACCTGTGTTAAAATCTGTGTTACAAACATGCACAGAATTTCTGCATCATACTTTGGACCTAGTGGCTCTACTATGAAGATGTTTTTGGACATGCAGAATTAAGATGAAAAATTGGACTAACTTTTCCTCTTAGTAAAGAAGTCTTGACTTAAATTTTTCTATTTATGGGTCATTTTGCTTTAGATATTAGACTTGTAATGCTAAGAAGAAAGGAAATGTTTTATCTACTGTTACATTTTTAAAGGAAATATAACAAATATCACAAATGAAATGTAGAACGCATCTATTCCCTATATTATTAGCGATATTTGGGAACACAGTAAGATTTTAGTCAGAAATTATCCAGTACAAGTTTTTTTTTTTTACCCCCCCCCCGCCCTGTTTTTTCTTTGGTTGCATGATGAGAACAGTGTTAGATGCATTTAGCACCAGAAAAATATGGGTCATGTTGAACAGCACAAGGCAGTATTCTGGCAGGTAGGAACTCCAAAAAGATGTGATGAACAATCATCATGGGGAATGACTGTGCTGGTTTAGGCCCTGCTGGGACCGGAGACCACATTACCATTGCCCCTCCCCCACCCTCAGCCGGTCGGGCTGGCAGTGAGGCACAAACCCCGGGTTAAAATAAGGAGAAATTTAATACAACAGTGTGATAAACAATCTGAACAACAACAGTAGCAATGATAACAATAAACCGTTATAACAGTGAACAAGACAAAGGATATACAGAGAAATACCGCAGTGGTTATAGACAGCTCGCTCGCGTGCTCCCTTTCACCAAAGCCACAAAGGAAAAAGTTCCCGCGCTGCCGCGCTGGACCTGACATCAGCATGGTATGAATAACCTGGCTGGAGATCCCTTCCCCCTCTCTGCTGAGGAAACTTAACCCTATCCTAGCTGAACCAGGACAATGAGCAATTAATAGTTATTTGTAGTAGGAAGCCACATGATGTATAGGGTGTTGATACACAAATGTTTCTGATGAATGCTGACTGAACAAGGAGGGAAGTAATATTCCTGTATGTTACAGTGGTGATATTTAATTATTGTTGGTGGAATGTAGTTGTCACATGGCTCATAGCATTTTTGCAGGAATACTACTGAAACATAGAATTTTTTCTGAGTTTCAGAAAACACACACACACATCCTGAGTTCAGAAACAGCAGAAGACCCAACTATGTCATTTACCCAAGACAAGGGTAAAAGGTGGCTTGTTCTTGAAGAGAAATAATGACAGAAAATAAACTTTTCATTATCTTTCATCTGGCACAGCAGGGTACAATCAGATTCAGTTTCTTGATGTTGAAAATTAAGTCTAAATCTAGTCAGCACAATAACTACAGTAAAAGTGTTGGACAATTTACTGTGTGTTCATTTGATTGGTGGATGCACAGTGCTAGTTCTGTGTCCCCACTTCATAGCATAATCTGGTTTAGTTTTCTGCTGCCCACATCCAGTGCATTTCTGTGCCCCATTGCTGAGACAGTTTTATCCACCTTGCCTGGACCTTTCAGCAGCTGGAATTGGGAATATTCCTTCCTGCTTACCAGGCCATCAGAGAGGCACCTCCTGCCCTGCAGTGCACAGAAGCACATGGACTGTCACGTGAAAAGACTTAACTCTGGAGAATAGAGAAGGCCAGGAGGCTGAAGCAGGTTTTGCCAGTCCCAGATTTGAATACTTTAAAAATTCAAAGCTTTGAAAGCAGACAGACATTGCTATAGAGGTAAATAAGGTTAAGAAGGCAATTACATTTTCCTCATGTAACATTCTAGGTTCTTAGTTTAATGTTTAGTAATGAGTGTTTGGCATCTTGTAATATGTGCATTGCAGTTAGTATAATGGTCTAAGAATTTAAGCAGGGCAGGATTTGTAAGCAGTGATGACATTTTTTTCACAATATTATTTTTATATACATATATATTGATAAAACTGTGAGAAGAAAATCAGACAGACTTTCAGTTTTGCAGACCCTTTAAATATTTTTGTATTTGGAAATTGAACCAAAGATCCTTGAAGCCAGTGTTCAGCCAGTTAGGATTTTGTATGAAGGAAATCAATCTTGTAGCTGTCAGAAGTAAGTCAGGGGAGGTGAGAGGATTGAAATGAATCATTTGTTTTAGTTCAGGTGTTACTTTCTGACTCTTTCAGTGGAAGCGAAGAAGCTCTGTCAAATGAAGACTGTGAGAATGTTTATCACTTGGTGTATTCAGCACACCGGCCTGTTGCAGTAGCAGCTGGAGAATTCCTTCACAAAAAGTAAGTTATTGGTTGCTGTGGAATAAGACCGGTTTTGTGAATGCTTTCTGGTAGAGGTAAGATCAAAAGGCAAAGAAGCAAGAGTGAAATATCCCAATATAGCAAATCAAGTATTTAATTTAAAACAGAGGCTTGTTTTCTTGTTTAAATTCAAGACCTAAAGACTTGAAGAAAGTGAATTTACATTTTTCTTGCTCTAGAATTCAGATCAATTTTCCCAGCTTCTCAAGGGCTAAATACACATACTGCATAAACATCTGAAGTTGGTTTAAATCCTGAAGCTCTTTCTGAATCACTGTTGTGATAATATAGGGCGTGTACATCCCTGATGGTGTTCCTGATAGCAGTCATCATTTTTACAGTTTCAGATGAGTTTATTTCAGAATTGTGAACTTGAGAGGTTTTTAGTAGTAATGCATGTAGTGTATAAGAAATCTGATTTCAAATTCACTGACTTACCCTAAAAATGCATTACACTGTGGTTGCATCTTTCACGTACCCACTATGCCAAAGGAAATGAGCTAGCTTTTCCATGGATGTGAATCATACTACATCAGTAACTATGACCAGGACGTTGCCACATCATCAGTTAACATTGTCATTTAGGGTTTGCAGTTAAAAGTCTTTTAGCAGTAATTTTATTTTTTTCCCCTCATGGAATATGACATTAACCTTCTTTAATAAATTTATAGAGTATTTATATCAGAACTCAGGTTATCTAATTTTTCATGCCAAGATACACAGTAGAAAAAATTACATAAAAACGTCAGTTTTCCTGTGCCAGTGTTCTAACTTACTCTGTTTTATCAGTGATTTAGAAGTCCACATTGTAGTTGTAAGCTTCCGTTAGTGGATTTCTGGAATTCCATCTTTGTTATTAGGCATTATTTGTTTTAAGGAATTGATTTACAAAATTCAGTTACATTTCGTTTCCTGCATGACGTTTTACAAGCTATAGGAAAGAATTAGGTTCTTTTTGAAGATACATACTGACATGTTTTTGTTAATCATCATGTGACAACATAATTTTGAAAAATGCCTTGAAGGTAAATGAAGACATATCTACACCTTAGTGCACTTAGCGTAAAGACAAAACTTTATCCTAACTTTTCTTTACAATGAGATATTATGCTGCATTCTGTAAATGTGTCTCAAGGTAAACAGCACTGAGAGAAGGTTGTCCCATTCCTAACACTCATTTTTTCTTGGTATCTGCTAACACGTAAAAGCTGGTGCTCCATTTTAAATAACTTAGAACCTGCTTGAGGAGTTTGAGGTGGGATTTTTTTTGCCTAATTTTATACATTTAAATAGCACTTTGTGTCATCAGGCTTTCTCTCTGTTGTTAGAATAGAAAAGCAAATAATAGAGAGGATCACTGGCTCAATCCTGCGGTGGATGTTTTAAGATACTTCTGTACCTGCAGAGGTGCTCATTTCTTACCTATTAAGATAGACGGGGGGGAAAAGGTGATGTCTTTAACTAAAATAGGTTCGTCTGTAACTCATCCTTCTCTTTTCAATGAACTACAGTAGTGAAATCAGAATACTATGTTTCATCTTTGTAATTTGCTTTGTGACTGCATTTTCAACTGTAAAAGCAAGGAACTTTGTCGTGTCATGTAGGCACAGCTGAGATCTTTTTAAGCTAGCAAATTTGAGCATTGAGAGTAGTTTGGAATTAGCCATGCATCAGGGAACTCAATGCAGAATGTATAGTTAACCTGAAAAAAAACCCCAAATAATTGAGTGGTAGCTTGCTTTATTCCTTTATGGTATAAACAAACCTGACACCCCATTAAACAACCACTCTCAGGTACCGGTAGCAACATAAAGGATAATGCAAGCTTACAGTCAGTGTGACCAGAGTGAAGATACAACCATAGTTCTTAAGGCACTAGTGGAATAAGTGGTACCACCATTGTAAGACCAGATAAGTTAAAAATGCAAAACTGTACAAATTATGCAAATACATAAAATGGTGCAAAATCCTTCAATATAAATATTTTTTGGAGAGCTTTTTCCTCTGTGAAATTCTTCCAGCCTTGTGAACTTGAAGACTCTGAAGATAAATTCATCTCTTCAGACAGGCACAGAAGTCATGCCCTCTTTCCCTTGAAAGAGATAGCTTGAGATGCTTTCACTGTATTATGTGCACAAATCTACTATATCAAGAATGAATGCTTATCATATTATTGCAGAAATGAGATTTGTTTTGATAAACATGATAGCTCCTTTTGCTTATTTTTAGACTGTTCAGCAGACATGATCCCCAAGCTGAAGAGGCTCTAGCAAAGAGGAGGGGGCGAAATAGTCCAAATGGAAACCTTATTAGAATGTTGGTTCTTTTCTTTCTTGAAAGTGAGGTAAAAAAAATAATTTTTAACCTTTTCATGTTTAATAAAACCTGGAACTAAACAGTGATTTATCAACCTACAGTTACAAGTTGTCTTTCTTTTCTTTTTTTTTCATCATTTCAGAAATTTTGTATGCCCTTTACTCTGCCCGCCATTTCCTTGTCTATCAAGCAAATTCAACTTAAAAATCTTGCTCATGGTTTATTTTACTCTTGCATGTCCCCACTGTACTCAGTACTGCATTGCTGGTAGTATGATGGCTACCAGGATTCATTGCTACATAGAAATGTAACTGGTTCTTTTTTTTAAGATAACCATGTAAGGAGTATACCTCTGGAGTTAATCTTTATGAAGTAAAACCATTCAAACCAGAAAGGAAGAAATATTACATAATATCTCAAATTATTATTAGAATCAGAGAATAATACAGAGTGGAAAGAACCTGAGGGGCATTAGCTCAAAGCAGGGTCATCTGTGAGATTAGATGAGATTGTTTGGGACTTTATGCAGTTGCATCTTAAAGAAGTCAGAGATGGAGACTACAAGCATCCATATGATGACATAAGTGTTTGATGAACACATTCAGAATGCAGTTGTGCCCATAGTTTATAGCTATAGAGATAGCATATATAGGAAGTTTTATGGTAGACATACTAATAGTAATTCAGGTGGGGAATGGCAGTGGAGCTGAGGAAAACTTGAGAAGATAAACTATCAGGTACAGGATGCTTTGAAGATAGAGGGGGAAAGGTTTAAAAATTACACATTTGATTTGGTAATAAAGAGGTGGCAAAGGAAGGAATGACATAAATGTCCCTCTACAGAAGGGAGGGTAATATATTTTACGTAAAAAGCAAAAGGAAAGGTATTGCAATCAGGTATTTTAATTGTTATGAAGCCTTGAACAAGAGACTTGACTGTGAGAATGAAAAGTAACACAGCCAGAGATGCTGAGAAGAAAGGATAATAACGTTTAGGTACACTGTTAATGTTAACATTTTTTAGAAACACCTTATAAACGTACAAGTCTGGATGAAATGTCACTACTTGTGTGAGCCTTCAATCTACTATCTGAATGTATTTTCAGTTCTATCTTCTTAAAAACTTAAATTGTAATAGATCATTCTGTTTTCCAGTGCAAATACCTTAAAACTGAGTGTGTGTGATTGGGAGTTAACTAGCATTAAGCTTGTCTATCCTGAGGAGAAAGATACTCAGCTTTGCTCCCAAAACCACCATCAGCAAAGTGCCTTCCCATGCAAGCCATGTGGTGCTCCCTGAGATCGCTTCTCTATCAGGACCAGTTTTGCTGTTGCTGGTTTTGGGAGAGTTGTTAGAAACAAAGTAGAATATTACGACTCCCATTTTATTAGAGGATTGGGAGTTTCCATCTACAGTAGGACTAGAAGATGCAAGCACTGCAATCTGTGAGGCTGCATTCAGAAGAGGGAAGAGGTAAAGCAGTGAGAAGCATCAGTAAGCTCTGTGACACATGACATTTTACCCAAATGTGTCAAACAGAAGAGTAGGTAAATGTACTGACACCTCCTTTCGTACACTCTTAAATACAGGTAAGCAGTCAGGCAAACATCTGGCAAGCAAATCAGAACTGCATATTGTGCTTGTTACTTTTTGATAGTGGTTAAATATCAGTTTATAAAACAGTAGAAGCCTATGGATTATTTTTATCACATTACAATTGTGTTAATTCACATAAAAACATTTTTTACATTTAAGGTTAGTGTTAATTCTGTACCCCCTGAAATAGGGTTACAGAAATAGGGTTTCTGCTACTGTTTACTGAGCATGTAGCAGCATGTAGAAGCATGTAGGAAGAGTTAATGCCTGTTCAAAACAAATACATTACAACTCTCCTTTAGTCTCATGTCTCACCATCTCTCCTTTTTATAATGCAGTAAGAAAGTGAGGAAAGGTAAGGTTATGGCTTGTAGGTCAAAACTCAAAGATTTTTCATGAACAAGCTGCTTTATGGAAAAAAAGCTCAATTTTATTTTATTGCATTTTCTATTAAAATATCTCCCCATTGTTGTGCTGTTAGTTGTATCATTCAGTTAGAAGAGGACCTTCCAGAGGTAGTTTCAAACTGAATTTTCTTTCCAACTAATGTAAGAGCACGTGCCCAAGACACTCTCCATGGTTGTGAAAGTTCAAGAACTGCTGCTTGTACCACAACGCTGTACTGATGGTTGCTTTGGGTTTTCTAGTTGCATGAACATGCAGCCTATTTGGTGGACAGTTTGTGGGAGAGCTCACAAGAACTGTTGAAAGACTGGGAATGTATGACAGAATTGCTCTTGGAGGAACCAGTCCAAGGAGAAGAAGGTATTTGTTTAACCTCTATACTTTATTGATATTGCACAATACTGCTAATTATTCCTTAAAAAGGTGTTTCACTGTGGGTGATAGAGGTATTTGTATTGTGGTTTGTTTAGAAAGTGTATTTGAAGAAGATTTTAGTTTAATCCATTTTTAATGCACTTTGCTTCGTAAGCAGCATTTTTGTACTCTATTTTTCATCTTGTGAAGTCCGCTGTTCTGTGGTTCCCTAATATTAAAGTCTGAATGTTTAAATAACTACTGTATACATGAACATTTCAGTAAATTAAATAGCTCATACACTTTTAAACTAACAAGCACTTCAGGTGATGTTAATTAAATATGGGCTTTTCTAGATGATGTTAAAACCTAATGAATTCTTAAGGGGAAAAAAGAAGGGGATTCTTTCACCATTAGTTTTGAATCTCCTTTTGCTAATAATAGATCTGTTTGCACAAGGTAGGCAAGGGAGGTTGGTGGCAAAGAGTCCCTAATGGTAATGAGTGCTGTTCAAGGTCCTTTATAATCCTTCAGCATTCTCCCGCTCCAGGGACCTTCGCAGGGGTTATCTGGTTGAAAAACAATGTATTCTTATTGCTTCCTAACATGACATGCTCATGATCTTAGTCTTTCAAACTCTGAACTTTTGTTATCCAGACTGTGGTATTTGTATGGTAATTTCCTTAGGAAATCAGGCACTTCGGTTCATTGTTTCTTCGAAGCCTAGTGGGCTCTGGTCCTCTAGATATGTGGCCAGAAGTACTTCCCAAACAGCAGAAATAATACTTCATGTCGGTATTTCCGTTTTATGTGGAAGTGACAATGATCAGTCAGTTGCTCTCTGTCCTCCATGACACACTTTGTTTTGTAGATCATTGTTATATTTCCCTTTTTCCACCATTTTCCTTTTTCCACCATTCTGCCATATCCATTTTGAGATGATGTGAATGGTAATTCACAGAGCAAGCAAGAAAGCCCTGCACTTATAAATGGGACAAAATGATGTGTCTGTTGTTCTCTATTCCCTGTGTTTTACAACTGCATTCAGAGATTTGTAACTGATGTTACTTATTCTTTTCCCTCCATAGCAATGTCTGACCGGCAGGAGAGTGCCCTTATTGAGTTGATGGTGTGTACAATCAGACAAGCTGCTGAAGCACATCCTCCAGTAGGCAGAGGCACTGGCAAGAGAGTAAGTGGCACTGCAGTGGGTAGCTCAGACCTCTGTATGTTCCTATAGTAACATACAATATTTGTTTACAGTGCCACATTTTAACACTTTTAAATTAGTTGTTTTTTGTAAATGCTGCTTCCTGTTAACTTTTTTGAAGAAAAACAGTAGAAATTCTATTTCTGGGCATGTTTGGGTTTTGTTTGATTTTGGGTTTTGCTTTACCAAGTTAAGTAACATAAATTTACAGCATAAAAATAGTTTTTTTATTATTTTTTAGATGTTCTTTTTGTCATACCCCTGGCTTACATCCTACACACATCTACAGCCCTTAATGTTAAATCTAGATTAGAATAGCAAGTGTAGAGCTCAGGAGCAGAACAAGATTACCTCTGTCTTCCATAGAAAGAAACATGCTGCTAATATGGATGTAAAATTTGGAGAAAAAGCCAACAGTGTCTTCATCATGAGAATAGTTAAGAACTGGAACAGAAGATGAGAGTTTGTGCAGTTTGCATCCTTGGCAATTTTCGAGACCTGACTGGACAAAGCCCTGAGCACCCCAGTCTGACCCCTGAGCTGGCTCTACTTTGGACAGGAGGGGTGGGACTGGGACCAGCCTGAATGTATCTGTGGTTTTAAGTATCCATCCTCTTTGGCCTCTTCCACTGAATTCCCTAAACTTTTAAGAATTTGACATTCTGGCCATTTTGCAATCTAGCTGCCTCTTTCATTTATTTCACAGTGACTGTTTGGGAATCAGTGGAAGTCCATTCCTAAGACTAGGCAAGCACTTTTAAGCATTTCAGTATAAGTCTCAAGGTCAGGGTGATCAACAGGCTTTCAACTGTGTTTTCCATAAGTAAAGCATCCATGTTCCAAAAAAGTCTCAGCTTCCCAAGTGTATTTCCCTGATTTTTGGTGGTCTCCCTCTTATTTAGGTTAGACTAAAATGAAAAAAAAACAAAACATGTGAACAATTGGTACTTCTGTTGGGTTCTGTTCTGAATAATTATAACTAGTTTATTAAAGAAAGCTTTATTAAGTAAAAAATATAATTAAGTAAAAAAACTTTAAGACTTAATGAAGGTGAAAACTGGAGATAGACAACATTCTTTATTGCTAAACTAAATGTGGTTACTTAGTTTCTTAATTTTTATGTGCCAAAAGCATATTAGTCTCATGTCCAGAAACAGCATTCAAGAAGAAGATCCAAGAATCCATCAGTTTAAGTATGCTTTATGTACCTTAATTTATAAAGCACATTCTAAGAAATTCCTAATTTATTAGAATATTTCAGAGGTGAGGGAGGATTCTATGAACACACTTACTCAAGTTTACACAAATAAGTATTATCCTGTGTTACCAAAACTGTTGCAGGCACAACTTAACGGTGTTTTGTCTCTAGCTGCAAACCCTTCTAGCAGACAAAGCAGCCTTTAAATTTAACAAAAATTCCATGTTTGTATTTTTTGTTTAGAGCACCAAGTAATGTAAATATTAGCTTTTTGAGTATTTTTTTCTGTCTCAAGAGATCTACAGTTCACTTGAGATCACCAAGTTGCTTAGTCTTAGATTTTTCATTGTATTTCTTCAAAGCTAAAGAAAACACTTCAGAAAAATAAACTTTACCTTCTGAAGGGTGATTAAAAGAGCCTTGAGATCAGCCCAGGGACCCCGATTAATTCATAGCACCACTGAAGAGCAATATTTGGTCACCAGAATATGCCTGGGTGGTTAGGGGGTGGGTTTGTTTTGCCTTCTGATGAGCTAGCAGCGTCTGCTGGAGCCCGCAGCGCTGCACTGAGGCGGCACAGGAACTGCGGCTGCTGCTGTGCGTACCCAGCTGCCTGCCATGTACTGTGGAAGTGGTTCCTTACCCTGGTTACAAACCTGTTTCCCTTCGCTTCCATGGTTGTTTCGGATTCCTGCTGACACTATAGGCTACCTGTCATCCAAGCATGTGTTTTGTTTCCAGCTGTTCCTCCTCCCTTACAGAGAGATGTAGGTATGACATTTAGCTTTTGCTTCTTTTCAGTTAGCTCATGAGTTGTGGGATGGTAACTGCAGGGATCTCTGACTTGTCAGGAGAGGTTTGTCATGTTCTCATGATCTCGCTAGCATATTCTCTGAGTTGAAATGGGAGCAGATTTCTAATTATGCACTCACCTTCTTGTGAAATAGTTTATTCTCTGACTTCAGCTTGTAACCCTTATTGTGCCGTCTGGCAGCTTTGCTATACATAAATCATTAGCTAACTTGAGTATTTTATTATCATGATTTGTTTTCAAAAGTATTCTCTCCTTTTCTGAAGCCAAGAAGCCAGATCTAAGCTTTTATGGAGCATGCTGTTTTGATTATTGTCTCTCTATTAACTGGTTCAAGGTGGTTTTGCTGTGACAGCATTAGTAGCTTCAGTATATCTGTCAGTGAAATTTGTAAATGAGTTCTGTGAATTTGGATGTAGGTTCTCACTGAGAATTACATTACAGTTTAGAGATGAGGCTATGAATCTGCTAATGAAAATCACTGTTACAGTGTGGTTTGGTTTTGGTTTTCTTAATTATACTTCAGTGCGCCCTGAGGTCTTACATTAACACTTTGTTTAATGTGTGAAAGCCAGTGCTTAGTTTGCTTGGAAGCAATAGCAAAACTTCCACTGACTTGGGTTATATTTGAATTTCAATCCTAAAAAAATGTTGATGTGTTGAGACAATATCATGCTGGATGATATATTTTCTTTTTCAATCACGGCTTCTTAGGACACATGGTCCTCCCATTTAATCACTCTTCAGTCCAGATGTGTTGAGTTTTTTATTCTCTCCTCTTTTGATTTATTAAATATACACTTGCATGTTTTTTTGTTTGTATTACAAACTTTAGAAAAATTAATAAATGCTATATGCGTTGTATTTACTTTAGTTATTTTTGATCACATGCAGGTCTTGACAGCAAAAGAAAGAAAAACTCAGATAGATGACAGAAATAAATTGACTGAGCATTTCATTATTGCACTTCCTATGTTGCTATCCAAGGTACATTTTTCAACAAAATAAATCTCTTGCTGGTATTTACAACTGTCCTTAAACTTTTTCATTCTGTAGTGTAGGTTTTTATTTTTACTTCACTATTTTTTTGTTTTGTTTCAATGATGTTCTAGTATTCTGCTGATGCCGAGAAGGTTGCAAATCTCCTGCAAATCCCTCAATATTTTGATCTGGAAATCTATAGTACGGGCAGAATGGAAAAGGTATAGTACACTGGGCAAGAAGTCTGACTGCTTTCAAGTGTCTAGTTATTATTCTAGTCACACACTACTGTTCCTTCATTCAACATATGAGTAATCTAACCTTGATTTGGTGTATTCTTTGAATAGCTGCTGCTTTGAGTTTCATTGTTCAGGTAAGGTGAAAGCTTAACTTCTTTTCTGATCTACAGCATCTGGATGCCTTACTGAAACAGATCAAGTTTGTTGTGGAAAAGCACGTGGAATCAGATGTTCTCGAAGCCTGCAGCAAAACCTACAGCATACTCTGCAGTGAAGAATATACAATCCAGAACAGAGTTGACATAGCCCACAGTCAACTTATTGATGAATTTGTGGATCGATTCAACCATTCTGTAGAAGATCTGCTGCAGGAGGTTTGTTTTCTTAACATGAATTTAGTTAAACTACCTAAAAATTCTGTGATAAACTGCAGAAAAACATTCTTACTGATTAATGAAATTATCTGTCTAAAGATGTGGTGCAGCAGCAACTATTTCTTAATTATTTGGAGCTGTTTCTCTATGTAGAAAGTCCCTTGGACTAGCCATTAAGTCTGCAAAGCATTGGTGCTGTAAAACAAAGACCATGGAACAATCCTGCTCCTGAAAATTTAGTCTAATATTTAAACAGTCCACATAAGAAATTAAATGGATGAATGCGTGAAAGCTGATGAAAAATGCAGAGAAAGGTGCATTTACATTAATGCTTGTGGTGATTCCAGTAGTCCCAAATGGATATGCAGGCAGCAGAATCAAGATCGGATTATGTCTGGAATGGAAGAGAAGATTTAGTAAAATATTTATAATGGCATATTGAAAGAGCTCTGAAAAGAATGAAATTAAAAATACAGGTCTAAAACCTAGAGGTACCTGGGATTTACTTGTAAGAATTTATCCTTCAAAATGCATAAGACAGCATACATTAAATAAGAATAGAAACGTTACTCATATTTTCTTGCTTTACATCAATTTATCTTTGTGTAGCACTACTTAATTTGTTGTAATTCTCATGCTTTTTAAACATAGCTTAAGGTCTGCACAGACCTTTTTCTTCGCTACTTCTAGTCATGCACTGCACTGTGGCAAACACATTTAACTTTTGATGTACATTTATAGAAAGTTAAGCTACAGACTCTATTTTAGAATTACATATTAAAATAAGCTTTTTTCTATCTTTAAGTAATATGCCACATACAGGCATACTGTTGTATGCCTTGTCACATTGCAGAGTAAATAAAAATTTTTCTGCTGCTGTAGGAATGTACATGAGTGAAAAAGGCAGTGCACGCAGGAAGAAGGCACTCCTCAACCCAGAGCAGTTTGTGCACCACTGTACATTCTTTGGTGGAATAAGTTTACTTTGCTCTCTATCTATCTGACATTTTATAGGTACTTTCCTAGAAACTTCTGTGCAGAACCTGAAAAGACATTCCAGAATTTTTGTTACATCTCTGCCCATCTGTGTGGCAAGGGAATTCTTTCAGCTAATGCCACATTACGTGTCTTATCTGTTTCTTTTAATAGCCATGGATTTTTGTACCTCACCTCAGGCCAATAGGACCAAAAACTCTGAGACAGAAACTTTGGGAGAATCTGTTGCTGACTTGGGTATGAAAAAAGGGCTAAAGCTGGACTGCCAGCACAAAGATCCAGTTTCAGAATCAGCCAAATTCTCCACAGCAGATGCCCAGCAACTGATCACCATAAGAGCCTTCACTCTTTCCATTAGTACCCACTGACAGAGGTTTAGGAACTCTGGTGAGGTCCTCACATTCTTCACTACCCACACATCCAGCACCAGGGTTCAGCCTGGCTCCATATGCAGGGACAAATCTCCTATGTTGCTTCTCCAAACCTGGCTCTGGGAGAATCTTCAGTTTATGTCTCCACAGTCAAGCTCAGATCAGCAAAAAGCATCTCGGTCACAGTCTTGTCTCAAGGTGGAGGAAAGTGCCTATGGGTTTTTTCAAGAATCAGACCAAGAAGCAAATGGAATCCCATTATTAATGTATTTATACCATCTTGTAAGGCATTATGAAAACTTCTACTTTCAGCTTTTTCTCATAGTTTTATTTTGGAACTTCTCCAAAGCAAATGCCATGTTTGTTTTTCTTTGTGTAACAAACAGAAATTAGGTCTGTCTGAGGACATGTAGCTTTTCTGGAAGAGCCCCGTTGAAGTTTACACAGTGTTCAGCTGTATAGATGAAAGGAGATTGGAAATCTGCCTCTCTTCCACCCCCAGCCCACATCTCAGATCAGTTATGCCAGCATTTAGGTCAAGCTGTTTTAGACTAGGGATACATGAATGTTGAGACAATTCGGAAAACACACCCTATATTTTAGGTACACCAAATGGGTCTGCAGTCCTGTCCTCACTGTTTCTGACACTACTTTGAAAGGTCCTTCTGGTCTCACTGTTTACCCAGGGGGAATCACAGAATGGTTTGAGTTGAAGGGACCTTAAACACTCTCTAGTCCCACCCCCCTGCCCCAGGCAGGGCCACCTTCCACTAGCTCAGGCTGCCCAAAGCCCCGTCCAACCTGGCCTTGAACCCTTCCAGGGAGGGGGCAGCCACAGCTTCTCTGGGCAACCTGTGCCAGGGCCTCACCACCTTCACAGGGAAGAATTTCTTCCTTATATCTAACCTAAATCTACCCTCTGTCAGTTTAAAACTCTTACCCTCAATCCTATCTCTACAAGCCCTGATCAGGAGTCCCCCCACACCTTTCCTGTAGCCCCTTTAAGTACTGGGAGGTGGCTCTAAGGTCTCCCCAGAGCCTTCTCTTCTCCAGCTGAACCCCCCAACTCTCTCAGCCTGTTCTCACAGGGTGGTGCTCCAGCCCCCTGAGTGTCCTCGTGGCCTCCTTTGGACCTGCTCGAGCAGGTCCGTGTCCTTCTGCTGTTGGTGTCCCCAGAGCTGGACACAGCACTGCAGGGGGGTCTCATGAGAGTGGAGCAGAGGGGGAGAATCCCCCCCCCTCGCCCTGCTGCCCACACTGCTCTGGATGCAGCCCAGGACACGGTTGGCTTTCTGGGCTGTGAGCACACATTGCTGGCACACAGTCAGTTTTCCATCCACTGATACCCCCAAGTCGTCCTCCTTGGGGCTGCTCTCCATCCACTCTTCACCCAGCCTGGATTTATGTTTGGGATTGCCCCAACCCATGTGCAGGACCCTGCACTTTGCCTTGTTGAACTTCTTTCATGTTTTAATGAACATCTCTTTGAAAGCAATGAGATGATGGGGTTCATAAATTACTTTCTACCAGTCTTCTCAGGAGAAATGAACTATGGGAGAAAATAATTATTACAAATCAGGAAGCCAGGAACTGCTTATTCCCACTACATTTCACTTCTCTTTGCAGGCGGCTTCCCTTTGTGCAGTACTCCAGTGCAAAAAGCCTTGAAGGATGCACTGAGTCTGCTGAGCAGAGAACAAGTACTGGGCTCACGAAGGAATATGGGCCAGTAATACCAAAATACTTCTGATGTGTCCCCTTCCTTTACCCAGCTTGAGAAGGAGTAGAGAAATCAAAGCAAGAGCTTATGATCTTCGTGTATATCCACTTGCAGAGAGAGGGATGAGGACTGAGGATTTCAGAGAAAAGCTGTGTCTGAAAGTCATATGAGAAATAAAGAATTAAGAGATTTAGATCCCTAAGGAAAAGGGAGTGCCAAAGTCAGACATGTGACATAGAAACAGATGTGGAGACAAATCCAAACAAAGTAGGAGAAAGTAAGAAAGAGCGCAGCGGCAGCAAGGATTTAAAAATTTGGCATTTGTGATATTCTTTGCTGGGTGATACTTGGTAGAATATTTAATTTTAATATGTCTATATTCTAATTTTAAAGAGATATTACATTCAAAAATATGCATACTTGTACACAAGCAAGTATCCCATTGCTTTATGGCTTTCCACTAGGTTGATAATAAGAGAAACATTGACTGGCAATTGCATCTGAAGGCAGGGAAGTTGCTTAATTTGTTAGGCATTTAGATGAAAAAAAAAATCAAAATGAAATGGAGAATTGTTTTAAGTAGTATTCCTGTGTTAGAAAGTTGCTGGAAAAATTAATATTTGGAAGTACCTTATTTCCACTTGTTTCACTAAGAGAATTTGCTGCTCAGTTTGCATAAAATATTAGGATAATGATATTTTTAAATGCCAGAAAGAAAAATATAAATGGTATTGATTGAGTTGTGCAATATTTATTCTTGGACTGTTGTTTCCCCAGATTTGTAAGATCTAAATTATAAAAACCCAAACCAGTTCTGAATGTATGTCAGTCCGTGCACATAATGTGATTGTTATGCATTATGGTGTGTAACACAATGAACAGCAATGAAAGATATGAAAATAAAGAAATTTTCCCACTGATCATTTTAAAAAAAAACTTGCCGTTGACATCTGTAAGTTTCTGGCATAGAGCAAGGCAAGCATTTGGCTTTATTCTTGTAGCACGTTCATGTATTTTTGTAGCTGATGTTTAAAGCTGATGGTTCAGTTCTTTTTGTAAAATAAGGTAGAACTCAGATTTTGTTCTTGGAAATTATTTCTACTGCTAGAGGATAGTGATTTGAGTATTAACATGGTCATATTGCTGTATATTGTCAGATGATCTTACTTTTTTCCTAGTGCTGTGTGGTGGTCACTTAAATATTATTATGAAATCTAGGTAAAAGTCAGTTTAGATGTCAGCGTGAACCCTCAAAGAAATCTCCTTTTCCCATGTGATAACTCAGTACTCTGCTGGATTGCCGAACTTTCTTAATGGATTTCCTTCCATTTTCAGGGAGAAGAAGCTGATGATGATGATATATACAATGTGCTCTCCACGTTAAAGAGGTTAACCTCTTTTCACAAGTAGGTGATTTCTTTCCCCTCAAAAATTTACAGTTAATTTTATCATTTCAATGAGTATCAGTTGATGCCTGTTGTTAAGAAATGAGAAAATATGTGGCCTGAAATATGAAATAGAGATTAACAAATGATTAGTGGTATTTGTCAGTATAACTGCTTGGATTAATCTGGGTCCTTGCTTAGTTAGTGCCATTACTTTTACAGATTTGATTTGCAAGTGGCATACCATCCCTTGCATTAAGTGCTTTTACACCTATGAGTATCTTAGTAAAAGTCATACTCCCCTGCATGACAGTCAATGCACAAGGGACACTTCTTATCTCTGGCACCAGTGGATGCAGGCCAATTCTGTGCTTTGAGCCTCAGCTTAGGAGAGCCCTGGAGGAAGTTGTTTCTCAATGCCTTTGAGGTATTTCTCCTCAAAATTATAGAAATAAGTGGTAGTAATAATAGTAATAATTAATAGTTTGTGGTGAGAGTCCAGAAGGTGTGTCCTCTTCCTGTAGAAATGCCAGGGATAATTTCTAGTTGGATTGTTGGCAAAGTCTAACTGCGTAGATTGCATGGAAACTCCTTCACTAAGCAGAAACCAGCTCACTGGAACCAGGCAGCAGCTTTTCAGGGTCCTGCTGCTCTCACACCTATGGGCACTCTCATAACTTTTAAAGCAACCTGAAAAATTTCACTTGAACTGTGAATTTTGGAGCATAACCATAAAGACCTAATCTTCCCCTCCTATCAACTAGGAAGTAATTGTTCCTGGTCAGCATGTAAAAAAGATTCATATGCAGGTGACTGAGAGCCACAAATAATTTCTTGCTTAGCACGAGATGTGAGAGGACATTGCTTCTGACACCTCTTTTTATACAAATTGGGTTTTGTGATTTCATTTCTCTCTTTATGTGCTTAGTCTTCACTTATCCTGAATTCTGCATTGGATCATTGTATGAAATGGTTCTGAAATACCTACTCTTTGTTTCCATTCAACGAGAGTCCCACAGAGATCATTAAATTGTCACTAATTTCCGTAATGCAGCAGGCTGACACATGTGCAAATTAGGTTTTCAGTCTCCCTAGTAACACTCTGGAGCCACTTCTGTCTTTCCTGAGAGGACTGGTGAAAGCTGTAGTTCCTGTCCAAGAAAGCAGCATAAATCTTAAGGCTCTTCTGAGAGTCTCCCCTATATATTTTTTTCCTTTAAGGTTCCAAATCTCTAGAGAGTTAATTCAGACTGTAAAGCAAGCTTTGTAGAATAACACACAAATTGGGGTTGGGGACATCTATCTTCACCTTCAAAAAACAGGAGAGAGAAAAGAAAACTGAAGAGCTGAAGAGCAGCTGTGTATCATTTCTCAGCTGATCTGTTATTTATGATTATAGCTCAGTGGGAATTTCTAATTAATATCTGCTTGCATATAAAGAAGTAATGAAATCTTTTCATTATTCTACAGAGTGTTATGTCTGATGTGATTTCTTTATGAAAGGAAACAATTGTACTATCCAAGACAGAATTTTTGCCAAACCTTTAGCTACGAGGTTGGGGTCTTCAATTCAAAACTCATATCGAGTGTTCTCATCTCAAAGAATAGTGACTGTGGTCTGATACTGTCATTGCCTATCACCAGCTGGGAGCCAAAATAAATGAAATCTACGGAAGAAGTTGAAATTGCAGGCTAACAACTGGTACCTTTCATGTCTTCTAAAAGCACACAGATAGAGTAGTTGCTGAGGCTTTGAAAAGAAACAACTCTCTCTCCCAGCGAGAGAAACTCCACTGTACCTTATCTGTGCTTGTGTTTCCTTGGTAGTTGCTGCTGCTTCATATTTTAGGAAAAAGAAGCCTGGCAAGGTGGAAAAAAACATGGTAAGGGATTATCAGAAAAGCCTTCCAGACCAAAAAGCTTCTATATTGAGATTTTCCCAAGCTTAAGATAATCCTCTTTCTGAGAGGATCATGGTAACAAAAGACTCACAGCACACCTTTTAATTCATGTCTTTTCATCAGACAAGGATATCAGTACTCCAATACAAAAGAATTCATCATTACAATGTTTCCGTCCAAGTTTTCAGAATACAATAATAAATTTTCTTGAGGTCTTCTAAATAGAACACCTGGAGTATATACTTGCAGTTCTTTTTTTTTTTTTTTTTTTTTTTTACCAGGGTCTCACTGATTCTCATAGCATTTTTTCTGTCCTTAAGTACATAGAGACAATTTTCCTATACTAACTCCAGTCCAACTGAGCTTTCACACATAACAAATCAGTGCTGTAACAGTTTGTATGCTGCAGAATATCAGCATTTCTTTCAATGCCAGACACATGAATCTCAAGCATCACCTCCATTACTCTGGATGTGCCCTTTGATGCTGTCTTGTATATAGAACATTGTTTCACATTTAGAAATCAGTATTGTTGGTATCACTGTCTCGTAGTCCTCAAATATGATACAGAATTTCTTCCTGCCTCCACACTGACTTCGCAAGCCTGCAGTGGCTATAGTAACTCTCCAGACATGCATCATATTTTTATCAGTATAAGCATGATCAGTCAGGACACATCCCAGATAGGTACATTCATGGTCAGACCAGCAGACCTTCTCTTCTTGTTATAAAAACCCTTTGCCTAACCTTTTTTCCAGTAGTTGACCTGTACATCCTTCAGGCTGAATTATTCAGTTTATTGTATCCAGAAGTAGAAGAAATTATGATAAATGAAACCTCAGTAGAGAAATCGGACTATCTAGCATAGCTGTTAAAAGCCCAAGGTACATCTTCTCTCTCTTTGTGCCTCTAAAAAGGGAAGCAGTTTTGTGGGTAGAGAGATCACCTCTTTGAAAACTAAATTTTCTAAGCTGCTTGTTGACATGCTTTTAGAAACATTGTGGAACTGGTACCTTTACTTCAGCTGACTCCTTTCTGGCAGAAATGTGCCCCAGCAAAAAGTGTTATCTATAGGGATGAAAAGAAACCTTTGATGAAATGTTGGAGCCTGTTTTCTGTAATCCATGAAGACTCTCTGACATGGAATGGTCTAAGGGAAAACTCTGTGTTGTGTGAATTTTCATTCTAGGAGCCTCTATATCAATCTGAACCTCTGTGGAGAATTGTATTGAGTCCAAGGTACCTTTATAACATTTTGATTGCTAAGTATTTCAAAAGAGACAAGGGTGTACCTGAATATACCTAAATTTAATGTGAAGGCTCTTCTTTAAGGAAGTTTATATCGAAAAACCCTATGCAACTTATATATAATTAGAATTTTTCAGCTTTGGAAGCTGAAAAGCTCTTTCTGAGCTGTCAGGGCAGGCTCAGAGTAAAGAACTCAGGTGCCCCCAGCTGTCAGGGCAGTGGGGCATGCCCCTGTGATGGCTGCCTGACACAGAGGGCTCTCAAATGAAAAGGCAGAAATGAGACAGTTTTTCCTTTCCTATTCTCTGTAGAATAATCTATGCTGATATCTGCCTCTGCACACCAAGGAGATTTTACTGCTTTAATTACAGTGCTGTAATTAAAGAGGTACAACTCTGCCTTGCTAGCAACCCTGTGATTTGCTGAAGCAGCATCTATGTGCTTAATATCACTAGGCAGAGGCAGTTCTCTGACAGCCTGTAATTTATCTATGAAACATTTTATTTTCATACTTCGAAGACCATCCAGAATTCCAAAAGACCATTCCATGATCTAAGGTGAGGGGAGTATTTTTACATTTTTTTTTTCTGTTTTTTTTAAGTTCTATTCATGGATTTGAATTAGAAGTCAAGATGCACCTTGGCTTAATGACACAACCCTAGAGTGCATACTTCACTTGCTTTTAATACAAGGGCATTAATTGTTATGTTTTCTGTGAAACTTTTATAGGTGAGGTTTCCCAGGGCTAACATGCTCCAGACTGGGAAGCATTTGTACTAGGGGTTTCAATAGGATCTAGGCATTCCCAGTCTTGAGTTCAACCTCTGTTTCAGAACTAGAGAATTACTCTTTCTGGCTGAGCTGAGTAGTTAATTATTTAAACAAACTCAGGCAGCTCCAAAGCTGTGCAAACACAAAGGGATGGGAAAAGTGAGCATATCGTGGTGATCAAGGTGCTGGGGTAAAAGGGAGCCAGATGCAAGAGACTGCTTTATCTAATTTAAATTTGCTGATTAAGTCTGAGTATCCCTTCTTCCAGGTGAGTATTTTAATCACCAACTTTCTGATTATTCTGAGGTGGCTTTGTCTTTTATAAACATATTACAAACTGGTTTAAATTATCTCAGTTTAAATCCACTGCAGAAAAATGTGTTAAATCTACATTTTTTTTGCGAGAGAGAATTTTTGTCTTCCAGGCAACCTGATATTTTGGTATTTCTCAGTTCTCTATTAAAAAATTCTCTATCATAAGCTGTTGAGTTCTGAAAGGCTGTAGAATATGTGTTGCCGGTCTTGTTTGTATTCCTCTCACTGGTGAAGCGAGTTGGTACAACTGAAATGTGAAACTGCCATCTCTGTCTCATGTCGTGCTGCCTTACTTTAGATATTTCGGGAGATTTAATATCTAGTGATAATGGATATTATTTTTCGCCAAATGATACAGCAGAAAACCACATAACTTTATTCTGCTTAAAGCCAAAACCATTTTCCATTCAGTTTATGTTGCTAGAGTTTGGTCATAGTGTTTGCTGCACTGCCAGAGAAGTGCCTTCTGGAGTTCTGTCAATGCTTAGAACCCAAGAGGAAAGATGATTTAGAAGCAACACTGACAAGGACCTCGAAGCTACACTTAAGTAATCTTTAAAGATTTATGTTATGCAGAGAGTTTTATCTCTTCCCTACAAAAATCCTGTATAGTAAACTATTTTTCCTCAATTATCAGAAATCCTAACTTCTGCTTTTAGCATGGTGTGAACTAATTGTGCAACTGCTTTGTCAGCAGGCTGTATTATCTCAGCTTTGCAAAAATACCAAAGCTCACTGAGCTGCCAGATCAGACTATATTCTCACTGTCATGTGGAGTTTTGAGGAGCATAACTAATCTCTCTTTATTACCTCTCATTCTAGTGCGCATGATCTCACAAAATGGGATCTGTTCAGTAACTGCTACAGATTACTAAGAACTGGAATTGAACACGGAGCTATGCCTGAACAGGTAAAGTTAGCAACACCTGCACTGCATTGTTTGGGGAGTCAAAGTTTTAAAGAGTCGAGTTGTAAACATTCAAAAGATTAATGCACTAGACTTCAGTTATTTAGAAAAACATGGGGTTTTGAATAAAATATATATTGCAGTTAGACACTGTCCAGGAAGTGAAAAATCTTGAATTCTGTGGTTTTTGAGCTACTTGCCTCACCTTTCTTACGTGTAAAGTTAAGTTTCCTGGCTGTGAAAAGCAATGTAGAAATAATGATTGTCATGATTTGAGCCCAGAGGGCAACTGAGCACCAGCAGCCACTCACTCACTCACTCCTTCCCTCTCAGGACTGGGAAGGAGAAAATAAAGCAAAAGCCTTGGGAATCAAGATAAAGACAGAGAGGGATGACTCACTAATTGTGGTTATAGACAAAAGACAGACTCCTTAGGGGAAGAAAAAGAATATAAATTTAATTCAAACACTAACAATGCCCCCACCTAACAGGACAGCGAGAAGCATTGCCACATCTTAAAAACACCAGATTCTCCCTTCTTCCAGGGCTCAGCTTTGCTCCTGATTTCTCTCCCTTCTCCTCCACAGTGGTGCAGGGGGCAGGGAATGGGGGTGCAGTCAATCCTGCTGCTTCTTCATCCTCAGGGGGAGGACTCCTTGCATTCTTCTCCTGCACCAGCGCGTGGTCCCTGTCACACGAGTCAGCCCTCCACGAACTTCCTTGCCATGTGCCACAGCCCTTCCCGAGCTGCTTCAGCAGGGATCACCCTTGACCCTGCCTGTTTCACTCCTCCCAGTGCCGAACTACAACAGCAGGGGCTTCCCTGAGAGTCCCGACCTCCTTTGGGCGCAGCCCCTGCTCCGGTGTGGGGTCCCCCACGGGCTGCAGGTCGGCATCTGCTCCCCGGTGACCCCCATGGGTGCAGGGCACAGCCTGTCCTCTCACCGCGGGCTGCAGGGGGTCTCTGCTCTGGCGTACCTCCCCCTGCTTCCTCCTCCTTTCATCCACTGACCTTAATGTTTGAAGAGGTGTCGTCCTTGCAACTCCTTCTCACAGCTCCTTCTCCACCTCTCAGTCTCCCCTTCTGAAATACATTATCACAGAGGTGCAGCCACCATCGCTAGTTGTCTTGGTCTTGGCCAGAGCTGGGTGCGACCTGGAGCCGGGGGAACTTCGAGAAACTTCTCACAGGGACCACTGCTGTAGCCCCCTCCCCTGCTACCAGAACTCCACCACACAAACCCAGCACAATGATGTTTACACTGAAACCCAACATTTGTAAACCTTGGCTGCAATTACAATTATCACAAATGATTATTGTGCTTTGAAGATAAGATGGAAGCTTATGAAAACCAGGAAACAAAAACACTTATCAGGGATGCTGGCCAGCCTTCCCTGTGGAGTCCTTTTAATGTACATATCTTGGACTTTGTTTCCTCCTAGTTCCATTTTAGTTTCTCATGGATGAACACAGGGACCATTTCACACTCTCCCAGGATTCCAGTTTAAACTGCAGACTGCCTACTCTCCAGCATTTGATCACATTTTATATTATAATTTGAATTCAATTAGAAGCCAGTTGTTAATTCTAACTCAATTTCATTTAGGAAAAAAAATTCTTTAAAAGTATTTTCTTAAAAGGACCGTCTGGAGGACACATAGCCACATGCCATGTGAAAGTCATGGCTTTAAACTGTGGGACCCTCTGCTCTCTCTGCAGTTGCTACTTAATGCTGAAATTGTGCTACCTGGAGGGAAGGGGCCAGCAGATAAAGACTGTCATTTCCATCTTCAGTTTCTGGGTTTGACAGTATGTGGCTCCCCAAATGTTTCTGTAAGATCATAGGAAAAAAGTTCTAAAATCTGAACTGAAGTCTCGTCTCCTCAGTATTTTTTCCCCCAGTCCACTAGAAGGAGCTTCCTGAAAAAGGATGGTTTGGTCTTTAGTGATATCCAGAAAGTATTTTGTGAAGTGATCAGAGCTGTTACAAACTTGATTTGTTCTGTACAGAACTGCAAACTGTTGGAAGCATCTTCAAACCAAAAAGATTTTGAAATGTTTTGCACCTAATATTGATTTGAAATTTTAAAAATACACCCATAGATGCTTTTATGGGCGCCATAACTATGAGCCTAGTCTGCTCCATGAGAAAATTTGTATTTTCTCCCTTTTTTCAGAAGCTGAGCTGCATGTTCATTTGACAATGGAACAAATTTCCAGACTATTTTATAGCGAAGTCAGATTTACAGGATTTAAACGGATGCTTTTGAACTGAGATATGTAGATATTGGGTTGTACTTCTATCATGCTATGACATCATCTCTTGCTGTACTCTAATGCACAGTTTTCTGTTCTGTTTCTCAGAATTTCCACAGTATTTTTTTCAGCTGTAGTAGTCTGGTATTGCACCAAACTGAGTAAGGAAAAACAAAATCCTTGAAAACAAAAAGTACTACCTAGGAGCTGCTCCTACTTCTCCCCAAAATACATTATAAATTTTACATAAACTTTACTGATATGCTTGATACTTCTAATGTGCTGAGATTCTTTGTGTTCCCTCTGTTACAGATAGTTGTTCAGGCACTGCAGTGTTCCCATTACTCTATTCTCTGGCAGCTGGTGAAAATCACTGAAGGCTCCCCTTCCAAAGTAAGTAGGCATTTGATCATACAAATTTTACGGAAGAAACACAACTTGCCTGAAAAGGCATTAGTCCTGATACTCCGTAACTCCACCCACTGTACCATCATTTTATATTGTGAAACAGATATAAAATGTTAGCATTTTGATTTATTTGATATTTCAGGGTCTCTCTAACATCATGCATATATCTCAGTAAGCTATACAAATAATGGAGGCTCATCTTCATCAGAATTTTATACTAGCTGATCTTTGTATTTTTATTGCTGAAGATTCTTAATGCACATTATTGTGAGTACAGCAGTTTCCATGAATGGCTAAGTGATGTTGGCAATGCTGACCTAATAGTTGTAAGCAATACTGCTGATCTGTACACCACAGATATTTATGTGTATTTACCTTGCTTACCTTTTATTTACGTCTTTTATGTTGCTAAATATAAATGTAAGGCTACTAGCAGTGACGAGTGCTAATAAAAAGCACATGCACGCAAGTGTGATGCAGTAAGGACAACGTTACATGTTTGTTATACTTGGCTTTTCCAGGACCTTTCCTTAGCTCTTTTCTCAAGCAGAGGCCAACATCCTGTCTTATTAGTGCCTTTTGAAAAATAATACATGAAATTAAAATGGTATGACAACTGAAGTATTGTGTATGTCCTCATCAGCATCAAAAAGAAAAAGATGCTATACTAGAGTACCAATAAAATAAGCTTTTTATGCACATAAAAATACATTGTAAATTCTTTGGTTTTGAATACTGACTTACATTGAAATTTAAAAATTTTCTAGTAAGAAAAAAAGAATAATTGGTATTCTTTATTATGGCTTTTGTTCCCATTTTCCCCTCTCAGCTTCTTTAGCTTCTTTCTCTTTAGCATGCTGGTAGTATATAATTATTACATCTTGACTCCTTATAACTGAGAAAATTGAATACATCCCGTTTGTTTTAAATGAACTCGGAATCTCATCACAGTAAAGCATCTAAAGTCCTCCTAGCTAGCAGCATTGTTATCCTTAGGGAGAAATTTCGCTTTGACGGAAAGCGCTACGTAACTAAAAGTAAATCCAAGAGGCCATACACTGCTTCCGCCCCTAAGTCCACAAAATCAACACACCAAATCTCATTCTAATGCTTCCCTTGTAAGGAAAACTGCTGGTTACTGGTGTGGTGAGTGAGGGAGGGTATGAGGAACCTGGTACTCAGAGCAGGTGCACTTAGAGCACCTAGGCAGCTGTCCAAGGCTATACGCTGTCTTCAACACCTTCATTAAATTTTTCCCCATGTGCTCTTGACTGTTGGGCCTTGCTAGTTGTCTCACCCACTCCCGAAGGTGCCCAATAACTCTGTCCTACTTGCTGGGCCCCTTGAGCAACAATGCCCAGTCTTGCCCTGCTCTGGGGGCGAACGCCAAGACACGGAGTGTTCAGTAAGATTCTCTCTCCCTTCATTGTATTTCTCCATTTTTTTGAACTAAATACAGTAGTAGCTCTAGTGTAACATAGATGATGCAGAGCAATAGCTGTCAGCATTGCTGGAAGAACGTTTCATGTTTTCTTGTGTCTGAATTATAGCAAAAGAGACATACTTACCATAAACCACAACTAGCAACTAACACATAGAGCATCTATCTGCGTAGTACCTGGTCACAAGCTTTGCATTTTGGTGTCAAAATATTAATGTGGACTGTTGTTTGCAATATTACCATCATAGTCCAGTTAAACTGCAAGAGAAAAAGACCTTTATTTCAGTGACTTACCGTGGTCGTGTGGCTTCGCCTACTTTTTCAAAATAGGATACATTTGTATGAGACATTGTTTTATGAGATGAATGCAGGATAGCCTTGATCTTTCATGTATTTCTGATACTCTTCTGATTCATAATGTAGTTCATAGGAATGGGAGGAACTCTGAAAGCTCCATTGAGAATGACTGTACAAGTCAATTCTGCTTCTGGAATCCCCAATGAAAATCATAATTACTCTAACCTAGAGACCTGTTATTAACTTATTGTCTGGGGTTTCACCCCACCCACTACAAAAATAAGGAGTGTTCTACATGCTTAATTCAAGAGGAGCACAGCATTAATGCCCTTCAGCTCTTCATGCCTAGCCAGCAACCTCAGCTGTGCTCACAACAGAAACAGGATAAAGAGAAATCCACACACCTGATGCGGTTGTAGCATTTTGTTCTGTGTGGGTTTTTTCTATCAAACTTTCCATTGTAGTTTGTTCACTGTGGAAATAAATCTGATCTGCACTGTGTCTGTCCTTTAATCCTTTAGAAGATCATTTTGCCCATGGTTGTTTTATAAGCCACAATTTAGGCTTATAAATTAGCAGACTTTAAAGGGGATTACTTCTAAAGGATGATGTATGGGAAGACAAAAGGATTAACACGACTGTCTCAAAATGAAAAACAGTGTATTTCATGAGAATTTTTTAAGTATTAAGGCTTTTACAAGAACATTTCTGACACAGTATTTTAATATGTAGGTCCATCCAGCTTTCTAGTGTTACTTTGCTGTAGCTGTGATGACAGAGAGAGGTGATGGTTTCTAGACTGAAGCGGTATCTTTAGTAGACCAGTGGATAGAGGTGTAAAAATTAGAGAGGCTTTTAGACACATAAGCCTTTCAGGTTTCAAATAAAAACAGAAGATTGCAAAACAAAATATGTGCTGAGAACAATTTCTTGGTTTCTATTTCGATACAGATCAGGTAAACTGTCTCTGAAAGAAAAGGGAAAGGCCGTTGGTACCTCTAGAGGGGTGGGAGCGGGGGAAGGCAGGGTGGTAAGACAGTTACTAGAGGGAAGTAGGAGCTGGGTAGTGGGGAAGAGAAGGAAGATGGCACATGACAAGGCTAATGGAGAGAAGGGAATTTATAGTATGTCATAAGACTAATCTTGAGTCCTTGTTTTTCTGTATCCTTTAGACTTGTGACTTTTTGTTCCCAGTCTCGTGTTTAGAAGGTGATTTTTTTTAGATTTCTCTTGAGCATGCAGGCTGAGAGATGTTGTGGATGAAAGTATTAATACTGTAATGATTTAGCAGCAAATCAAGATTTATTAATGACTAGCAGACTTAATCATTAACCAATTTTAAAAATGACAGAATAATTCAGTAAAATACATTAAAATAGTGAGTTAACTGCAGATTCAAAGATGGCAAGATTCACATTAACTTACCATATGGTACCTTAGATCAATACATATATACATGTTCATTCACAAACACAAGATGTACAAACACAGAGACAGATAAAAGTATTTGATTTCAGTAAAATAAATACATACCCACGCTCATGAAAATAACTGTGTACACCTAAACACGTTGGTAGGTAGCGTGAGTGAGTGGGTGAAAAAGAAGCTAGCTCAAAGTTAAAATTTCCCTCTTCTTGAGTTTAAATACTGACAGTGCATCAGCATTCCTCAGCGGGTGATAGTTGAGACTCAGGAGGGTTGACTTTGCCCTGGACTCCCATCAGCTTTAACGGCTGACTGTACCTTAAGGTTTTTGGTACCTGACAGGCATTCCAGCTGAGTGGAGATGCTGGTCACAGGCCCGCTGCGATCTGGGAGAGCTCAAAGAGTCTCACTTGGAGTCACTATTTATAGGGTCCAAGATAATTGACTTCCATCAGGTACTTTTCCACTCCAGCCCAGCTCAAATGATAAAATATTCTGGTGTTTCCCACCAGTTGCGCAGGCCTAGAACTTGCTGGATGTGCGGTTCTGTTATCGTCCTCCCTCGGCCACGTCCCAGGTGCAGCTGTACTAGGCTGTCGGGAGGTGATGGACTGTTACCACCACTCCAAAGCAATCAGGAGAGCAGGAGCCAGGCACGTCCAGGGGGTGCCTTAACACTCTGGTCCACTGCCATTTGCAATCCGTGCTGCCCTGGGTTGGTGTGTGGCCCAGGACAGGGGTTGGAATCACACCAAGCATTGAGCGACCCAGCAAGGAGAGGGGTGGGCAGAGGAACTGCACCACCACAAGAGATCAGAGGCGGAGGGACTGATTTGTGAGAAATATTCATCTGCTGCCAGATGGGTTGTTTGTGTGAGTTCATGCTGACAAATAGTAGCTGCTCCATTTCACCTAGTTAGTTACCATGTAGGCAATCAATGCACAGGATAAAGTATACTAACATTTTGGAATTGTAAGTACAGGATTCAAGGGTGTTAATGTTTCTGTGGGAGGAAGTACTTGGTTTGGTAGTAGTGGGCATATGTTGGCAGGTTTTACCTTTCTTAATCAGTTATGCTCTGCATCCATTATGTGTACATTTTACTGCAGGGAGTTTGCAGGTGGGATGGGTGGATCTGGTAAGATTTGTTTCAGAGTTCTTTGAGTAGATTTCAAAACTGCTTAATATTTTTGTGTAATCGTTCTATGGTAGAGTAATACATAACAACCAGAAGTATGCAATTGGGAACAGAATCTTTTTGGAATGAAGTTCTTTATCTGGTGTTCAGATACAGCCTCTCTACTGAGAGGATTGCCCTTGTTTGGAAAGTGTTCATGAGCATTATATCCATGCCTAGGGCACATTTATTGCTTTCTGAGAGATACTTTATATTACAGCTGTTGGGTGTGTTTTGGATTATGGCTGACTACATGAGGCTAGGTGTGCTGGTCTGTAGGCTTCGTATGTGTGGCAAAGAAAAACTGTTTGTTTGACTCTTGTGGTTTAAATCAAATTAGGATCAAGTCAGCTCATCGATTAATTAACAACACTTAATTAACCTGTAGTCAGTGCAACACATCTCCAGGATAAGTATCAGCTATACAGCAGATAAACCAGAATACTAGACACTTTTATAATGCGAACGAACACCTACAAATGTCTAACTACCCTTCTGTAACTGTTCACAATCTGCTCTAATCCCCTCCCCAAGACACACACGATGTAGTTACACACACACACACACACACACACACACCCTCTCACAGGAGTTATGAGGTACAAGCCCATTGCCCTTTGGGGGGCATGAGGTCCCCTGCTTGTATGTGGCTGCTGTTGGACATGTGTGTGCTCCAGGTTCATGTGTACCCGCTCCGACAAAGCACTCCACAGTCATGTACACACATTTGAGGTGTGGGTTCCTGCATGTTGTTCCCCATCCTGGCAGTCCTTCAGATGGATGTGGGCTTCTTGGGGCTTCCAAGCCCAGGCAGCAGTTGCAGCATTGGGGTGTCTGACTTGGTTTGACTGCTGCTCTGTTCCATGTTGCTTTTATAGGGGATTTTTATATATGAGGTGGCTCCTCCTTTTCTCAAAAGTTTCTTGGTAATCTCCTGGTTACTGTTTAATCTGGTCATTTTAAACAAATTCATTGTTAATTTTCCTCTTAGTATTACCAGTTTTTAGGCAAACACCCCCTCAGAACTGGTAGTTTGGGTGTTCCCAGGCACTGTTGTACTCATGTTCTCATTGTATCAGCTGTTTTTTAGCCAGGCTGTTACCAACCTGCAGATTCCTCAACACTGTGTAATATCATTTGTAGATTACAATTTTGATCATAGAGTTTAAAGAAGTCATATCAGAATGAAAATGTTTCAAAGACATTTTAACAGAAGGAGGGTAATTACTGATTATTTGAATTAGTAAGAAAGTCCAAATTCTCCACCCAATAACAAAGATACCACCAGTTAACTTAAATATAGTATAGAGTTGGGGCAGAGTTATTTTAAAGCTCTTTTTCAAGGTAGCCTGTGGAAAAAAGGACTTACTGTGGAGTTGTCTTCATGTCTAAAATCTGAAAGGAAAAATTGATTACTGAAAGAAGGTTGCAGCAGCTAAGAAAGAAATGTGTAAGCCTTGTAATATCCATAGTCTACTGCTCTCGTCTTTGGTCTTCCTCCTGTACATGTTCAGAAGAGGCTGAGGCCATGGCTGTCGCTAAGCAGACTAGCGCTCTTTGTGCTGAACGGCACTATACCGGGGGGAAGCACCGTAGTTTGTGGGAGCAGTCTTGTCTGGGAAAAAACTGTTCTGCTTGTGAAAAGGGGTTTGAGGATGGTTTCAAAGGAAGCTGGTAATTTCTCAGCAAGAGTTCTCTTGTCTATAGACCTTGAGGAGCAGTACAGTCTTGAGGTAGGAGACTTGGGAATTAGATTCCATAATTTCTTCATGTATACAATAAACCAGGTGCCTGGGACCATTGTACTATGCACTGTACATGTGTGTAATGAAAAGGAAATATTTGTGGAAGAATAGAGTCCAAAATCTTAGAACAGTAAACAAAAAAAACCCCAACCCATGAACAGAGGAAACATTCAGAGCCAAGACAAAGGCGAAACAGTTCTGAATGAGCAGCAGCCAGACTAGCCAAATGTATAGCTATTACAAAGTGATTAGTAGGCAGAGGAATTAGTGAAGGGGATTTGAAGAGGGATTTAAAGAACAACATAGTGACTTGGTGACTTTTCATATTTATATAGGCACAATGAAAAAAAGCACAAAATGCTGAAGGGAGGAAGAGTCACAAGGTACAAAAGGTTGGATTGTGTTTCACAGTTGAATTGAAAGCTAACGGCTCTTGAACACTGTAGAGTTTATCAAAGAGTTGGAGTTGCAAGGTGAAGGAAGTTAATTCTGCAAATAAGTAGTTTAGAGGAAAGGCAGTGGGCAAATGGGAAGAAAAACATTAGGTTTGATAGATTAACCTAGTGAAAGCACACCATTTCTAAATGGCTTCAATATTAAAAACAAGCCTCAATTTAAAGCTAGAAAATAACTGAAGAATGTTAGATAACAGTCTTGTGAGCACAGTTGTTCGGTTACAGGTGGTGGCAAAGCCAATACAAGTCCTTGCTCTTAGTGGCTAATTCTCCTTCCCTCCATGGACTAATTAAATTTTAAGATGTTATGCTATGCAGTTCAAGAAAGGGTCATTTTTATCCTGGGTCACTTTAGTGATCCACTTCACAGTGTGACCCCATGGTTTTACCCTAGCAACCAAGAGGACTGTAAAGGTTTTTTATACCAGTTTTTCTGCTGAAGCCAGCATATCAGGTAATCACACCTCTAGAGCCCTGGCTGTGCGCCTGAGAATGGTAACAGACTTGAAAATGTAATTTATTTTTTTTTCCTTCCCGTTTTGTCTTTTACCATTCTATAGCAGTCTGGGGATTTCTCCAAATTTAGAAAAGTTCCAGATGGCTCTGTTGCACTGTTCGGTTGGGATTTCTTTTGCTGTCTGTAACTGTTCAAAATGAATCTTCGTCACACTATCAAGAGAGAGGATAATAAATAATGTACCTACGTGTTACTCATTCTTTGACAGAAAGAAAAATGGGAGACATACTCAATCACTTTTCAGCCTTTATAAAGGATTTTTCATAGGTTTTAGTTTTTCTGTTGTTAGGTGTTAGATGTTAACATCTAAGTGGAAGATAATTGTGATAGAATGTAGGAAGTTATTACTGTGATTGTAATCCTAGTGTTTAAAGGTGTAAATGGGATGATTATGTACCAGTGAACTGATAAGCCTGGCATCGGTCCTAGGTAAACTCTTGGGGTGACTGATAGAAAACCCAGTCAGTACACGGCTGAAGAGTGGAACGAACATGGCCAAGAGATAAGACTGGAAGGAACAAATAAATTTGCTCTTGAGAAGATTGCATTTTTGACTGATAAGGAAACCAGTTGAAATACCAGTTTCTCTAAGACATTAGTACCCCATTGCATTTCAGGTGAATATATGAATTTAATGTAATTCATATTCAAAGCTTTATTAGAAAAGAGTTGTAAGTAGTAACCATCACACGACAGGATAGCTTCTGAGGCATTCTGGGAGAGATCCATACTCTGCTAAAATTTGATAACTTTTACCAATCATTGGGGAAGGTAAAGTGAAAGCATTTGAAATGTGGATGATATAAATCAATTGGTAAACAAAATACAGTTAAAAAAACAAAGAGAGATTTTTAATGCTGCCAAACTGAAAGCTTAGTATCAGGGAACAAGAAGACTGATCGGTGGAAAGTTGTGACTGTGAATAGAGCAGAGCTGTCTTACAGATGATGTAATGTGGTGGTACAAGGGATCCTTGGCTTTATTATCAGAGAAAAATATAATCGGAAGGTGAGGTAGCTCACAGACCTAAAATCATACTGACTCTATTGAAAATTATAAGAGGTTCAGATGTTCTTCAGCATGCTTGCAGACCTGCCTTCTGTTGTAAACCAGTATAGGAAGAACATATGGGCCACAAAAAGGCTTTTCAGTAAACAAAGAATAACAAGATCTTATGATAGGAAGCAATAAGAAAAGCTAAAACTAGAAATGAGACACATGGACTGAACAGCCAGCATAATTAAAAATGGGAATTTTTAGCAAGGAAAATGTTGTATGTAGATTCTTTAGCTGTAGGTTTGGATGTTGTTCTGTAGGGCACACTGCCTTCATCTGAAAGCTGATAGAGGTATCACGGAGGGAGGTCTGCAGGAGAGGCAGGCCAGCAGTCTCAGGGTGAATTCACGGCTGGTGTGAGCCCTTCTTCACGTGAAACCAGTGATGGTGAAAACTGGGAGGGGAAAGGTCTTTCAAGCATTGGTCCTAGATACCTTTGCTAACACAAAGTCCTGGTGATTTCTGGTTCTTGTTTTCTTCTTGGTTTATCACTACTGTAAACCAGTAACTATTTAAGTATGTGTCAGGAAGCCACGTACATTGTCATTACAGGTTATGACAGAGGCAGTCCTAGCTTTTCACATAGGACTGTTCTTTTTCTCCTGTAACTGATTTGCTGTTTCCACATGGCTACTTGCTGCATTCTTATGATTATGCTCCAGTATCTTATATTTTGTTTTAACTAGTTTATTTTGTTAGCCATTAATTCCCCCAGGTCAAAGTACACAGCTTTCCTCTTGAACCTGCCATTCTGGTACCCACATGTAAAATACACATCAGTTGTCTCTAAATGCAGGTGATCAAGAACAGTCATTCATTTATCTTTTCCAACCACAAATCCTTTTTTCTCTAGATCAACAAACCTCCCTCCTCCTTCCATAACTCATCAGGTTTCTGTGATTTGCATTCACATTTCCCATGTCTGCAGGCAGTAAGGATAATGTTTTTGTTGAACTTGAGACGCTGGTATTTATCTCTTTCATTCATGCTGATTTATCTGAGTACAGAATTTTTTATAAACCACCAGGTATGCTGGCCTTGATCATTAACCTTTTTTTGTTCTGAATCATTTATAATTTACATTCAATATAAAATACAGACAATTTAACTCTGGAATTTTTGTTTAGTTATTAGTATTTATTACAGGGAAACTTTGGGTCATTCCTCTGAAAAATCAATTACTTGTTTTACTCTATGGATAGCATATTTTTTCATGGCCTTTTTCATTTGGCTAGTTTATAGGATTGAATGTATTAAATTATCACTGTCTTTTTAATTTGCTTTTTCATAACAACCTTTGATTAATATTTATATATTATCCCTTTTTAATGTTAATTCTAGGAGGACTTGTTGGTATTGAGGAAAACTGTGAAATCCTTTCTGGCTGTCTGCCAGCAGTGTCTATCAAATGTCAACACTCCAGTCAAAGAACAGGTAAAGGAAATGTCTGTCAAATGCTTTTAGAAAAGTGTGATTAAATGGTAGTAAAACTCAAGACGACACTATATCAAACTTAAAAGTAAAATCGTCTGTGCCTTCTATCTAAATAAAACTGAACAAACACTCTGTAAGAAGAGCTGTATTAAAAGCACCTTCAAATCACAGCTAATGTCAAATTAATTTTCACTATAACAGTAAGGATTACCTGGATGCTTAGGCTCGTATTCAGCTGTTCTAAATTTCATGTAACTCAGTCAACTAAAATAAAAGCCTATTCCTTTAGACCCTTACTGTATTAATAGATGGAAATAGGCACTTTTAGAGGGTGATTGAGACCTCAAATGGGCTGAATCTTTCGCTGTATATTTCTGGATTTTTTTCCCCCTGATACTGACTAATAGAGATTCTAGAGCAACTGCTTTCCTGCCAAAGGCAAATGCCTGAAGCCTCCATGTTACTTTATTATTTTGTTATACTAATAGTTCAGTTAAATGTAGTGGTGAGTACTAATTATTATATCTTTCCCTTTGTAGCTAATGGGAGAAAATTGAGGCTTCTAGCGGTACAGGTCATACTACTGCATATTTTCTAGCAAAAAAAGTGTAATTCATTTTACAAAAATAGTAACACTAAGAACATAGTGTCCTTTCACACTGTGCAAAAATTGTCACTTGGCAAATACGTCTGCTTGAGAAATTCAAGTAAAATATCTACTTAAACAGTGTCTTCATTATAGAAATATAAAGATCTCAAAGGTTTTTTAGCTTCTCATCAATCTAACCATTATGGCTTAGGTTGTTCCACTTTCCTGCTTGGTACACTGACTGAAAACTTAAGTGCATGCATCTCTCTGCATCTGAATGTGTGTGCACACATATGCTGAAAGTATATATGTGAAATATGATTGCATAATAAGGTATCAGAATTTTTAATGATTCAGTGTAATTATCCAATTGTTTGATTTAGATTTTTGGAAAGCCATGCATACATGGAATGGGAAGCTTCTGCTGTATGTATTTAGACATTGAAATAAAAGAAATTAAGTCAAAGGGCTTGTTGAAATAATTCTCAATCCTGGTTTGTTTACTAATATTTTAGGACTATATGGTGATTTATATCAAGTCTGTTGACATCTTTTAGTTGTCTACAAATTGCATTTCCATCAGACCTCCTAAGATTTTGCAAAGGCTGTGACTAAATGGCCTGTGGTTTTGCCTGTGTTTTTTAAAAGATGATGCTTCTTAAAAGACAGTTTTATTTTTTTGAAAGATAGTTCTGCTTGGCATTTACACTGTGTTCTGCAAGTTGATAAATATGAATATTAAAGGCTCAGAGATGTCGCTAGTTTACGTATTTCTAAAAGACTCTTGACATGTCATTGTCTTCCAGCAGATTTAACTTTAATAATTGTTTTTTAATATTCAGAGTAGTTACTCTTGACATATTTTATTGATATTATATAATGTTAAAATATCATCTAGCTACATGAAACTACCAACCATTCTAGCTTAAGCTAGCATTAATGTCTCCTCTGCATCAAAAAATGGTAAATGATCCCATTACTGCAGTGGTTTTTTTTCTTCATGTATATTAACATGTTTTCATTCTCATATTATTAGTAGCCACAATTAGCATTTTTTTTTCATTGGTGATTTAAACTTTTCTTGAAAACTCCTTTGCAGTTCACAATTCTGTACATGTTTTCATTCTCATATTATTAGTAGCCACAATGTGCATTTTTTTTTTCATTGGTGATTTAAACTTTTCTTGGAAACTCCTTTGCAGTTCACAATTCTGTGGAAGGTTTCAATACTCAGAGAAAGCCATGGCCAACCAGACCTAGAGACAGCGAGTGTCCCAATCAGAGTAGGTTGTACTGGAGACACCAGAGGTCCCTTCCAACTAATGCTTCTGTGATCTTTCTAATTTTCTTCCTTAAAAAGTATATTTCAGCAAGTGCAGGACTGCTTCTTAATCCTTTAGTTTTACTGGATTTTCTTGAGAATTCTCTGTAAATTTTGTTATCTCCCTAGCATATGTGATTCTTAATCTGTACATTCTTTCCAGAGAAGATTAATGTACATATCAAAGGAAGGAAAAACATATTAAATATTTATAGGAACAGGACTCAAACATTTCAACTTTTCCTAGACTGAGTGAAACAAAACTCCTGTGACTAGACATATCTACAATATATAGACATCTGTATCTGAGTCAACTGCTGTCTTTAAATTGGACAGAAATAAGCACTTTCAGTGCATTATTCATATGCTCTTTTTTTAGAGGTCTACATTAGGACAAGCTTAAATTCTATTATCAAAGGAATTTAGAGCAGGTCAGATCATCACTGAAATGAATCACAACTTTTTAGATCCAGTGGAGGAAAATCCCAGATAGTGGCATCTGTTTCCCAAGTCTAGGTAGAACATAGTTTACAATGATTTGCATTTTGTTCTTGCCTGAGTATAGCTCATTCAGATTTTATAACATACTACAAGAAATAAGCAAGCTGCTATGACGTTCAGTGTTCACAAAGATTTCATTTTGGAAGTTTGTAAAGCAGATTGCTCTCACTCACTACTTTTCTTTAAACTTGCTTCAAAAATATGTTTAAACACATATTTAACTGTCTTTATGTTCAGCTGTTTGTAGAGGGGGAATATAGGACTGACTTAAAGCCTACACTGGATTTCATGACTCTGTCAGAGCTATTCTGCAATCGCTCTTCAGTTGAAAATGTCTCTGGCCTACCACCTACCTGGGAATTGTGACTGACTCTGCCCTGAGTGAGGCTCCTGCAGGCTTCTGGGGGAGGAGAACAGCATATCCAGCACAGATCTTCTAGGGGTCTTTTTACACACATTCATACTTTAGACCTTCCTCTCCTTCTCAGTTTTCAGAACCTGAGGTTAAAGATAGAGAAATGGAAATGATTAAAAAGTACTTTCTGAAAGGTGCTCAGATGTTGAATGTAATGCAAATGAGTATGGCTGGCTGTAACACTTTGACACAAGCTGTGGTGGAAAATAGTGTTACTCTCGTTCATGAGAGCATAAAAATAAGGCCTTGAAAGAAATAAAGTTAGTAATAGCTGCTGCCTTTCTCTGTTCTCAGGTAATAAGGATATAGTAGTAACAAGCATAAATCATTGAAAATTCTGCCTTGGTCAGCTGTTATCTAGATTTGAAAGCTGAGCAACATAACTTGATTCTTTTTGCAGATAATTATTGATTAAATTCTTCAAGAATTTCTTTGCTTACAGCTGCTTCTCAGCATTTTAGGGATCTGAGAGTGACTCAGCTTGGATTTTTCCTCATAATGTTAATTTTTTTGCTTGTTTAACTTTTGTGTTTATCAAAAGAACTGTTTTTTCTTTACCACAAATTTGGCTACAGTCCTTGAATTAGAGGTAGATTTAGAGTTCTTTTCATAGAGAAGAAATGGAAATTTAATATGGATCATCCTGGACATGGAAGAGGTAGTAAGTAAACACAGTTCCTTACATAGGAATCAAGGCATAACATTTTAAAGTTAGGGGAAACCCTTATAAAGTTTTCACAACACCCAAACAACTACAGCTGAGCACAGTTAAAGGAGGACAATATTTAATAATAGCAGGGTTATCTGGAAATTAGATAAATTGTATTTTATTTTCTACTTTTTTACGCTTCTTACTGCATTCATTCTCTTTTGCCTTTCAGGCTTTCATGCTGCTCTGTGATCTGTTGATGATTTTTAGTCATCAGCTGATGACTGGAGGTCGAGAAGGTCTTCAGCCTTTGGTGTTTAATCCAGACTCAGGCCTCCAGTCAGAACTTCTTAGTTTTGTGATGGACCATGTCTTTATTGACCAAGATGATGAAAACCAGAGCATGGGTATGTTTAGCTTTCATGTTTTCTACTTAGCTTTTTTTTCATAATAGACACAGAAGGAAGAGGTAAATAGAATTTTCAGATCAATTTGCTCAAATGTTTTCAGAATTATTTCTGCTTTATTTTTTGGACGTGTGAATATGAAATATTGAATATTCAGTACTACTTGTGTTAAGAATAAGTACTTACAAAGTTCACTTTGTGAAAAAAAGATATTTTTAGAAGACATGGGAGTGGCTATATGCTATAAATCTGGACAAAAATATTCTTCATTTTCTTTTCTAAATTTTTCTTAATAGTTATTTCCAAAACAGTACAGTCTTAGTTCAGCAGCAGACTTCATTTAATATGGCCTCAAGGGAAGAAGTACTATGGAACAGCACATAGAAGAGAAATCCTTTAGAATTACTAAACAGGGTTATAGGCTTGTGAAGGCAAACCTTACCAGCAAAGCTCTAGGCAAAGATGGCCTTAAACTCTGATGTTACTAAATACACACCCCTTCTCCTCCTCGCCCAAAAGAATCAAATAAAGCTCAGGACGTCACTGATTTGGTTGGAGATTATAAAAGAACTTGGGAAAGTACTGTGTGTTCTTGCTTGCTTGCTTGCTTGCTCTGTCCTAGGCACCTGTGCATGGCCACGCTTTGAGAGGCCAGAGTTGAAGTGACCCCATCTCTACCTCCTCACAGGGATGACTTGAGATTTTTGGCTTTCACTCAGGGAGAGGCAGATTCACCATTTAGGTCTGGTTTTAAATATATCTCTGCTGCTGCTGTTTGTTATAAATGCCTAAATGCAAGTACAGAGGTATCCAGTTTCTGAATCCTAAATACTTTTGGACAAGAGATGGATTCCTACATGCCAGACTGTTTTAGAGCTGCATACTGTAAGTGCTCTTTTTGGCACATTTTCTGAAATTCTACTGTACTCAGTTACTTGTATGTTAGCATGACACATAGGTGCTATTTTAGATCTTTTAAGACAGCAACATATAGAACTAAGGTCTCAGAGAATATATTCTTACTCTAAAGATGCTTTCAGTTTTCTAGCTCCCTAGCTCTTCAGTAGCTAACATCTTTGAGCACCTCTTCAAGGATTCCTCGCAAGAATACACTTTGAAACACACCTTCACCAGAAATCTGTGTGCAGTTAATCATATTTAGTGAGTTCAATGTTCAGAATAATACCTCAAGAATAGATTTTAGGAGGATGGATTTTTTTTCCTCTTTAGCAAGGTTGCTGTTCTTTAACATCCTGTGATTGGGCTGTGAAGACAGCAAAAAGATGGCTGAAGATCTTTGTATGTAATCTCCACTCCCTAATGCTACTTAGACTACATGAAGTCAGTCTGACCATGTGTAACTTTTGGTGTTCAGAACACATCGGTAATGATAAAGTCAAATTAAGGAAGGAGGCAGGAGGAATTGTGTTAATGGGCTTCAATTCTGTGGGTTAAAGCATTTCAGGATTAAAACGTGCATGCATAGTCGCAGTCAACTCCACTGCTTGTAAGAGTTCTGTTACCGAATACGTGACTTCAGTACTGTGGGTCTGTGGAGACTAGTAAGGGTGCAACAAGAGTCTCAGTGACATTATGTCCCTTCTCTCCCCACCACAGCTCTGTACTTCTTCAAACTGGTTGGAAGATTCCCTCCAAGAATAAGCTCTTCTAAACATCATAGAATATTAACCTTTATCACAACTGATTTCACATCTGATTTCATTTCCTTATATAAGTTGTGGGATAGGCTTATATTTAACATTTCATGGATATAGTTTCCTTTTATTCACAGAGTGAGGACTTAATTCTTATGATATTGCCATTCAGTGTTAATATTTCTTAAAACTGAATTTTATTTCCTGTTGCTATTGATGCTTTAGCACCATCGATTTCATATCTGAAAATCCAAGGCATGCAGTAGAAGTATTGTTGCTTCTACTTTGCCTCATGTAAAAAATTGATAGCTTAGTCATGTTAATGAAGTGTCTCCAAATGTCGTGTGTTTCAGAAGTTAAGCAAAAAGCATTCAACAGGTCTTCACTGTGGCCTTTCACAGGGTAAAGAAAATAATCAATTCAGTTCCATGTGGATTATGTTCAGTACCTACTCAGGACTATAGATAGTGTCCTTGGCCAGTGGTGTTATGTTCCTGAACTTCCCTGAAAGTCCTAACATAGGCAGGACTTGAGTTATCACCTTTCATTTCAGCTTCTCCTGCAACAACCCTTGCTTCATTTTAAATTGATTTTTTCTAAAAGCTACTCTTCAATAATGTTGCTTTAGAACATAGCAGCTGCTTATAAACATTTTATTGTTGGTGGTGCTTTCAGAGGGAGATGAAGAAGATGAAGCTAACAAAATAGAAGCTTTACATAAGAGAAGAAACCTTTTGGCTGCCTTTAGCAAGCTGATAATTTATGACATTGTGGACATGCACGCAGCAGCAGATATCTTCAAACACTATATGAAGGTACCGCTCTGTGTATTCTCCTCTTCCTAACTGAACACATAGACTATAGTGTCAGCCCCCTCTTTCTCTCTCTTCCAGTGCAGTAGTTAAAGATTGAACATTTTTGAAAGCTTTTTCAGCCATATTTGATTTTTTTAAAGTTTTTCCTTTCTAGATTATACCTGCTGCTGAGAAGCAGTAAGCTCTGAACGTCCTGTGCTGTGTAGCAGGAGTGCGTTATTAAAGGCAACACCAAAAGATGGTCCTACAAGGTGCTGAGTATTTGCAGAGACTCCTCTCTACAGAGGATTTCTTATCCTGCTCCTCAAATTAATTCCTCAAATCCACAATAACATTATCTATTACCTGTTCAATGTCATATTTCAGTGGAAGTCTCCCAGTTTTGGTGCTTGCCATAAGGAAGCAGGGGTTTTTCTGAGAAAATATTCTTTCAAACAAGAAAGCAGTTTGTTCTAGTTTGAAAACAAACTAGTGGGAGACACCAAGTCAGAATAACAACTTAATAAGAAAAAAAAATTATAAAGGTAGATAACACTGGGTTAAACTAACAGAGTCAGGATACAACCTGACACCCTGTTAATCAGGGTGGTGGTAGCAGTCTGGTAGAATGGTGGCTGCAGTCCCCCCGAAGCAGTGATCCCGTAGAGGGAAAAAAAAAAAGATCTGCTCTTCCTCAGAAAAGTCCAGTGGTGGCTAAGCAGCTCCTGTCCTCTGGAAATCCAGTGGAAAAGAGAGGCCTCTGGTATTCAGAATCTGGGGTTATATCCAGGATGGAATGCTGGTTTTCTCCCTCTGGGTGGAGCATCTCACAATGGGATAATGAGTCATGCTGCATGGCATTGATGGGCCATTAACAGAAAGATAGTCTGGAGGGGGGGGGGCGGGGAAACAAGGAAACACTGCCCCACCTGATTTCCACAGCTCATGAGGATGGTAATAGAATACACTGCAACCCAGGACACATTTTAAAAATAAAAGCTCTATATAGTGCTGCTGTAAGTGGGTATGCATGAGCTGAACATCTTACTAACTTAGGCTGCTTCCATACAGTATTTAGGCCCAATGAAATACAGAAGGACTTGTTGCTCAGGTGTATTTACGAGTTTACCTGCCAGGAAACAGGCACATTAGCAGTCCTGACTGCCAAGCAAGAGAAAGCCCCTTGCATTACATCAGACTGCCAGGTATACCTCACCTGTAAGGGATTAGCCATCACAAAGATGACAACCAAGGAGGAAAAACTGGAAGATAGAGTGGGGAACTGGTCCTTTACTACAGTCAGCATTTGAGATGCTGATGCGAAATACAAAGGATTTAACTTTAAACCCTCCTCCTGTTCATTAGGAGCATGCAGTACAGTAAAATCCCCAGTGCACACTCTAGCCATCAGCCAGGCTGCTGCTCAGGGTTAGTCTTGCTTAGGGATTTTTTTCCAGATCAGGGGTTTCAAATTGAAGCTGTCACAATCCAGGCTAGTCTCCTCCCTGCTGCTCTAGCTTGGTCTTCTCTTCACATACCATGCTTCTCTTGAAATCGGGGGAGAGCGAGAGAAATTGAATTTAAATTAAATACAAACTAGTAGGATCTGTGCATCAAAGAAGACAGAAGCAATATTTTAGAGGGAATGAAAGTAAGTGGTTGCAAATGCAGAAATACTAATGAGGCTGAAAGAATACTGTTTGGAAAAAGATTTTTTTCATATTCTCAGCCTTGAAGTTTTAATGATTATACAGGCTTTTCTAACCAAATGGTCAGTACCATAGGCTGTGGTTTTCATCAACCATTCTTCTAACATAAAACCAGCACTTCATACTGACCAGTTCCTTACTCAGCTCCCTGGCTTCAGTGAATTCCTTTCGTGGCCATCTAACTCACCTTGCATTGGTATGGAGCTTCACACCTGTGTGCTAGTCTCTCTTCACACCTACTTGGTGAAGGGTGTGTTGGTTCAGTGTAATGTTATTTCATAGAATTGCAGCCATGAGACACTTCAATCAAATATTTAGTTTGGGGTAGGAAATACTTTGTTTTCAACATATTTTTTTACAAAAGATAATAACAAATACAGAAGTTCCTTACCTCATCACTGGGTGCAGGCTACCAAGCAGTTTAAAATTTGATATTGAAACATTTCCACCCACTCACACAAAGTCAGGGTTTTTTTGGCAACTGCTGCCTTTTCAAAACAAGAGTAACAAGTAATCTTTCTATTAGGAAAACTGTAAGAAATTGTCTAAGAGGTTCAATTTAAAGAGAGTTTTTTTCCACATTTTTTTCCTAGTACTACAATGACTATGGAGATATCATTAAGGAAACCCTGAGCAAAACAAGGCAAATTGATAAAATCCAGTGTGCAAAGACACTCATTCTCAGTTTGCAACAGGTAAGAATATTGATTTTTGTTAGAAATGCCTCACTGGAAAAAATACTGGGCAGGATTTTCTCTGGTGACCTTTACAATGAAGCAAAAATACTACACTTCTGTTAAGAGATTATCTTGCTCCTCAGTTCAAGCTGTCACTGTCCATTTTTCTCGGTAATCTCTGTCTCTTTAAACACACACTGGCAAAGTTTTGGTCAGATTAAAATGGAAGAAAGGAAGAGAAAGGCCTTGAAGGCAGTTTGATCCAAGCTGATTTATAGCATTTGTTTACTGGCACCTAGTGAACAAGAAGAATTAGGATGACTTTTTCTCCTTATAATTAGCTGGATGTAATGAATCTTCTTTACATTTTGTCTAAAATACTGATTGATTTTTAAAACTTCAAGCTAATTAGTTTAAGTCTTCCAATATTGTTAAACATGTTTTTTCCCAGAAAAAAATGCTTTACATCAACCATAAATTATTCACTTGATGATGAAATCCATCCTTGTTCTGTCAACAGCATGAAGTCTGTGCTTCACTAAATACCATTTAGGCCCTTGAAGTACCAGCTCTATCCATTACATAGAGAAATTGCTTTCATAAATTAGATGTTTTCAAATCAGCTGGGCCTCCCAAAATTCATTACAGCATACTAAGGGATTTCCTGTAGCAATCTGGAAGCTGAGAGGTATCTCTGAAAACTTGAGAAAAACAGACGTACTTCCAGAAGAATCGGTGAGTGTCAGTGTAGTTCTAGTCTTTAAAACTTGGAGAGAGGAAGAAGCCAGGTGCCATAGATCAGTCAGTCTAATACCATTTAATGGGAAAAAAAATTAGACAAACTGTTTGTGAGTGCCTAAGTGATAGGTAACAGCCAGTTTGAACTTGTCAAGGAGAAATCACATTAAATTAAGCTGCTTTCATTAATTATATGGTAACATAACTTGTGGATATCAGAGAGGCAGTAGATTTAATGTAACTTGATTTAATATCATCACTGACAGTGTCTCCTTGATGTTTTCATTAGCAAGTTAGGAAAATGTGGCCTAAATGGCAATACCAGCATAAGATACAGAACTGATTGGAAAACTACGGAGTAGTTCATTATTGTACTGAAAGGGCATTATCAAGCAGGCTTTGAAGGCATTTACATAGTAATGCTGTTCAGATATTCATTGTCTTGAATGATGGAACAGCAGTTTTGCTTCCTAAATTCAAAGAAGATTCTGATCTGGTGGGTGATGTAGGTATTTTAGAAAACAGCAAAAGAATGCAGAACCCTCTTGATGGGTTGGGAGAATCATAGATGCAGTTCCGTGAAGGTAAGTGCAAAATTCTGTTTAAGAGTTATCGTCTGCACAAGTACAAGATGAGGGACAGTTGGCAAACTGTAGTTACACAGAAGAAAGTCTGGGAACTGAAGTGGATTATAAGTTAAATATAAGAGAACTCTGTTACATTGCTGTGAAGTCATCATAATGTCTGCTGTAGGCCATAACAGGTTAAGAACAAGTCTTTCCCAAGAACAGTGTTTTCTAGCGCACCGATTTTAACAACTGAATTCTTTCTCTAGCTGTTTAATGAGCTTGTTCAGGAGCAAGGTCCCAATTTGGACAGGACATCTGCCCATGTTAGTGGAATTAAGGAACTGGCCCGTCGGTTTGCCCTCACTTTTGGCTTGGATCAGATCAAGACGAGAGAGGCTGTGGCCACACTACACAAGTGAGTGGTGGTAAATAAACTAGATTTTTATATTACTTCAGATTAAAACTTTTGCTCAGCATACCTTCTCTGAAGGTATGTAATCTTAACAGGTCCTGGAATAATTATATATTTTTTCTAGTTTATGTAGAAATATGGTGGGTCGTCTACATGTATGTTTGCAAGAAAGGAAGAAAAACTAGATGGTCTCTAATTATTTGTTGGAATTTTTTGGTAATGGCCCCGTTTATCTCAGGTGAAGGCACTGGTATTATACATATTTGTGTGGACTGTATCTAACAACTGTAGATAGTTCTTTGTACCACACCACTGTAGATTCCGTAGGCATTAAGGGCTTTTATAGAAAGATATGCCAAAAGTATTCTGGAAATATTTTTTCTGAAGTGGATTGAAGGTTTTTATGTAATTTCTGTGTAGGAAAGTATAGGAAGGTGCAGCTAAATTGAAATTACGACTTTCTCATGCCATGAAAAGGTTAAAATATTGAAGTTGGCTATCTCTGACTCTAAATCATTAAGACTAAGATGATCAAAATTCTACCAGACACTTTCCTGTGCCAAGCAAACAGAAAGTCAAGACATGCTGCGCCCTTATTGGCTAATGTGAAAATAAATTGTTTTCTTTAGTCTCAAATAATAAAGCAAAGATAAGGCAGTGGTGCATGTATCAATGTACCGGTAAGTAAATTCTCTTCTCTGACTCTTGATGTAAAAGTTGTATCTTGTTATAGCTTACGTATTACTCTTATTGCAAGCTTCTGCTTCATGCAGAAACAAGGAGGAGCCAATATGGTATTCCTGCTAAGGCAGTGGCTTTCAGCACCTGCCAAGGTTCTTAGATTGTGGTAAATTTCTTCTTACCATGTGACTGGCAGTATGTTGTCTTTGAGATTATATCCTCCCAAATCAAGAGGAAACATTCAGTTACCCCTTGTCCAAAAGAAGCTGTTTGCTAGTAATGTAAAAAAAAAAAAAAAAAAAAAAAGAAAGTTATGATGGGACATAAAGAAATAAAAAGCAACATTTTTTAAATTTCATTACAAATGTCTGAAAATTTTAATGTTTCTTTACTGTAGAGATGGCATAGAGTTTGCCTTCAAATACCAGAATCAAAAAGGACAAGACTATCCACCTCCTAACCTTGCTTTCCTTGAAGTGCTTAGTGAATTTTCTTCTAAACTCTTGCGACAGGACAAAAAGACTGTGTAAGTAATGTTCCACTTTCTTCTGTGGGTTTTGCTGGGCTCTGTTAATCACTGTAGTGTGTGTTTAAGCTCTCTGCTTTGAGGTTTTCACAATCTAACAGGGGCTATGGGAAGTCCCAGTGAGACATTTCACATACATAATTATTCATCGGTTTATATTTTAAAGTAATAAAAATAAATGAAGAAAAGGAGAATCAGATCCATTGATGAAGCAAGTTTGAGACCTCACAAAACAGTGTTCCTTAAAATTTCCCATGAGGCATTGAAAATAAAACGCAATCTCTTTTTCAGTCTAGAAGAAAAAAGAAATTAAATGTTAGCAGTGCAGGAAATTTATAAGCCTGTAAACACTGCAGTAACATCTGTTTCTGTTAGATATTTACATAAAATGTAAACATATATTTGTTGTTTATTTATATATATATATTTCAATATATTGAATTAAACTGGGAAATAAAGGTTTGTTGAGGCTTCTGTTACTGGCACAACAGGATGGAGAAAGAGGTTGAGAGAGGACACTACTGTTGGTTAGGACAGAGCAGCATGGTAGAGACCTGGCAGGCTAAAACAAGCAGCCTGAATTTGATATGGTGAGTAATTACTGCAGATGAAATACTGGAAATTAAATAAATCAGAGGTGTTGATGATAAGATCTGAATAAAGAGCAAGAAATACTGTCTTGTGAGCAACATTTGAACAGGCTGTCAAGAGGGACTGTGGATATCAAGAGAACTGGCAAAGAGAAAACTGTGTTATTAAGGGCAAGTTCATAGTAAAGACGTGTTGTCAGCATCACTGCAGAGATAATGCTCTACATTTCTAATAGATTATATAGCAAATACTCAGGGTTTGGCCACAGAGCAGGAGAAAGGGAAAAAGGAAGAGGACTATAGTCAAAAATCAGTCAAGCACTATGTGCCCAGTGTAGAACTGAATTCTTTGAATAACTCTATGACCATTTATAAAATGTGAATGCCAGATCTCCTGATTTATGGTTATAGATATCTTTCCAGTCCATTTTCTGACCGCCGTTAAGTCAAATATATCTACTCTAACTACCTCAACTGACTCTGTCAAACTTCTCTGTAGTTTTTCTATGAAGACATTTGTTTTAAAGGATTTTCTATTAAGGTTAACAATTATGAATATTATAGCTTTATCTGTGTTATAAAAAATGCATCTAGGTTAACTTTGTATAATTTTTTATGTATACACACTTGAACCAATTTAATTTTTTTATGGGATCAATAATTTGTCGATTCAGCAAACACAGTAGGAGAGATGGTTAAACGAGCTTGAGAATTGGATGATCCGGTTGGGCTAGCTTGGCACTCAGTTTTGAAACTGCTCTTCATTGTTACATCCTTGAATCTTGTCAACCTCCATCCTATTCTTCATGACAGGACTTAAGGATAATAGGATTTTATGACTACCTTCCTAGCTGGACTGTAGATTCTCCTGCATCTGTTAGTTTAAGTGCCATTAGCCTGATTCCTATTTAATTTAGTGAAGCTTATCCTTCCTGTACAGTCATCATCCCTTCCACAAGTTTCTAAAATTTAAAGTTACATCATTCTGTACAGTTTACGTTACAGCTTAATTAGACCTGATCCTTTGCATGAAATTCAGTACTTCAAGAGATCTTGTTCCCTCACCTTCTATGTTGCCGTTTACATTTTTTTCTCGAAGGTTCTCCCACTCACACAACCACTGGCTTCTTCCACAGGAGTGTAAAGACTGCTGTGGTGGAATCCATTTCTCCTGATTTTATCTATCTTTATTGTAGTCATCTGTATCTGAGCTATTTACTTCAGCTGAATTTGAAGATCAGTGAAAAGAAATAGGTCCTTTAGGGCATGATTTATCTGATCTGTGCTAAATTGCTGCTTTAAGATGAGTTCAGACGTGCAGTAGATTCCATTGGCTGTGGTGGCTATGAAAAGAGTCAAGATAACTTGCTTATATATAAAGATTTCTTTTGGAGATACCTACATTCTTTCCCTTGAGAGATCTGTCGTGTTTGCACCCGTCAGGCAGTGGCTGCGTTGCCCACAGTGCCTCACTGACCTGACATACTCGGGTGCTGGGGATAGTTGATTTGCCCTTCTCTGTAGCCTGACTCCTCCAATCCACAGGGACCTCTCCCCCGCCCGCCGAAGGGGTTGTCTACCAACAGGAAGGTACGTGACCACCATCTGGTGGAGAAGTCCCGTGTACAGGATCATTTGCCTCCTTCCCTGGCTTGATCTCCTCCTGCCAAGGGCCTGTCCCTAAACTCTGCAATGGGCTCTTCTTAGTCTGGAGGCAAAAATACTCAAGAATAAACCAAAAAGTCTCATGAGCACGGAGCTGCCTGTCTCCCAGAAGTCTTCCAGCTTGACTTCTCTACCTCAAAAAAATAATTACCTACCTGATAGGTCTGCATATGTCACTGCCCTTGGGACAAAATACTGTTCCTGTCACAGTTCAACAGACACTGCTCTTTTGCAGGGCTCTTACTTGCTTTCTGGTTTACTGGTGGCTTTTTTATTTGTGTGGAGAAGAGGGAGATGTTCCCAACTTGGGAATGGAGCAGCAACATTGCTTTAATTTAGTTTTCCTATCCTATTTATTTATCTGGCTTCTCATTTTTTAATTAACCTCCAGAATTAGTGATAGCTATTTATGGATTTATTAAAATCTATGGATTTAATATAAAACTATAAATTTAAGGTGACAGGCTCTTACACTTGGCAAAAAAAGATTTATACTAACACAGTTACAAATACACAAGGCAGATACAGACAGGGAAATCCTGAGCAATACATCTAAGACAGTATAGAGGTGAAATGCCCTGTGGAGGCAGTTATTTCCATTTATTTCTCTCTAATAGAAACCATTAGCTTAGACTAGACAATTGGCTCTTGGGTGTCTGAAGTCAGATGAGATGGAACATCAGGGTGGTGTTCTAGAAATTCTGTCCTCATTGAAGCTGCTAAGAACTGTCAGTATGAAGCTCCCCTAAAATGCTGAACAAAAGTTGTCTCAAGATTGCCATCTAATCAGTAAAGAACTCCCAAGTGGTGTAGTTTTTCCTTCTTCACAATTTGGGCATAACCTGAGCACTCTAGTTCTATAGTTATAAATTGGGTGCTGAAAAGCTTCTCACTTTCCAAGACTGTTCTGCACATAGCTTCTCTGAAGTCATGAGGCACTCAAGTGTTGCACTGTTTGGTAGTGTAGCAGAGAGAGTAAACCCAGAATTTCCCATTCAGTGAAGGTTTGGGTATTACTCAGTATATGCGTGAAAAGGGGAGGGAAGAAGCATTCACAATATTGAATAAAACAGTAGACAGAAAACCTGCTGTTTCTTGAGCAAAGCCATCCCATTCACTGAATCAAACAAAATCCATTAAAAACTGGGTATGATTGATACCCAGGCATATACAGCGTGGCCCCTTGTATTCTGAAAGCCAGACTGTGTAACAAGTTTGAGCCTGCCATGAGCTAACAGAAGAAAATTCTGCATTTCCACGCAGGATCTGTGAATTTGACTCCCACTGATGACAGCCTGGCAATATGGTATTAACGGCAGTTGTGACCCAGGAAGTAATGTTGAAGTATCCTGAGTTCTTTACCTAACTTCTGAATGCTTGATTCTGAAGCCTGAAACTCATTAGAATCTCTTTTCTGTGGATTTGCATACTCGATTTTAGGACTGCTTCTAATACCATAATTAAATAATCAGTGGAAGAAGAAAGTAAATGCCCTCCAGACCACATACTGGAGGGAGGTTGTTTGGTTCCTCCCTTAAGTTATCTAGTGTGCATTGCACTCCCCCATGGCAGTGGAATAGTTCTGAATTTTTTGTTGTTGAAAAATAACTGCTTGCATTTGAAGAAATGATTTTTTCTTGTACCAAGATGCAAAAGGATATCCTATATCCTCACAACTAGGCGGTTCTAACTTGGGCTGTCTGTTGACACAGTAGCAATGTACAGAGGTGGCTTCCTCCCTGTGCAAAATAGAAAAAGAATTCAAGTAGAGTGTGCTGTGAACGATCACAGACAAATGTGGGAGGAAGATGTTTGGGAGAGAATGTTTTGTATTGTTTATCTGTAACCTGTGCATGATTAACTGTGTTGCTTTGTTTTGAGGGAATGACATGTATTCTTTTTCAGTCAGAGATACAATGCCCTATCAGCATATGTTATGAAATTAAAATAAGGAAACACCATGCAGGATTTGTGTTAACTCTCAACAACATGAAGAGGGGTTACAGACTGATTAAAGAGGAAATGATGTGCTGCGCCTCTGTACTCATTGTCTTTTCTTTTCAGTCACTCCTACTTAGAGAAGTTTCTGACAGAGCAGATGATGGAAAGAAGAGAAGATGTATGGCTTCCACTCATTTCCTATAGAAACTCACTAGTTACGGGTGGTGAAGACGACAGAATGTCTGTTAACAGTGGAAGCAGCAGCAGCAAAGCCTCTTCAGTGAGGAATAAGAAAGGAAGACCACCACTTCACAAAAAGAGAGTAGAAGGTTTGTATGGGTTTAGGTTGCCTGGTAGAGGTATTTCTTATTTTGTGCCTACATTACAGCTTGCTTTCTTAGGAGCACTTACAGTTTATCAGTTAATGCTGAAATATATGATATATTCTGTATGTAGTAAAAACCAGACATCTGTTCTGCAAATTCCTATCAAGCTTGAACATGTCTTTATGAGAAATACCATCACAAGTCCCTGTTCTTGTTTGTCTTGACTGAGATTTGCAGATTCAGAACTATTAAAAGCTGTCATTGACGTTGGAAACAGGAGGTGTTTGTGGAGTTACCTGCTCTACACCTGTCTCAGTCATGGACTTCTGGTTTTCTGCCTGTGCTTCAGTCTGGAGCTGTTGTTAATTAACAGGATCTTAGATCAAACACAAGGCATAAATCTTGATAGAGATTTGTATTTTCACAAGACCACTGAAGAACACTCAAAGAGCACATTTTTTTTGTTTAAAATGCTATTGATATCCAGTGTCTGTGTTTACTCTTTCTGTGACTTCAGGCATGTTCATCAGGAATTTGGCTATGATAGCAAATTTCTTACAAGATTGTATCTGTTCCTGGTTAATCTTTATGATGTAGTGTATACTTTTGTGAATATAAATTTACTGTTTCGCTACAGAGTAGGTATAAGTGGGAGCCTGAAACTTGAGGGATTTTTCCAAGGTCAGTATTTACAATAGTACCTCTTCAGTGAGGAATCTAATGACAATTTGCCTGAATATACAACAGTTTCCCAAAATATTCTTCAAACGTTTGTCTATATGCACTTCTACATTAAGGTCCATTCTCCACTATAGCTTATGTTGAGCAGTATGTGCATCAAGTCCTTCATTTTCTTATAGCCAACCTAGAGTTTAGGTAGATAAAATACTGCTTCCTTTCTTCAGACACTGTTTTGCTTCCTTCAGGATGCCATGATGTTCACAGAATTCAACTCCTGAGGGTTTTTTCTTTCCTCTTGTTACTATTTTTATTCTATTGTATTCTACCAATATCCTTTGGGGTTTTTTCTCCTGGGAAGTGTAGTAAAGTCTTTGCTTCCCTGTAAGGCAAGTCTCAGTCTTATGGTGTAGTCTTTAGGCACCGTTTGCCTCATGTTCTTTCCTGTCCTTCTCCTTCAGTGATCAATAGTAAGGAGAACTGATTTGCAGCACTTTCCATTTGAACATCCCCTTTCTTTGCAACAGCTGTGGTCCTGAATTTTCTACAAACATCACATACTTAAAATGATGTAGGCCAAATCCATGGTTGTTCAGTTCCTGAATGATCTAACTGTACAGCAGGTCCCACCAGGAGATCATCTAGCTGCAGTGCAGACTGTGCCAAGGCTTGCTTGAGTCTGACAGGATTCTGATATCTATAGGGGGTACAAGTGTCTCTTTCCATTCTATCAGCACCGTGTCATCAGAAGACACCCAGGATTTATCTTGACTTAGGCAGCGTGATCTAATGTCACTCTTCACTACAGTAACCCCAAATTCCCCCATTAGTAGTCTATGGCTAGAAGACTGATGAACATTGTCTCTCATGGGGTGCTCCCATGGGTGGAGTATGGGCACGTCCTTTAAACACTACAAATAACATTCAAGATCAACACGTTTTGAAGCACGCTGGGTAGGGAGGAATCTGTTCCTGATCCCTGCACAGACCTTCGTCACTCAAGAAAGCTTTGCTGTGCAGCCTCAGACAGGTCCAGGAAGGATGTCTTTGCATGTAACAGCATAACTGTCTTTTCCTTGAAAGACGCCTCACATAGAATTCGAGTGCCTGGTAAAGAATAGAAATGAAAAGTTACCAGCAAGCACTCTCTAATGACAGCAGCATCACAAGCTCTGTGGCCTTTCCTTACAGCGAAGGATAGGCAATGCAAGCACCACAAGTCTTGGTTTAGACATGTATTGATACAACACATTTTACATCCTGTTAAAATACCCATGATAATATAAGCATTTGAAGGACACAATGTACTTCATTTTGGGATGCTTCTTGATGTGCGGGAGGCCTTCTGGGTTGCGTTACGCCCTGAGAGCACTTCCTCTTGAATCCTGGAAAAAGGAAAGCCGAGAAGACCTGGAGCCCTGTTGTCTGTATTCTTAATGGGAAGACATAGATTTCTGCACAAGCAAGGTCTTGTTTTGTCTGTACCAATAAGGAGTTCATGAAATAATCAGAGATTTGATCCTCAGAAATAAGCACTTAGTGTTCATTCATCTGTGTAACGAGCTATGAAGAACCAGTCTTAAGAACAAATTAACTGTTGCTCTATACGTTGTATGTACACAGATCTTTGTTGATTTTTTTTATCTTTACATATTTTTCTAACTCATCCAAAAATCTTAGCTTTATTCTTAATCTAGCAGTGTGATTATAAATTTGGACCTCTCTTTAAATCCTGCTAAGATGTTTTTTCTTTAAATTCCACTCTAAAGGAATGAAAACAAGGGCAGCATTGCTGCAGAAACTACCTTTGCATCGAAGAACCATAACTAGTTCCCTGTGGCTGCTTCTTCACCTAAATCTAGTGTATGTTGGGTTCAGCAGACTGTCCGGGTTGGAGAACATTGCCTGTTGCCACTGAAAGTAAATCTGCTCTGTGATGTTTCTTTGCAATGCCTTAAGGAAATCAAACATAAACAGGATTTTTTTTAAAAAGTCCCTAACATGAAAAAGGTTCGAAGATAAATTCACAAATAAATAGGCAACTTTTCAGACATTTTATGCCCAATGGGTAAGAAAATGCATAGGAAAAATGAAAAGATCCATTGAGATCTCCATCTCCTTCCTCACCCCACATTTCTTCTGTTGGTAAATCTGTGATCATGTCATCTTCTCCCTTGTCATCTCCCTTGTCTTTCACTTGCTCCGGGAACTTACTCTACATGTCCCTTGCCTACGCACTTGTCTGCTCTCTCACTTTCTCCTCAAGTCCCCCCTGTTCCTTCCTCTCTGGTTTGCTCCCTTCACGACGTGAGCACAGCTTCCCGCTCACACCTTCAGTCATTGCTCCCATTGCTCTCAGCTCTGAACGTGCCAAGTCACTGGTCAGAGTTCACACCAGCCAGACCACTCTCTTATTTAAAATGCTCCCTCTGCACTCCACTGAAACAGTTCTTGCTGAAGTTTCTAAAGATGTATGCTGACCAGATTTTGGGGTTTGTCCTCCACCCTCATTTTAGTGTTTAACTGTATCTTGTTTGTGGTATGCATACGAGATTAACAGTTTTATATTTAGATTGTAAACTCAGTCATTGGGATTATCTTTGTTATATCTGTGCAAGACACAACAATTCAGGTAGTGCTGCAATACAATATTTGTTTGCAGTGTCGGGATTTTTTGTTTGTTTGTTAAATATTTTTACTTTAAAATGTTGCTGAGAATAGCTGGTAGTAATCCTTCCTTAAAAGAACACAAACCAAAATCAGAGCTGAAAATGTTATCATTTTGGGTATTTATCCAGTTGATCTCTTAAAGGCACACTGGTTTTAAAAGACACTAAACTGTTGGAAATCAAATTTGGAGAAGGTGCTGCAACTAAAATTAACCGTATTGAAGTGTGTCAGCAGATGGAAGGTTCTCGTTAGTAATGCAAGGTGTTCGTTCAGTGAGTTGGCTGAATGAATCCTGAAGGTGGTAACACTGCACATTGTCAGAAATGTGTCAGTAATTTTAAATGTTCTTTTTCTAGATGAGAGTCTAGAAGGCTCATGGCTGAACAGGAATGAAAGCATACATACTCCAGGGACACTGCAAGCACCACAGCTCACCTCAACTGTCTTGAGAGAGAACACTAGACAAATGGGAGAGCAGATCCAGGAGCATGAGTCGGAGCAGGGATCTGAACAAGATTTTTTACACAAGTAAGTGCTGGAATTTCAGTATCAAATACAGTGAGCCAAGCAAAAGAGATGCATATTATTAGAGAGAATCTGTGGCTCCATATTTGCAGTATTTATTTACAAAAACAACTGGAAGTATCTTGGTTATAGCTCAACAATACTTTGATTCTTTTCAGTTCCCAGGAAGAATATGTTGTAATGAAATCATGGTAGAAATATGTGTTAAAATTATCTCATAGCATAACCATGCAATTATGGTTAAATCTTCCTAGTGTTTATGCCCCCAGGTTGGATTGAACTGTTTCTCCGAAAGACCTGTTAGATGTTTTCTCTTCTTCCCCTTTGCCCTGTGTCATAGCATAGTTAAGGTTCTCCAGACATCCTAACTGATTTCTTGTAAATTAACACTTCCATCCAATTGTAGCTGCTGAGCAAATATTCCTATTTCTGGGATAATTGCCTGCAGGCAGTTTTATTTTGCTGTAAATTACATCTACTTTTTGTCATTTAGTTCCCATTTTGTCACCTCCATTTGGAGGGTAAAAAATGTGGGTTATTATCTGTCAGTAGTTTATTTAAGAATAGAGAAGTCTTCAGAGAATGCCATTATGTGACATTTCTATTAATTTGAAGATAAATATCTGTTTTGGAGACTATAACTTTTATAGCCAAATATACTGATCTATCTGTATAAAAAAGTCTTATTATGCTGGCCGGATGAATGCATCTTGGTTTTCCTCCAGCTTTTGTCTGTCATGTTTTTCTTGATACACTCTTGTTCCCCAGGTTCCCAATTCTTCCTGAATGTGCACACACCCTGTTCAATCCTAAACTTTACTGCTTCATCCTGCATTCTTTAATCATAGTATTTTCTAAATAAAAATCATTAATAATGGTCATTTTGCCCGGGAAGGTAAAATGTTCTCCAAGCTCAAATGACAAGGGTATATGTATACTGCCATGCTGCACATATAAACTATTAAAGTTTGCTAATTTGTGGCCATAGGATCTCAAAAAACATGAGCAACTTCTAAAGAAATGTTCTCTTTCAAAAGCTTAACCAGTTCTTCTCCCTTGCTTGTGCGTGTAACGTACACAGGCACAGATTGAACCTTGCTACAACCTGTTAATTAGTGCCCACCACAAGAGACTCTTGCAGCTCAGCTGGCTACAAATAGCTTCTAGTTTTTGGAGCACATAGTATTTGGCATTTCCATAAATGAGTTCAACTGACTTTCTTCCCCCATGCTAACCCTGTCACACTCTTGGGGGGGCAGGCTGGCGGGGCTGGCTCTCGCTGCGCGCGGGGTCCCTGCGCTCCTGCACAGAGGCCTGTGTGGCTCAGAGGGGCAGCTCCCACCAGCTGGCCACAAAGAACGTGACTGACCACTTCATGTCAGTCCCAGGGCATCTTTTCACCTTAATCCCACAGCATGTGAAGTCTGGATGGCTCTTCTTGCCTTTCTGAGGTCAGGGATTTGTCTCCCTATCTCCTGCCTCCCCAGAGGTTGCTGTAACTTCTAGATTATAAGGAAGATGTTGTGTCTCTGTTTCTCCTTGAATTTTTTCCAGTCTGCAGTAAAAAAACAAAACAAAGAAAATTGCTGAAGCAGAACTTTCTTTCTGACCCTCTCTGATCTCACCTGTCACGAAGCTAAATCTCTCTTTGTGAACGTATAATTAGTTATGGAAAGTGGGACAGCTTCCAGTCACTGTTTTGCTCCTGAGCCTGCCTTAAGCTGTGGGAGATCCTTCCCCTTTTCTGGAGTGGGGGAAGATGAACCAGGCTCTTCAGCCTGGGCTTGAACCTCTGTTTGTCCTGTCTCGGGTGAGTGCTGCGAGCAGAGGCCTGTTGAGCAAAGGCAGAGAGCATGGCTCTGCTCGGTGGTACTTTGAAAGAGTTGGATTCCACCCAGAAGTTCACAGTGTGAACTGAGGGTGGAGCATCCTTGCCTTTCATCCTGGAGCGAGCATTTCCTACAGGTCAGCCTAGGAGAGCTGAAGCATAAAATAAATACAGAGCCATCAGTTGCTGAACTAATGGGGTTAATCATGTCCAGAGGAATATCTTGTTCTAGGTTGTTCTCAGATGAGTTATCCCAGTTTATTATGTCAATCTTATTAGGGTACAAGACTGCATAATAAACTAAAAACTGGTGTGGCTCTTGAAGAGCTGCACTTAGTTTACTACAGTTCCCTCATGCTGCAATACGCAAATCATATCAAATGCATTGCTGTCTACTACTGGATTTAGATGGTATTAAAAGCACAGCCTTTAAGGTATTTACATGTGGATAAGTTACTGGACGTTTAAGTTGATCAGGGTGTATATTTAAAAGCAATTTGTTTTTCATTTTGTGTGACATTTTTGTTTTAAAATGTGTGTCAGTTATTAATTTAGATCTATTCTTGCTCATATTTTGCCTGCTTTGAGACGGTGAAGTAGGATTTAATAAAATGAATTTTGGAAGTGCTCCCATTTCAGGTGCATGTCACACTAATGAATGAGTAATGTTAGCATTTTATGTAGCTGTTTTTATTGCAACAATTAATGGACTTTTTTTTCTCGTGCATATGCAGCGAGAGGAGACAAGTTGTGGAAGGGAATCCAGAAGAAGTGTACAATGATGGATGTGATTTAAAATATCTTAATCTGAAATATGGCCAGGCACAAAACTTGAGGAGATAGATACTGTCTAGAAATAGCCAACTCAAAATTGTTAGTGTTCTCAGTCATAATGCTGCTTTATGTTTGTTAGTCCCCAGATGCAGATATCTTGGTTGGGCCAACAGAAGCTAGAAGATTTAAATCGAAAGGACAGGACAGGAATGAACTACATGAAAGGGAGAACTGGTGTAAGGCATGCAGTGTAAGTGTTCAGAGCATCCTCGTCTCCAGATCAGAACTATTTTAGATGACCATGCCGCATTTTAAATGTTACCTGTTCTGGGTTGTTGCCAGTAATTTCTGTGACATTCATTCTGCTGTTAATGAAGGCAGAGTAACAGCTTTGTAAAGTTGGATGGGCACTGGGCTGTGTGTCCCTCCAGCCCAGTGTTCTGCCTCTAACCACGGCCATAAGCAGGTGCCCAGCGAACAGGGCAGGCACACATGGCACAATTCCCTGTTACTCTCTGCCAGCCTTCAACCATTTCCATTTCAGGGGGTTTCCATCATTTATCTGTAAAGTAACACCCCGTGAACGCTCCCAAGTTGTTGTCCAGGTTTCCCGTGAATCTGGTTATGCTGCTTTCATCCACATCCTCTTTTGCCGAGGCGCCCCACTGAGCAGCTAATGGAGGGAGCACGCGGGGGCGAACGCTGAAGCCTTCTCTTGTACAAGGTGCTCCGTGCTGTGGTGCCCATCCAACCCAGCCTATCGGGGGGGGCGGCAGTCTCTAGCAAGATCAAGCCCTTACAGTGTTAGACACTGGTCTTGGATTCATGGCTGGATTTTCAGGGATTTATCAGTGATCGTGGCAAAGAGTGTAACTCCTTTTTGGAAAAGGGCAGGCAAACACGGTGAGGTTTTTGCCCTTTCCTTGTTAGGGACAAATTTAATTACTGTTTATAATGATATTACATGGGACTTCCTGCTTTAGCCTCTGCAAGTGCTAAGTTTGTTTTTACGTAAGGTTTTCTTCCAGTTAATATTACAGAAAGTATGCTGGCTTTATTCTCAGCATAAGGTTTTATGTGAAGGCATTAAGGGATGTCCATTCTTTTTAATGACAAAGATCATGGTTGGGAAATTTAGATGCCTGGAAATGACTTTCTTTCTCTTTATTTAATCAGACGAGGTCTAATGGAAGATGATGCTGAGCCCATCTTTGAAGATGTAATGATGTCCTCACGAGGTCAGCTAGAGGATATGAACGAAGAATTTGAGGACACAATGGTCATTGATCTGGTCAGTAAATCATATTAATAGCAGGTTTTAAAAATGGGTGAAAGATAATTTAAAAGGAATTTTAGAAGTGCAAACAAAAATTTCCAAAATTTTGAGCCGGAGTTCCTGTTGTCTGAAGGTTAAAGAGCAGAAATGATCTGAATACTCCCTTAGAACCTACAAGTGCAGAATCACAGAAACACAAGGAGCGTTCCTTAGCGCTCTTCCTCTCTTATACTGTGGACTTGGGCAGTAGCAAGTGCCTGAAGCACCATCGTGCACTTGGGAGATGTCAACCTGTGAGAATCAGGTTATGATTCACAGCCTGGCGGGTGTTTCAGTGCAGCCCCTGAGGATCTGGCTCCACGTGCAGTCAGCCAGGGCCAGGAGGGCTGCTGGTGGTGACAGCAGGGACACCGGCTCACCCCAGCTGCCAGCTCAGCCTCAGGAAATACAAGTGGACTCTCTAAAATCCAGTAACAATGCTTGATTCCGGTTGTTAGTTGACAATAGGAAGAGTTTGGAAACAATAGCATCATCTGAAGCTGTTCTAGGTGGCGTTGCCTTCGTGATGCCATTGTCACAGCCATCACTGCCTCTTTTGCTGACATGGCTCTTTATGCCACCGTGCTGGGGTCAGACTGATCCAGCTAAGTTGCTTCTCTCTTTCTGCTTCCTGGCTGGTTTGATTTCTGGGAGGTGGGGTGGGCAGGGGATCCTTAATCAAAGCCTGGTTAGTGTACAGCCACACACAGAGTTGTGCTGGCACAGCGGCAGGTGATCCCTCACTGGAATTGCTCCCGAACAGGTCTTAGCATCAGCTGGCAGCCTCAGGTCCCTTCATGGTAATGCAATGACCACAGGCAGGATTTCCTTTGTGGAGGTTATAACCTTACTAGCCTCTCTGCTTGGAGTGGGAAAAAGGATCAGTTTGCACTATGCACTTCACTGTTTTTATGCTTTACTATTTCTCCTTTCATACCCAAACCATAGGTTACTTCAGGACTGGGATACAATGTCCTGGAAAGAAAATTTAGGCAGTAATTCAGTTGCTGCTGCTGCTGCAGGTTATTACTTCACTCAAATGATTACCAAGTAAAATCTCTTTTACTGGTAATCCAAGGCAAGGAAATGAAGGAATCGATAAAGCCAGTGAAGCTCACATTAATTCTTATGTTCCTAGGGAAGGACAACACAAAGGGTTTAATCCTCAGGAATATTATGAAATCTTAAGTACCTTTTTTTTCTAAATCTGCTTTTTGACCATGTCAGAGTTGAAGTTTCACCATAAACTTAAAAGCATATAGCCAGTGAAAAGACAGTTTTTTTGCAGTCTGGTCTACAATCCTAAAACAAAAACATCGTTAAGTCAGCAAGAACCTTATGCAAGTCCTTAGCTTTGAGCACAGACTTAAAATGACTTCAGAATCCATCAGCTTTTACCCCATTCTTTAAACAAAATGTGACTTGAGGAAGTAATCTGTGCCAAGGCCTGCATTTTTATCAGAGCTTTTATGAAAATGTGTGTTGTGAAGGAGCAGGTGACCACATTAGCACCTGTTAGAGCCCCATGAGTCCTTTATCCCCAGGTAACTGAGGTGATGTTCTAAAACGGGTGACTCCTCTTTTTAGCCACCTTCAAGAAACCGGCGAGAACGGGCTGAACTGAGGCCAGACTTCTTTGACTCCGCAGCTATCATTGAGGACGATTCAGTAAGGCTTTACTAGTATTGTTTGCTGTTTATCTGAGGTTCTTTTTGATTATCATTACACCCAATTAATTACTGTCTTTTAAATCATTTTTCCAGGGATTTGGAATGCCTATGTTCTGAAGTCTGGTGAAGACATTTTACAAATTTGGAACTCTATTGTTTAGAGCTAGAGGCCTATATACTGTGATAGCTTGTATGAAATCCACATTTTTGATGTGATACGGTTTGATTTTTAACCAAATGATTGAGGTCAATCCCTTTTTGTAGTGACAGAAAGAAGAGGAACTTCTTAATGACGCAAAGGAATGTTGGCCAATCCAGTCACCTCAGAAGGGCTGACCTAAAAAATCATTTGTATCCCTGTTCTTGACTGTCCTAATACAGATTTTTTTTTTTTTTTTTCCTGGATGAGGAGGAAGTTTTAAATTGTTAAGACAGCTGTCGAAATAAACACTGTTCTACATATGTTTTCTGAAAACAACATTGAGTGAAAACAGAACTTTTTAACTTTATTTTTCTGCTGTACAATTTAAAACAGTTTTAACATTTGCCTTTTTATGTTTTAAAAGCTAGCCATTTTTATTAAACCTATGCCTATCAGCCATTGACTAGCAATGATGCTATAAGCAGGTCATTCTGGCTACAGAAAAGTGTTTTTGAACACACTGGATTTGATTAACATTATGGTACGCGTATATCCTCTCATAGGCATTGAGAAAACACTCTTATAGAAGAGGTTAGAATTCTAATGACGTGCATCTCTGCCAAAAAATTTCAGATTCTGATATGATAAACCCAGATTTTATACTCTTGAGAAGATTTATTTTTATTTATAATGGGACATAACGTAAGAGATGTCCATGAAGCCACTTTTCCAACAGATGCTGTGTAACATTCATTTTATATAGCACATGGGGACACAAAAACAGTAAATTTTCTATTGGTACTTGCTCTGTGCATTTTTAGCAACTTATACCAGCAAATAAAGTATTCTCAGTAAAACACACAAATGGTTCTCAAGTAATCACTTTGCTGTTTTTACTACCTACTTCAAGCCCTGCCAACCCAAGGTACATAAACAGCAACTTTCCTATTAAAAAAAAAAAAAAGTAATTCAAGGGTGGGGGAAAGGAATCACTTTAGCATACTAAAAGCAATTTTAACTGTACCATAAAAAAAAGTCTACTTTCCATGCCGTAAATACCCTTTTGCGCTATTTTTGTAAATTAATTTTGCCAGTTAGAAGTACTGTATGTGCTGCATAGAAATTTGTGCTTAGATGGTGAAGTTCTTAAGCTTACAATGGAATACAGCTACATTTTCAGTGTTAACTGTGCATATTAAGAGTAATTCTTTGGAAAAAAAAATATGATTTTTCAAAAAAGTTAAAAACATCAAAAAAAACCAAAAAACCCAAAACATTCTCAGCTAATTCATTGTAATAAGAGATTTTTCAATGTCTTCAATAATTTGGAATTTCATTACGCTTCGATTTTATGACTCTGCCTAGTAGCTGCTACTTAGTTAAAACTGGCCTGATATCAGAGGTGCTGGCCATCCACAACTTGCACTGACTCTAGTATCTCTAAGACTCAGCCCAAAATGTTAATCTTCCTTTCTGCATTCTAATATTAGCATTTGAGATACAAAGCAGATTGACCCACTTGGGAGCACAGCAGTTTTAAAGGTGCTTTTTTTTTTTTAGCAACTGCAAAATAATCATGGAGCTTTTTTCTGTTACAAGCTTATTGAAAAACAGAACAACATTTAATGCCCAGTGCTTACTTGCTGGGAGGGAAAAGAATCTAACTTTAAAAACAAACCAGCATTTCACTTAGCTGGGGTTTGTTTCTTACAACATGTGCAGTTCTCAGACATGGTTGCCAAAAATGTTCGACTAGGTAATTCAGCCATTCCTCAGACGGCGGTTGCGTAGCAGATAAAACCCGAGAAGTAGCTGGAACTTTATAAAATAACGTTACCTCCCTTCCTCTTCCATCCACCCCAAAAGGGGTGGGCAGGAATGGCTGCATTAAATCGTCATCACAATAATTCTGTGAGCATAGTAGCATAATAAATGCTGCCTGGTTTGAGTCATAGTCTCAGACGAACCTTGTGCTTCACAGTCCTCTGTGTGGAAAACTGATTCCTAATTTAACATTGTAGAATACTGTATAACAAACATTTATTATCACGGTACCTGCAATGGGTTTCCAGTTCAGTTTGCAGTCAATAGGTTTTTGTATTATGAGTGTCTCCTTGATTGGTTTTGCTAGTAATTCTGTAAATTGTACATTTACAATATGAGGTTTTTTTTCCTTTTGTACAATTTAAAACTGATGCTTCACCTTTCATTTAATAAACTATTCAAAATCATGAGTATGATGAGCACCCTCTTCACTATAACTTTCTTTTAAATGCTCGTTTGGACCATCACATCTTGTCATTCCATTTATTAGTAGCCAAAGGAAGTACTGAAGGGTAGTTCTCACATAGTCCAGGCTTCACCATCAGAGTCCATACAGCTGTCTTACCTGTTCAGCCTCAGAGCAGAGCAAAATCCTGTCAAATTTTTGTTTGGGTTTTTCTTTTTTTTCCCTCCACTGTGGTGTGTTTTTTGGTTTTTGGTTGATCTGGGGGGTTTCATAATGAGATTGCTGTAAGTCTGATAAGTCATCACACAGGTTGGGAGAGATGCATTGTTAAAACTTACAATTGTTTGAACTGTCATAAATTTTGAGAAAAATTTCACTCTCCTGCCCTGTATGTCTGAAGTGAACTGGACCATGTAGGAAGAAATGGAAGTGGTAAAGGCTTGGAAGGTCCAACCACCAGCTGGGCTCAATGAAGTTTTACAGACTGCTGAAACAAAATGTCCTCTCGTTATCCCATGTCTCAGAGAGAAAGATGCCATTTTTGTCCAACCCATGAATGATTTCATCTCTGTAGTGCTAAAGAAATTTATTTGTCATCTGGCCCACTTCCCAAGTCAAAAAAAGTAACAAGATGCAGCAGGTGGGGAAGAGGGATAGGATTCAAGGCCTGAACTACACTCTAGGACTACTCCTGAGACCCGGCCCGAACACTTGCAAGTTATGCTCAACTCCTGATGCGCTGTGGAACGCAGTAAGTAACTTACTTGTCATGCTGCTCTCTGTTGGAAGGGTTTTATTTTATGTCTGTTGTTTCTGCAGGTGACTGGAATTCAAAAGAACCTTGAGTAATGTGGCCAGAGCAACTTTCCAGTGCGTTTCCAGAGTGTTGTGCTGGTACAGCGACTGACTGCTTGGAAATCAAGAGGATATAAAAGCCAAATTATTGTGCTGGCAAGAGACAGAAGAGAGGATGAAGTCCATAGATCTCATGAGGTTAGGAAACAAGAAAGGTTGTATATTTTTTTTTGACAACAATGATTGGGTTTCTCATTGAGTGTCTCCTCCTGGCTCTGGGCAGGCAGAACAAACTCTGCATCACTTTAACACAGCTTTTGCCTCTAAACTTGGGACAGCCACCAGCCACTCTCTCAGCTACTAATTACCTTTGAAAAATCCTCTTGGTCTTTACAAACTCTTACAAACTTTGATTATACCTTTTCTAGCAATTAAAAACTGACTTCATGGCAGTCATCCCCAGCATCCTCATGTTTCCATTTACCTTCCTTTGTTGCTGCTGCTGGTCCTGTTCCCTGAGGCAGTGGGTACCTCAGCAAGTGCTTCTGCAGAGATACAACCAGATACATTATCTACCCTGGCTGCAAACATGAATGTATCTGTAACCTGAATGCATTGCCTCTAGCTCTGAAAAAAACAGTGGAGCTGGGACTCATACTTGAAATGCTACTTCCATACTGTGTTTTCAGGTGATTTTTAGTTGTTGCTTTTCCCCTCCCAGGTACAGGCTCCGAGCTCCAGGTCTGTACTCTCTAGGGCTGCACTGGGCAGAGACACCAGGATTCCCAGATACCTGGGGAGACATGCTACCTGGAAAGTCATCATTCAGTCAATCTTCCACTTCAGGCACATGCTTGGAGAGTGAACAGCAGCAGCTGCAGTGTGCAGGTACAGTAGTTCTCTGTCTTATTATACAGGGCCATTAATTACTGAGGTTACTTAGAACAGGCAGGTCATTACAGGATGTCACGTGCTTGGCAGCTGTTTGCAGTGGTGCTAAACGTGACGGTAGCCATTACTCACTACCTTGGGGGCTGTCGTTAAAATGCAGTTTCTAATGAGCAGTGAGCACAGGGCCCAGGGCTGATCAGCAGTAACATCTACTGCAGTGGTTCCATGCAAGTCTCGCAAATAAGCATAGAAAAAATTAGGCTGGAAGGGGCCTCTGGAGGTCTCTATTTCAACCCTCCACTGAGAGAGAAAAGCCCTCCCACATGCAGAGAGAATTTTTATGTCCCACCAGAACTGCCCTTTTCCCAGTTTAAGCGCATTGTCCTTCAAGAGGAGGGAGGCTCCATCTTCCCTACCCCTGCTGTGCCCACAGCCTGCAGGTCACTGGTGCCAGCCTGGGACCCCATGTTGCTGCAGCCAGCATGCAGATGTTAGAACTCAGTTCCTCTTCTAGCAGAGGAAGAGAACAGGTTAGTTCTGAGAGCCCTGAAATCCAAGCTCAGGATTTTTCTCTCTGCAAGTCAGACTCCGACTCCAAAGGTGGGCCCAGGGCTAGACTTGAACTCCTCATGGTCTGACTTCTCAGCAGTGAGAGGCTGCTGCAGCTCCGCCTGTCTGAGCCCCCTCCAGGGCCCACGGAGTGAAGGAGCCAAGGGACCATCTGACCTGGAGCAATCCGTGACACCTCCCTGCAGTGGGCACTGCAGGTCGCACTGATCATTAACCCACCAGAAAAGGTTTATACAAATGAACCCATAAAATCCCAAATTAAATGAGATACGTACTATAATAATTTATTAATAGTCATTAGCCAAATCAATGTGAAAATAATTATTTCCATTGCAAAGTGGACCACCAAGTAAACAGTATTTGCATTCAGAATACCACCAGGTCCTCCAGCACGGCCAGGCCCCACCTGACCCTCACAGGGGGATATTGGCATGTTTCTTCCAGGGACTGGACTGTGTTTTACTAGCCAGCACATCTAGGTCATGGCAGATGCGCATGCGGGTGGTCGAAGGTTGAATGATGTCATCAACAAACCCTGTAACAAAACAAAAAGACCCCTGACCAACCATGTAGAGTTTGCCTCAGCCTTCTGTATCTAGGTTCTAATGTAATTTAGCAAAATCAAAACATATTTGGAATAAACAGTTCACAAGTTACAAATTAAGAAAATAATTAAAACCACCTGAAAAGGAAATATTCCTGTGTCAATAGTTTTTTAATTAGAAATGGTTGCTTTTTTTAATTTTTCCAAAAGTTAGCAAGCCAAAAAATGTTAAGGATGGGGCTTTACTCACTGAGTACTGCACCTGTATACCCTCTCTTTCCATGTGCTACTATTAGTCTGGTTTCAAGGTTGAGAAGTGTTGCTTAGAAGAGACATCCCAGCACTACACCTGCAGGAGCCTTTTTTCTGGCTCAAACAGCAGTAATATTCTACTGCAAAGCCAGAGGGTTCCCTTTCTACTGTACACGGTGGTTGTGGTAGAAAACAGCTTGGCAAAGTCTTCCCAACTCTGTGGCACTACAAATGGGATTTAAATGAAGTACAAAACCAACGAACAGAGTAAGCCAGCGTAACTGGAAACAGAGAGTGCTGACTCCAGAGTCTACAGAACTGCCTTCCAGAGCACAGTTAATGTTTCAAAGCTAGAAGCAAAATTCAGAAGTAAAAACAGTGGGAAAATTTACTCCAAAGAGTCCTGCGGGACATCACTGAACAGAACTAGACTCTGACCCTTTCTTAAGGCCACCGGTCTGCAGCTAGGACTGTCAAACAGATCATCAAAGCACCTGTATTTTTAAGGAAAAGTCTGAGTTTTGAGTTGCTTTCTAGTATCTACAAAATTGAATATATGCTTTTCAGTGCAGTCCCCACATCTCACCAGTCTCTCTCCATCTGAACATGTGTTTTGTGTCTAGATGTGTTTTTCCTTCACATGCACAAGCGATGGTTAAGCATCACCTTTCTGATTCAGATACAAATGTCTTGCCTAAATAACTTATTAGCAAAAAGTTTACTCACTAGCTACAAATTTACCTAGGTGCAATGGCAAACTCAAACATGGGACACAAAGTGGGAGACAACCCTACCTCTCATGGCAGCAGGAAAGGGGTTTGCAAACTTATCCACGTATTCGGCCTCTGCATTTGCCTCTTTTCCTCTGAAAATGATCTGAACAGCACCCTAGAAGGATAAAGCCTACAGGTCAGTGACAGTAATGCAGCCCATAGAGAGGAAAGCTGTCTGCTTTAGAAGCCCCTTCCCCGCTACGGGCCACAAAGGGAAGCTGCTTCAGTGAAAATACCAGTTGTCATTATCTTGCTGGGCCGCTGCTGCACCCCAGCGTGAGAGTCAGCCTGCACCTACCTTCGCACCCATCACTGCCACCTCCGCAGTGGGCCAGGCATAATTTGCATCTCCTCTTAAATGCTTTGAGCTCATCACATCGTAGGCACCCCCATAGGCCTGAAACAAACCCCAAGGGATTAATTAGCATGACATGACCTCACAGCAGCAGTAGCCTACATTCCTCTTGCAGTTTTTACTATTCCAAAGACAAGTGGCACTAAATTTTACCTGGAAGAGAGCATGAGCATCTCTGTTTTGCTACAGCCATGTCCTAAGACTAGACATCTCTTCAGCTAGAGCCACAGAAGAGCAAGAAGCGGGCTGTTGGTAACCAAGACCGTTCTTGATGGCAGGTAGAGAGGAATCTGCATATGCCTGGAACACCAGGCCTCCACCTGCACATAGCCAAACCAGTCAGCCCAGTGCTGGGCTCTCCTGGCCAGGGAATGCAGCACTCGGACTCTGCAATGCTCCCCTCTGGTACTGGAAGTGGTCCAGGGACAGATGAACAGGTACTGCATAACTGCAGAGCAAACTGCACCACAGTCATTTCAAATCATTACTGGAAACTACAGCAAAGCTGCAAGCCTGGGAAGTAAAGGATGTGACATTCAAAAGAAGCAGAGAAAGCAAAGGGACAGGAAAAGTTCTGTTTTTCTTTGTTACCATGACAAGTCAAAAACTTATCAGAAAAACAAGCAATAGGGAAAGACCAGCAAGGAAAAAACTAAGTCTTTTAGGACCCAGAAGGTCCCCAGAGCTTATGGCAGCATGGTGTCTGATGCCTTAGAGAAAAAGAGAAAGGAAGAAAAGTAAATAGACTATAGCAAAAGTATACAGAAGAGCAGAAACCGTGCGAGCATTAAACCCACAGACGCAGCAGAAGAAAGACAGAGTTAGCACTCAGGTTTTGGAAAAGGAGACCAAAGCAGCAAAAACAGAAAGAAGATTGCAAAGATTTGCTTTATGCAGATGGCATATCCTGAGTGAGACAAACTGGGTGACAGGGGACAAATCCTTAGCTGAAGGCATTCCAGGGAGAAAGCAAAGAGCAGAAACATAGAATTTCAGAGGAGGGCCGAGACAAAAGGAATGAAGGAGCTGAGGTAATAGTCTGAGAATAGAAGAAATGGCCTCTTGTAACCTGACATGAAGAAGTGTTACCAGATGGGACAGAGATGTGACAATGACAGAAAGCAGAAGTGGGGCAGATGGATGAAGCTTCACATAACTAAAATTGATACTAGTGAAAACAGGAACTCTAAAGAACACCATGGAATTGCGCCAGCTTACCTTTCTGGTGATGATAGTAATTTTAGGCACAGTTGCTTCTGCAAAGGCAAACAGTAATTTTGCACCGTGACGTATGATTCCACCGTACTCCTGAGCTGTACCTACAAATGATAAACAATTTTTTTTCACTCCAGGGAATTCACAAAACCCCATATGCAATTGTCATCATCCATCACCGGCAGCCAGAGCCATGTTAACGTGCAGGAGAAGGCAATATCCAGGCAACATTCTCCGTAAGATGCCGAGCAACTCCACAAAAAATTTGCCAAAGCAGCATATAGGTGTATATAAGGTCAGAATCATAACACTCACCAGATGGTATCTTCCTAGGAACAAAATACAGTTACATCATTTTCAAGACTCCAAATGTGACTAGCAGTGAAAACAACCTAGATACACTTCCCCAGGAATCCACTCTTCCAAATCCCCTTTTTTCTAGGCCATAAGGAACGGCAGCTTGGCTACCATACCTGTTCCTTCAAGCAAGCCCAAGATAATGAACGTTAAAAGACAGAGCATGAATTCCTCTGTAAGGACTCTCACCGCAGGTGCTTCTGGAGAGCAGTCATATGCAGCAGATAGGAACGTGTGTCATCCACGTTACAGGGTGTTCACCACTGCTCTGTCCCAAGCACAGCCCTAGCTGAGTTGACTAGAAAACAGCAATCCCATGGACTTTATTTCTAGGATTTCCGAGTTTCAGACCACTGGATAGAACTCTGCAAGTACCTTCTAGCAGTTTATCCACCTATTGTCTTTTGCTTTCAGTGCCTGAGATAACCTGAGTACTTTGGGATATTTTTAATGGATTTTTTTTTAAAAACAGCAAGATTTTTAAGTAAAAATTCTTTTGTGAGTTTGGGGGTTTTTTGGAGTTGTTTGGCTTGACTTTAATGGTTCCTCTCAAGGGTAATTTGAGTGTCTAGTAATTTATGCCTACACTTACAAATGTCTGTTCTCAAGTGCAGTTTCACTTTTGGTTCCAGTATTTCCCTCCAGCCAGTGGGACTTGTCAAGCCTGCAGAGCCTCCCCAGCAGCAGAAATCAGAACTGCCACGTCTTCTCATCCCACAAGGCAGCCTGGGCTGGGATGTTCAGCCTAGGCCCAGAAGCTGAGAGCACTCACAGACAATCCAGTCACAGCCTCAGTTTCTAATTCACTGAGTAGTCAGTCCCTTAAAATGCTTCAGGTATAAGCTCAGTTCAGCTGTTACTTGAACTATTTACACTGTTACCCATGGCCAATAACATAAAATCTTTTCTGGCCATAGATTCAGTCCCAATCTTGTTCTAAATAGGCATTTTTATCCAGCTACAGGATATGAATGCATTACATGTCATCTCTGTGCACACCTGTGACATTGGGGGCTATTGAAAGTGTTTGGGTCACTAACACTGTGCGAGGTTTCGTACACCTATGTGAGCCAGATCTGTGTGACAGATTCTTCCTCTCTACTGACCAGGGAAATGAGGTGATCAACACCCTCAGAATTTATTACTTAATCTGAAATTTCTAATACTAATGTACTACTCTTGCCAAACTCCTTAAAATACAACAGTTTCGGATCACTTATCAAGCCTCAGCTCTCTTTACCTTTCTCTATTTTTATCTTCCATTTATCTACTTTCAAACCAACATTCTATTATACAATATTAAGTTATGACTTTTCATTGGCTATATGGAAATAGCTTTGTTCTTGGGTTCTGAGCAAGTGCCCAAATCTAGATTCCGGTAGTGGCCTCTGAAGTGAACTAAGTCGCTGCCTGGTCCACATCAGAGGAGGAGGTGTGTCTGCAGCAGGAGAGAAAGGAAAGAGGGCAAGAG